AGCTACTACAGTCCTAGAACAAGTATGTTTCAAACTCTACTACTGCATGAGCATGACAGTGTGTGATATATAGCATAGCCTAGGCTTCCTGTCTCATTGTTGGTTAGGTGGTTTCCTGTGAACTGACTGACATCCACAAACATACTGGCATTGTTCTGTATTGTCAGTGGAGGTCTACCTGCACCCTTTGTCAAAGTAGTAATCTTACCCTTGCCATTTTCTGTTTTACAATTCGTCAGAGATACTCAATGTTGCTCAGTTAATTGATTGTAATACACTTAATACACTTGTGTATTACGGCGTAATTACACAGTGCTACAGCAGAGGCCAAGTTGATTGGCGTTTTCCGAGTTGATTTGCTTTGTTGTCATGTAATTTGGGCCAGCTGGTGTCTGTTCCCCAGTAACACATTGAGTCAATGGATTTAGTCTCTCAGTTGAAATTCCACTTAACAAAGTACAGTAAGCTGATAAAAGCACTAGAAGTAGCCTTGACCTGCCCTGTCGGTGCAGAGTTTAAGATTTTTACCCAGAGAAGGAATAGGCCTATCATTTATTGCTGTTGGGAGAAATTGGTCTGTGGTAAAGTGTGCCTTAAAGTATTAGAGATACAGTACTGTAGTAAATCACTAATGTATCAGTGGAAAATGCAGCATTGCATTGATTCCATCAAGCTGAACCGCTACCACTAAGGACTCTACACTGCTGACTGTCTGTGGTGTGTACAGGGATACAGAGAGGCGCTCTGTGCCAATCACTCACAATACCACAAGAGGAACAAGGAAGCCAGTCTGCAGGAAGGAAGACAGAAGTGTTATGAAATCACCTCGGTATAGCAGAGGTATTACACTAGCTAGACATATACACTACCGTTCAAAAGTTTGGGGTCACTTAGAAATGTCCTTGTTTTCGAAAGAAAAGCAAAAAAGTGTCCATTACAATAACATCAAATTGATCGGAAATACAGTGTAGACATTGTTAATGTTGTAAATGGCTATTGTAGCTGGACATTTTATGGAATATCTACATAGGCATACAGAGGCCCATTATCAGCAACCATCAGTCCTGTGTTCCAATGGCACGTTGTGTTTGCTAATCCAAGTTTTTTTAATGGACAAAAAATTGCTTTGCTTTCAAAGAAAATATTTCTAAGTGACCCCAAACTTTTGAACGGTAGTGTACATTTAGACATGTATGCTAGACCTAGGCCTCTATTTTACTACAGCACTTAACTGGCAGGTAGCCTAGCGCAGTGGTTCCCAAACTGTGGGGCAAGGAGTCGTTAGGTGGGGCGCGGGTGTACCCAAAATTGGGTAGTGCATCATCAGTTTTCCTCTTGTCATGTCAGTCATTGTATACCTTAGAGCTATTTATAACTTGTCAAATGTCCAAAGATCAACTACACCATGTCAGCTAAAGTTTTTTTAGCTAGGTTTTTTAGCACATAGATTTTGTTGTAATGTTTGAGTAAACGATGAATGAATAAACATTAGACATGGAAAAATTTATAGAATTGCAAGACAATTAGCTTTAAAACTGCAGCAATTTCTGCATACCATGACAACATGTGTAGAATTGCAGGAAGTTATATTCGCCAACAAGAGGGGTGTGAACCCTTTGTGTCATGAACAGTGCTTGTACTCATAGAAATAGGTGTGGCGCACATGCGGCGGGGGGGGGCGCAGGATGTTCCCCAATGTTGGAAGCCTGAGTGTAAAAAAGGGAACCCCTGGCCTAGTGGTTAAGAGCGTTGGGCCAGTAACCGAAAGGTCGCTGGCAAGGTGGATAAATCTGCCGTTCTGGCCTTGAGCATGGCAGTTAACCCCCAAAAACAACTGCTCCCCGGATGCCGATGACAGGGATGTTGATTTTAAGGATTAAGGCAGCCCCCCGCACATCTCTGATTCGGAGGGGTTGGGTTAAATGTGGAAGACGCATTTCGATTGAATCCATTAATTTGTGCAACTGACTAGGTTTTCCCTTCCCTATCTGGGGGAAAGGTTGATTTCAACACTCCCAACAGCTCTCTCCTCACGACCCCCACCACTCTGGCAAGAGGACCCTTCCCCTAATATCATTGTCCTGATTCCTGCGTAGCATCACTCTCCCCAGACCCTAATTGATGTTGACTGGTAATGCAGTGCTGCTCCCCACATTAGCATGTTATCTTCTTGATCCACAGAAGCCTGACTGTAGCTCACTAAAGCGTGGTAGAGGAGGGAGAGGGTTTGAATTGAGATAAAGATCTACATTTCGACCCCCCCAGCCCTCCGTGGTCCAATGTAGTCCGAGTCAGGCCCAGAGCCCTTTATCCCAATAGGCTCTATGCACGCATCACTTCCGCATTGGCCTAAGGATGCTTGGGCATTTCCGGTTACCGGGAGAAAACATTAGACAGTGACAGTAGACCGTTATGATGGCAGAGATGAAGTTTACAAGGTGTTTGCTGGAGTTGCCTAAAGTATCTGTTAATGATATACGGAGGGTCGTCCGGACATCCAGTACGACACCACGTAGCAAACTGGATAAAGGCTTCAAATTTTACGTTTCTTATTTTCTTTGCAACTTTGAAGGTAATATGCTAACGCTAGTTAGCCTGAGCTAAAAGCCTTGCTTTGGTGTTTTAAGTCATGACTCCGTCCTGCTTCAGGTTAATCATGCTTTTAAATAAAGTTTAATCATGTGTATATGATGCTTTTTATGAAAGAATCAGGTAAAAACAGGGCTACAAATGGGATCTCTAGAAACTAAAGCCACCACACCAGCTGAGAGTAGGTCTAGATTAAGTGACACGTTCAAAGTTCTGTTGAACTTGTTCAAGGTTCCGTTCAACACGTTTTACTCGTTTAATGTTACCACAGTTTTGATTGCCATTGCTAAGAGAACACTTTAGAACTTTAGTGGTTTTCACGATAGCTGAATAGTGGTAGCCTAATACAGACCAGGGTAGCTGAGTGGGAATTGCCATGCTTTGTTGTTGGGTCTGTTGTAAACAAATTGGAGTTTGGTTTGAAATGTAAACAATAACGAGATTACTACTTTTTCCTGACTTGATGACTGCAATGATAGTAACATATTCCACTCAGCTATTCTTCAAACTGCTGATGTTCTACTCAAAACTGTCCTGTCATCTTTTACTTCTTTCTTTATAAACATATGGCCCAACTTCCTTGCTTTTGTACTTGATGTTTCTACTTTTCAAGAGGAATTCGGAGCAAAACCTTCACTCTACTGTTGTTATTGGTACTAGGCTACAATGTTGCACCACTCACCTACTGCTCTGCCAATACTGTTTGAAGGTAGGTAAATGGCACAAGACAATAGGTAAGTGGTGGGAGACAGTATAGCCAAGTGGTGCAAGACAGTAGGAAAGTGATGCAGAAAGCACAAAAGTGACACGAGACAGTAGATAAGTTGCTTACACCAGTAAAAAGTAGAAAGAACAAGTTTTGCTCCTACTCCTGCTGCTGTAGAACCTCGTCTTTCAAAACCCATTAAATTATGCTTCTGTGTATTTCAGATGACATTGCGTGATTCACAGCCAGTTGTGCTTGTTAAAAGCTGCTGTTCCTGTGTGACTGGGTGTGGGATATGTAATCATTTGGTTGCATTACTATATCAGACTGCCCATTACTCTGAATGTGGCATGTCTGTCGTCCCTCCTGTACTTTCGTGCACTGAAACAGAGCAGAAGTGGCATAAACCACGAACAATGGTTTTGTATCATTTCAATACCAGACAGTTGTGTCACATGCATACTAGCATCTCTCCTAATACCATCTCATAAATAAATAGGGAGTGAAGCCAGGACCTGTGGATGCCATGGTTGTAGTGAAGCCCAAACCAGATGCTACTCCGGCAAGCGGAATTAGGTATGCAGAGTCCAATTAAATAGGCAGACTACAATGTGTTGCAAAATAGTAAATAAAGTAACAGAAGAATTGCATCTGGGAGACACTGTACATTGCGGCACACAGCAGTGATGGCTGGAAGAGCTGTCATCCCGTTTTTGAAAGGACACTTTCTTACGTTTACACGTCATCGTGTTATAAGTCAAGACGAAGTATTACATTAACATAAACATTAAGATAAACAACAACGAAAATTAACCGTTTCGGATGTTTTTGACGACAAGCATTCAATGCTAGCATACTGTAGCACAGCATTCTACGATAACCGTGTAAGCCTGTGCATATCGCCTATAGAAAGCTCTGGTCAGGCTCAGTCACATGTCCTGGCTCTGTGTGTGATTGGATATTGTTTCACAGCAGCAATAAGGCTGCTGAGGTCAAAGTGCAATGAGAGAAGTGAAAAATTATTCCTTTAGATGTACATTTTCTAGCAACATGTTATTACTTGTGAAAGTGACAAACTGACACGTTTTCATTTTTGCCAAAAACAACTTTGATTTGACGGCCTGCACATGCGACCGCTAGACCTGATGACGTGTTTCTGAGCATGAGCTTAGCTAGCCAACATCGCCATGACATCGCCTACAAGTGTGATCTGGGATTTTTATTGGTTCATACTAAACCATCTTTGCTGCTACCATCTTTCAAACTCTGGCCCTGCTTGAATAGTTCGAAAATAAAACATCCTTACCTCCTCCCTCCTTTGTAGTAATAACCAATCTCACATGATTCATTGGATAGTAGCATGTGAGGTCTCTACTACACATCTTTTACCAATTCTGTCATTTCAGACCAGTGATTTACCTTAAGTCCAGGTACTGTAGGGAGGACCAATATTTCACCCTGACAAAGTATTCAGGGAGTACGCTCAAGTGTGCTGTTTTTAATCTTGTCCTCCTGCGATGTAACTTAATAAAGGCTTTTACGTTTTTCGGTAAGACAGTGCCTTGGAGGGCTTTTTCAAGTGTTTTGTGCTCACTACGCAACAACAGTGTTTTGTTTTGCCTTGCAGTTAGTTGATGTATTTTCAACGTATTGGACCAGGCCTCCTGACCTGTGTGTGTGTCTCCCTCTCTCTCTCTCTCAGTAGACTATGGCAGAGCAGGATCCCACCCCGGAACAGCTGGCGGCCATCGCAGCGGCCAACGAGGAGGCGGAGGGCGGGGTCAACTACAAGCCCCCTGCCCAGAAGAGTCTGCAGGAGATCCAGGAGCTGGACAAGGACGACGAGAGTCTGCGCAAGTACAAAGAGGCCCTGCTGGGGAACGCCGCCGCAGCTGCAGGTTGGTGTTGCTGCTCCAACTACACACGTTGTAGAGACATACAGACACACGCTGCAGATGCACTCATGCAATTTGGACACAACAGCCCCCTCTCTCTCTCGACCTGATAAACAAACAGACCCACATGCACATCTCGTGCAACTATCTCTTTGTTTATTTTCTTATAATTCCCTCCTACCTACTTTTCAAGTCTTTCAGCAGGCTTTCTTTTCAGGGATTTAATTGAATGAGTTTGCACATCCCATAAGAGAGGGAGGAAGAGGGCAATAGGCTGGCAGTCTTGGTGCTCAGTGGGTACAGCATTGACAGAGTTAGCCCCCCTCAGACGGGTCAGGAGCTGACACCTGCAACAGTCTGTGAGCTAGATACAGGCTGGCTAGATACAGGCTGCTGACTGGAAAGGAGGCCACGCCGCCTGGGCTTTTGTTAGAGCTGCGGTATCAAAGACTGAGATGATCGTTGGTAGAAATATTTTCACATTCTTTTATGTCTGATACTCACTTCCATCCGTTGCAAATGTCATTATCCACATTTGAACTGTTCTTCATGAACTGCTGTAGCTCTCTGCTTCAGTCTATTGACTTAACTCCCTAGAGTTGATTGACGCACCGGTGCGTCAATTTAAGTAACATAACAAAAAAATCCACATCAAAATCAGTCAATTTAAGGTAGAGATATCAGTTTTGTTTTGCATTAGGATGCGTCTCAATCCACCGCATCAGGCAGTGTCGCACTTCCGCATCTGAAAGGTGGCAGAGCTAAAGCAGTGTTTGTCAGACCATGAGAAATCCCGAAAATCGGTCTTCTTGCGTAAACGTCCGTAGCGTCGGAACAGTTTGACTTGCAAACTATTATGACCACTCTATGGAAAGGGGAGCTTCTCACAAACACGACGGTTTGTGTCACGTGACTCGTCTGAATGTAACCGGTACCGGTAAAAAAATAAAATAATTAAGTATGAAGGTAGTTTTGTGTCTACCCAAAAAAAGGGGTTAAATATGTTTAAAAAATATATATTTATATTTCCAGAGTAAAAAAAAAAAGATGACTTAGGACATACACTTTAAAACCTTGTTTCTTATGATTTTGTTTTTGACTGTCCTTTTTGCCATTTATGAATGTGTTATTCAATGTGTTTCTATTCTATCAACATTTGTTCATATTTGGTCCTAAAATTCAAAATCAAAAAACGAAATGATCAATAGTATGACTATCTTAAGCCCCTCCCCCAACATCTTAGACTCTAAAGAATTAAACGTGCACTGCTTATAATAGTCCATTTTGTTTGTGTAGATCATTAACTATTTTATACTTTGCTTTGTTTTTTCCCATTGTCCCAGTAGACCCAAACGCTCCCAATGTCCAGGTGACACGCTTGACCCTGATGTGTGAGACGGCGCCACTGCCCCTGACCCTTGACCTACAGGGTGAGTAGAGCAGCAGAGTGGCTGTAGTATGAGTGGTATTTGGAGGGAGTGTTTCTGAATACACTGAGGTGCACTTTTTGAGGAAAGGCTGGCCATATTGAAAGACTTCTAATGTGTTTTAGTGTGAAAAGAAGCCTTTGTAGTGAGTACATGTAATATTTTCCATATGAATGTTTGAGTGGAACTAAAGCTTACCATTGGGGAGACGAGACATTGCCTCATAGCAGCCGCAACACCTGGCCAGCTATGGTTTACAAACATACGTTTTCCAGTCAACATATTAGGCAAATTCCATGTGCCATTTGAAATGGATTGGTTCATTATTTGAGTTAATGAGGCATTTATTCTGCTGGTTTGAGACACTTCTGTCCTCATATGGCCTGTAGAGCCAACTACAGGGAAGAAACCAAGGCCATAGAGCTGAACTCACATACAGGGAAGCGCCATCTAGTGGACACTAATAGCAGGCTACAGCCCTGTTGGAATACTTGCCTTTGTGCCTTGCATTTTTAAAGACGCTGAATCACTGATCTGATGCCTTTCACCTATCCAGTCTAACACGATTACTTCCAGGGAAGAACTTTGCACATTGCACGTATTGGAACAGGGTTATAGACTCCTCTCCTGCATTCACTCTGCCTGAGGGTCTCTGACGTTCTCTTTCTGTGGTCTGGCTGCCTCTTTCCCTCTGCTCAACCCCCTCAGGAGACCTGGAATCCTTTAAGAAACAGTCCTTTGTCCTGAAGGAAGGCGTGGAGTACAGGATAAAGATCAGCTTCAAGGTAAATGAATGAGCCTGGCCTTTTTCACCAACGTGTTGTCTGTCTGTTTATCCAATCAAACTAACATGACCAGTGTCAGCCTGGCCACTAACAAGCTATTTTGGACATTGAAATTCAATTGTAAGCAGAATACACACCATGTCCTATCATGAAAGGGCTGCTGTCTTATCCGAAGGGTGGATGTGGAAAGAGGATGTGACCTCATCACTGACTGTTGTCTCTGTCTGCAGGTCAACAAGGAGATTGTGTCGGGACTGAAGTATGCCCAGCAGACCTACAGGAAAGGAGTCAAGGGTAAGTTCTGCCGTTTCATTGTCTTGCTCTGTCTACTGTGAGGATTTGAGAAGCCCGGATAAGGTTAAGCAATATAGTGTACCTTCCATCTAGAGGACAACGTGGGGATATGACCATGTTGCTTATACTTTATCCAATTATCTCAGATATCTATAACAAGTGCATTGGAGACAGGGGTTAGGGGTGTATCTGGGATTGGATGTTGGAGTGGCCTGGTCAACTCAGGTGACTGTATTCACTCATGCACACAGTAATTAGGTGAAGTTAGATGACGCAGAAAGGTGGCCTGTTTTTATCAACAGAGGCAACTTTGAAAAATACATCTAAGCCCCTCTCGTTCCTCTTCTCTCTCTCTCTCTCATTCATCTCTCTGTGTAGTTGACAAGTCAGACTACATGGTGGGGAGCTACGGGCCGCGGCCGGCAGAGTATGAGTTCCTGACCCCTCTGGAGGAGGCCCCTAAAGGCATGCTGGCCCGCGGCACCTACAACATCAAGTCCAAGTTCACTGATGATGATAAGCATGACCACCTCTCCTGGGAGTGGAACCTCAACATCAAGAAAGAGTGGAAAGACTGAGTCCCCGTCAACTTCATTCTTCCCCATCCCCTCTTCTGTTCATCCCTCAGTCTTATTCCCCCACCATTATTTTGAATTAATAATTGTGATAAGTAATTAAGGCAAATTGCTCTCGTCCACCCCAATCCCTGCTGTAGTTTAATTCCAATCACTTTGTCATGCCATTCCCCCCCACACGCACTCCTTGTGATGCTGAGTATTGAATATGTGGAGAAAGCAAACCATGTGCACAATCATGAATTTGTGTTTGTTAGTTTGTATATAAATATTTTTTTAAATAATGAAAAGAACGATAGATTGATCTGTTAATGCTCTTCATATGGATGTCATTGGTAATCAGCTGTGTGAATTCCTCAATCCTTCCCCCTTCATCCCGTCTTCTGTCTTACATTCCTTTTTACCCCCCCCCCCTTCCTTCCGATTGTTTTATACGACCATGATCTGCCTTGTAATGCATTTTAAAGGGGGTGTTGCTGTGTGTTAAAGGCTGTTGTAGGCCCATACTGTACTCTTTGTTGACGTTGCCCTCTGTCAGTGGAAAGCCTTTGAGCAGATTATATGTACCAGAGTCCACACAATTTTGTTTATTCTGGAACTGGTGTGAATGCCTAATGGTTAAGAGGCGGCATCAACAGCACTTACCGCCAGTCCACCAGAGGCACTGTGACCCCCTGCTGAAGGTGCAAGTGTGCCTCTCCCTGATCAGGGTTTTGACCTCCCTACCTAGTTCATTCAGCAGCCATGTGGCCTTAAAGAGGATTCCTGTAGAACTAACGATGAAGGAAATGATCACTAAGAGCCATTTGCCTTTAGAACAGAACTGTCAGATTCTTACGAGAACCTCCAACAGGGTTTGAGTAAAAGAGTATTAGGCTAAATGTGCAGGTGCTAACATGATCAGACAGACCATTGAGATGATTGTACCTTCTTTCCAGATTAGCCAGTAGAAGTAGACCATGAAAGTGAACAGCGGCCATCTCTGCTCCCTTCCCTCCTCACCATGTCAGGTGGTCTCAATGTGGACCACCTTCAGTGCCGTTTGCTGACATGAATGTGTTTGATATAAAGAACCTGGTTTTGTTAAGGAGCACATTTTTTCTTAGTTGTCATCAAATGCCCTCTAAGCAGACCTCGAGGCCTTCCAGTCACTAACTCCATTACTGTAGTGTCTCATATGGGGCCTTGTGGGCAGAGAGGAATGTCACACAAGGGTTGTTAATCCGCTCACCTCAAGTATGAATCGACTCCAGGATTACCAAAACTGGCTGTGCCTCTAGCCTTTACAACCACAAGCTGCTCTCTGCTAAGGTCTGTTGACTTTCAGAATGGGTGCTCAACATCAAATAGTTGAACTTTGACCCTGTGTATAGACTCCTGGACCTGATGTTTTAGGTCAGGTCTAACTTGTACACAGACCCAGAGTTTCAAGTAGAACGAGAACGGCCAAGACCTTTTACTACTACTACATAACCTTGTTATTTTTGTACACTCCATTTTTCAACGTCATAACCTGTGATGTAGGGCTTTGTTTGGTTTCACTGGTTCAGTATGCTTCATTGGATCATTTTCAGTATGGTTTTGATTCTTTGTAACTACTCCTCTATGCCACCTGGAGATTACTGTTCACCTGTGTCACATTAAAGTATTCAGACTGGAGGTCATGGTCTGTTTTTTTAATCAGTGAAGACATGTTACTTTTTACACTGTTCTTCTGTTAAGTACAACGTTCTGTAAACCATCTTTACCCATCTATCATACATGCTCCATCTAACACACACGCAACCTTTCTCATTGAACAGAACAATGTTGAGAACATTGATGGTCGTCTACCAATGCATAGAAGACCATATCACATGAAGTTTGTACACAAGAGAATGAGGAAAATATTAAAATGAAAAACCAAAGTACTGATAAGGGGCTCTAGCTGCCATCTCTTATGTAAGATGTGTACTTGAAATAAGCAGTCCAGAAAACAAGGAGCCATGGAGATGTACCCATGGTCTGAGTCAGTGCTTCCAGAGAAAATAAATACATAGTTACAGTAGTTTAGTCATGTGTGGTTGAGAGTTCAATTCCTACGCAGTGCATCATCAGGAGGTCCTCAGTTCTCTAGCTGGGACAACCTAACTCCATTTTGGCAACATTTTCATAGCCATCTTGAGAATCCTTTTACAGAGGTAAATTCACCAATACACTGATAGTTTTACAGTTAACATACAGTATTTATTTTAGAACAAGTTATTACTTCCTTGAGTACCATGGGCTCTCTCAATTAAAGTCTACTAGTTTCACCTGATTTCAAAACCAATTTATGTTGGATTGATGCATGCATCAAGCCTAAGATGTTAAGGCAAAAGTGTTATTCATTGTGAACATCAGGAATATTTAACTATTAAAAAAAAATTTGAAAACACATTTTATGAATAGCTCTGCACGTTATTCGTCAGTCATCATTGGCAAAACCATTTAAATAGCAATTATTTATACATTTTAAATATAATTAGTGCAGTCTCAGTTATACATGGTCAGTCATTTAAACATTGTACTGGATTGTCTTGACCAAAGACGGGTCAAACAGATTTTAGTGCACGACTAGGTTGTCATAAATGACATTAAGTTAGATCAAGAAACAAGGCAATTCATCTACCCAGATGATGAATGTTGTCAGAGATTTACAATTCATTCATTCACATTGGGATGGGTGAAATTTGGCAGTATCCAGAAAGATGAAGAAAACAGCAGAGGGGATAATCTACAGTAAATTGTATAATTTCCCCCGTGCAGTACAGGTAACCTGTCACTAAGACATCAAGTGACCACTTTGAACAAGCAACATGGTCAAACAAAGAGAAACAAATGAAGAAACAAATATGTGGCTTTTGTACCCATTGTTTTCAGTGCATGTTCAGTAGTACCAGCAGAGGTCATGTTCAGTAGTACCAGGAGAAGTCATGTTCAGTATTACCAGCAGAGGTCATGTTTATTAGTACCAGGAGAGGTCACGTTCAGTAGTACCAGGAGAGGTCAAGTTCAGTAGTATCAGGAGAGGTCAATTCAGTAGTACCACGAAAGCAGCTCATTTGTCTTTGGACTTCCTTCCCTTAGGACTTCCTACCCTTGGGGACTTTCTACCCTTGGGGACTCCTTTGGTGGAGTTCACTTCACTCTTGGTCTTCTGCAGGCGGGAGAAGATCTCTTTGAACAGGGCCTTGTACTCTGGGGTGTTCTGGCCCAGCCTCTTGTCCACCTGGTCTACCTGCCGGCTGATGCCCTCCAGGGCCTCTGGGGTGGAGGGGGTCTGGGGCGGGGTGGGGGGTGCAGGAGCAGCAGCCGCCATGGCTGAGGAGGGGCCGGGGGTGGCCATGCTGTAGTCCTTCATGGAGGGGTCTCTGGAGATGGGGCGTGACGTCTGCACCCCCGTGTGGCACATGCTCTCCTCGTGGCGCCGGCACTTCCCCAGCAGCTCCTCGTATTTCTCCAGCAGGGCGTGGTACTGCTCGTCCACCTCCCTCAGGATGGACATGCCCCGCTTGCGCGCGCCGTTGGCTTGTATTGCATAGCTGCCCTGTCGCCTGCCCGAGGCATCGCTGGCCGAGATGGCGTTGAGCGCCGTGTCACTGCAGCTCTTCCTCACGGGGCCTCCCTGCTGCCCCCCTCCTCCTGTCCCCCCGGACTCCCCCATCCCCTCCCCTCCCTCCTCTTGCCCCGGTCCCTCCTCGGGTGTGTCGGTCTCGGGGGCGTTGTTGAGCAGGGTCTGCTCCAGACTCTCATCCAACAGACACACCCGGGACCTCCTCAGCTGCTGCATCTCCTGTAGCTCCGCCTCCAGCTCCTGCACCCGCAGCTGGCAGCCCTCAGCCCCCAGGAGGCGCTGTTCCAGGAGCTCAAACTCCTGCAGCACAGCTGTGCACTCCCTCTCTGCCCCCTCCCTCCGGCCACGCTCTGCCACCATGGCGGACCTCAGGGAGGAGACCACGCCCTTTAGACGCTCGTTTTCCTCGTCCAGGGGCCGGCGCTCACGCTCAGACACCAGGTCCACACTGCCGGGGTTGGCCACCAGGAAGCCATCCTCATACCTGTAGAGCGTTCCATCACACAGAGGAGCACGAGGTTACAGCAGGGGGGTTGTAGTCTTATGTAATCTGAACACCATACATTCAGGTCATTTGGCAAATGTACTAAGCATATTAGCATATTTTCCCATACAGTACTTTGGACTTTTGAGAGAAACTTCATAGAGCATTGCTCCGTACTGTACCTTGGTGCAGTGCAGAGTTCTTTGAGACAGGGGAAGGAGTGGACAGTCTTGCGTCGCTCCCTCTTCTCTCTGTGAACCTTCAGCTCCTCTAGTGTACGTAGCTCCTCCACACGAGCTGTCATGGTATCCACCTGGGCCTGCAGTGTCTCCATGGTACCCGTCAACCTGTAAACACACACACACATAAAACGAAGCCTTCACATAACAAAAGTGGACTAAATCTTATTTACATCACGACATAATGTACAATACTGTACTGTGGCTATACTGAGCCTGTGTTACGAAAACAACGGTGAGGCATTTATTTACTATGAACAGTAGGAACCATTCAAGAACTAAGCTTGTTAACTCTTAACCCAAATATTTCTTAGCATTTCTTAGAAATCATTGGTATAAACACCATGAAGAAACAGGTCATGGTACACAGTCTTACATAGAGTGAATGCTCATATTGTGGATCATAGCAGCTAGCACAACTCAGGAGAGTATTCCCCCTCACCTGTCTATCTTCTGCTGCGAGGCCTTGCTCTCTATAACCAGTTTCTCATTGGTGATCTCCAGCTCTCTGGCTGTCACGTCTAGCTGCTCGTAGACCTTTGCATGCTGCTCGTTCATCTCCCTCAGCATCTCCAGCTGCTTGGACAAGTACTGCAGGGGGAATATACATGTGAATGAAGACATGGACCTTACAGGGAGACACATATACCGAGACTGTATTTAAATAGTCTAAAACGGATGTAAAATAACTGGACATCTATATGTTACATCAGTGCAGATGAAGGAGACAAGAGGAGGAGAGGAAGCCGTTTTAGACTATTGAGATACATCCAATGACACTCAATGCCAGACACACTCAGGATTTGCTGTCAATTAAAATCAGTCACATAGATTTGACAGGATTCCATGAAGGTTAAGCAAGATCATAGTGTCACAGTTTCCTAATTCCCGTCTACACAAACAAGTGTGGATCAACTTTATTCTTCTTCTCCAGCAGATTAAAGTGTGTGATTGGTTGATGTGGCCATCAGCAGGCAGCTTTGTTGTTGCCTAATAAGGCAGTCTTTGTTGTCTAATGAGGTGGCAGATTTCACTCAGAGGAGTCAGTGGGTTCCCCTCTCCCACACAGCCGCACACTAAGTAAACACACTCTCTCTCTCTCGCTTCCTCTCGCGCTCTCATGCAGTTGCACTCTGCACCTCTGCTATCAGAGCTCTGCAGGGTTTAAATGGCTTGATGGCACATCAAGGAGAATGTAATTGTGCTAGCCTAGAGAGAAGAGGCACTTTGCAGGATCATCAAGTGCATCGTCAGCAGTTTAAAACCCACACATTCCAGCTAACACACCAGTCTGGAGCCATGCTTGCCAATATGGCCTCTCAGCAATTCAACATTAAATATTTTTTACATTTTAGTAATTTACCAGACGCTTTTATCGAGAGCGACTTACAGATTTTTCACCTAGTCGGCTCTAGGATTCGAACCAGCAGCAGTGCACTTTGCAGGATCAATCATGACATGTACACACGCTCACATATAGTTAGTGAAAGTGGTGCCAAAGTGGTGTCATGCTGTACCTCGATCTCCTGCACCTGTTCCTCATTGTTGATGTACATCTGTTGTAGGGAGTCCTCCAGCTCCTTGTTGCGTTCCAGAAGGGTCTTCCCCAGCTCGGCTGCCAGGTGCAGATCTGTGAGAGGGGACAGAGAGGAGGACGGAGAGAGACAGTGGTGAGAGTACTGGTCTGGACACAGAAAAACACAACTATTTTAACTCGGTCATTCACATTTCACCCGCCAGTAATATTGGTTGCTGCTGCCCAGCTCAGTTCAAGTATTGCATTGGATCCTTGTGGACTGTTTTAACTCCATTAATGCAATGCTTTCTGGCTTTCCTTAAAGTGATGAATTTAAGACTTCGCCTCCTCATTTCAAATTCAATAAGAGCGAGCAGTAGAGAGAAAATCCCCTCATTCAATTCCCCCTGCTGGAGTCTATTTTTTTAATCCTCTATCTTTTCTGAATAACACCAGCTTTCGTGACCTCTGCCAAGATGAGCTCAAGAAAATGGAGGCTGACTGCAGGAGAAAGGAGGAGACTAAGGGAGAAAACCTAGTTAGCACAGGCTCTGTCTGGATTACTCTGGGCAGAACACACCAATACAGGTCATCTCAGAACTCATTGACCATTACTCATGGTCAGAATGACAGAAATATCCCTCTTAGTTCTTATTACCCCACTCCAAAAGAAGAGCGTCTGTACAGTCTGTACATACAAGCATAAAGGTTTTAGCTAAATCAATAGTCTCTCTGCATTGGTTACTACACAAATATCCTTTATTGTCACAACAAGATTGGTTTCTGGGGAAAAGGTTAAACAATAAACCCCAGCACATCTCTGCTCTCAATCTGCTTTGACAAACATCTCCACAAATAAACACACATACAAACATGATCCCATCTGAACAACAAAGCACTGGGAGGGCTAAGGGCAGCGAGCCACTTGGTTTCCACGAGCAGCTTGATGGATCCATTATTCATCGGCTGCTGCAGTGACGAGGCCTACATGGACTGAGAGTAGGGATGAGGAGGGGAGCTGTGCTGGCTCCTGGCTCCAACATGCCTGCCCCACTACTCAGAGCCCATGACAGTACATTGGGAGTAGGAGAGGGGTGTGAAACTGAGAACAATTTACCTCCATTAAGGAACATGAATGCAGCATTTTATCAGCACAATGCATGGTGTCAGCACTAACAGGAACATAACAGTGGGGAACACCATGCTGCTGCTGCACAGTACACATCTAAATCACAAGGGAGATGAGTTTAATTATAGTATGGCTGCCTGGAGCAGTAGCTGTGTGTGTGTGTATCAGAAAGATAACGCAAGTAAGGCAACAGGAGCTAACAAATAAAAAAGGACAGAGAGGCAGAGGACAAGAGGCCCGTCTTCAACACATAGCTAAAAATGTAATTAGCTCATCTGTAGGCTACCATATCTCCACTACAGCCCAAGGTCAGGCTGTAATTTCCTGTTTTAACACAATGGACAGATGATAACAGAGAGAGAACTAGAAGACTGATAAGGGTCTGTATTATATAAACAGTACCAAAGGCTCTTGTGTGTGTGTGTGTGTGTGTGTGTGTGTGTGTGGGGGGGGGGGGGGGGGGGGGGGGGGGTGAGCATTCCCCCCAGGTCCTATCATCTACAACACAAACACTACGTGACCAACACACACGTGCCTGGTACACATTGTCTAAGGCCTAAAAATGATGTAATCTTAGGCTGCCGCACAACGGTTGTTAGAAGCTTGCTGAGAGAGGGCAAGAGATATCCCAGTAAATAGGATAAATCATGTACCCACTTCATTAAGTACAAGTGAATACCATATAAAGAATTGTAACAGCACAAAGCAATGACATCACTGTCAAACTGACATCTCCCCATGGCAACCTTGGCACACACACAGCTCATGTGCACTACAGCCTTCTGCACGTGTGGCTCTGCATCATCCTTATGCCCTCAGATGTGTATAACTCATATAGCATCTAGTGAAGCACATCACAACCACACTGCACCAGCTGCTACAACTATGACATCATACCTACCATCTGGACAGACAGGCTACACATGTTGAGCTGATGATAATGACCACTGAGGGCAATAGGTGAGCAGCCCTGAATACAGATCACTTACATAATGATCACATACTCACTCCGTGTGTGAAAGTGAGTGGAAGTAGACCATAGCAAATACAATATGACCCCTTGGTTGGAACAGCATGCTAAAACTGTACTAATACAATTTTACATGCAGGGTCGCCTCCAAAATCTTTCTAACCCCCAGGCTGAAATCTCTGATCCCCAGCCTTAGAGGCCGTGTCTGGGGCCCCCTAATCAGATCATCCAGCTGGGCTTAATGCTCTGACTCTCCATATTGAATAACACTGTGAGATGAGATAGAGCCTACTGCTGGCTGCAGAACAGCAGAATCCACCTGGTTGCCAAACTCTGACCAGACCAGCGAAACACTGATGAGACGCAAATGCTTTCATTCTCTGGGTCATCGGGTAAATCGGTCAATGAGGTGATGTGGAGGACGAGGCAAGGCCTGGGCTAGGGAAGGACATCTACATACCTCATCACACCATCTGGAACTCACACCACCTACTATCCTAATATACCAACCTTACCCTTTAGAATGAATGATTGCTAGGAAAATACAGCTTTGATCTATATCATAATTTGTGGGGACATTTAAAATGCTAAAACGATAGCTTCTTTCCCATTCTGTTTAGAAATATGGGGATAAGATCAGAGATCGGTGACTACACATGCCCTCATCTATGTCTATCTAGCCATTAGTGGAGGAAGCGACAGACGATGGGTTTCAATTGAGTTAACTAAATCAAATAATTGCAGAACAGATACAAAAGGGGTGTGTCACTCTATAGGAGGGATGTATTATCAGACTAAGCCCTGGGTGAATTGAAAAGGTTGTATGTATTATGTGCCTTTCAACAAGCATCTCGAAACATAGCTTCATTGGGAGAGTCTCCATTGTTAATCCCTATGATTCATCAGAGTACAGATATGAGTGGTTAGTAAATGTCCTGTGTCTCCAGTCTAGCCAGTAATATATTTAAAAAGACAGAACTCTGACATTTTCCTCACTCTGAGATTGCAACTCCATATAATCTTTGTTCACAATTCCACATAATCCTGAGAATGTCAACCATTTCTCTCCCTGAATATCCCACCATCTCTCTGTTTGTCTGCCAACTCTCCGGCAGGCTCTATCACCTAATACCTCACCAGCACATCCCTGTGCCAGGCAGAACCACGACTCAGCATTTTGGTGATTTGAGGAAAATAACCCTGAGGGCCAAGGGTTGGCACGTGACCATCCATCATATATGAGGAGAGAGATGGATGGTGAAATCAGACGGACAGTAGGGTTATTCTGAGAACACGCACTTCACTGACAAGATCAGAATAATTGGCAAAGGCAGGGAGCTCCATAATTTATTAAGGGGAAGTCTAGAGCAGTGCCTATACACAGAGAGGTGGAAATGAGAGAGATGGAAGTAGGCCTGTGTGTGTCAGAGAGAGTAGAACACAGAGAGAGAAGAACACAGAGAGAGAGAGAGTGTGTGTGTAACATGGTCTGACAGGTGAAACCTGCAGCAGCATTTCGATAGTTCCCACGCCTTCTTCTCAAATGTATGGGACTTGGGGTGTTGGGGTCGGTCTTAGAAAGTGCATGAGCTCCATCACAAAATGTCAGTTTGATTATATCAAGGATAATATTTACAATTAAGACAGTAGTCCATTCCAGATAAGCACGCTTGTATATAGAGCCAAAATGACTGAACATGTCATGAATTCTTCAAAATGAACAATGTCAATAATATTGTCTTATTTTCTAGAAGGGTCAATTAGCATCATTTGATACATCTTCAGGTCGTTGCATTAAATGACAGTGATGAGGTCCGTAGTCAGCATCAGCTGCTTTTTGCTGTGACTGTTTTTACTGTAACATTGTAACGGAACGATTCGCATACAACGCTAAACAAAACCTGCAACAAATATAACCACAACCGCCACAATGTAACAACAATGGTGTCAGTCTACTCACCCTGCTCCAAATCTCGTTGGTCGTACCATGGCTCATCTTCCTCCGTAACAAACTCCTCCATCCTGCCTGCACGAAGCATCGATGCTCGTTCTATCGTTGTGGATGTTCACCCGACGCTCTGTAAAATCTCTGACTGCTCGCCCGGAAGCGAAAGCATGCCTCGTATGATCAAGAAATCTCGAACAGCGCAGCCTCCCAAACCGTAACCCTTTCAGCAACCTTTAACATTCACGAGGAAAACCGCGGGCGCACCTGCCCCCAACATTCTTCAATTAACCATTCGAATGAGACAGATGCGTTCTTTTACCGCACCTGACACTTAATTAATATCTCAAGCCCGACAAATGCACGCACAAACTGGACACTGCAAGCAAGTCCTTATATGCAACGACAGCACTGTCCGCCTACAATATAAATAGAGAATGACGTACGAAAACTTTTTGTACAATGTTGAGACGTGTACGTTCACTGAACAAATGTGTGACACTGGCAAATGCCACGCATAATTCCCCCCCCCCTGTTGTGATTTACGTAGGCCTCCAGCTGTTGTTACACGCCCCCACTCACTCGTGCTTAGCACCGATATCTCTCCTGATCCATTCTGCAACGATACCCAACCCCCTTCCCTATACAGGGGAAGATGCTGCTCCATAAAACAGTCCTTCCACTTCATCTAATTGTATAGAGCCCATGAGTCATTTAGTACCAGCCACTAGACATTCAGTATTATAGATTTTTTTGTAAACAGGTCTCACAACGAGCAACAGTGTGTGATGGCAGGGTGCTTTTGGATATATTTGTGTGATGGCTGAGTGTTTTTCCCATTGGTGCATCAAGTGCTCTTTGGATTCCATCATGTTTGAAATGGCTGACTGTTTGAAAAGGCACCCACCCAGTCACCAACCAGAACAGGCAGACATGGCCAGCTCTGCTCTTTTAGACAAGATAACCTTGTACTAGATCACCATATGGACAAGATAAAACAATTATAATATTTTTTTGTATTCCTCAGCTTAAATAAAAGCTCTCATTGAGAATCTCATGAAAAAACGAATAACTAACAACCAAGAATACATTAAATTACAGCTCTAAAATCAATCAAAGATAGAGTCTGTGGTTGTTACACATCCAGTTGGCTGTCCTCTTCAGTCAGGCTTTATGACAGACCAGGTAGCAGCAGGGTTTGGCCTGGTATAACCATAGCATCCATCTCCTAGTCACATGGTGCTAACATCAAACAAAGAGCCACCTCTGCTCAGCGTTGAGCAGGGATGACTAATTGTTCCCCAGAAGCACCAGCAGACATGCTGTATACAGTACATGTTTAATGGCGCCATTACAGTGGCTCTCCACGCCACGGCAGCATGAGCCTGGAGTTGACACAGCATAGCAGCATTTCATCCCTGTAACGGCTGAGTGTCTTGGCCTGGGAGAGATGTGAGGGAGGAGGGAATCAGTTGGAGAGAGAGAGAGTGGATGAAGGGATCAGACCCTCAGGTTGTTATCCTCCTCCACCTTTCCGTTCGTAGTCCCTCCTCCTCCCATCCATCTGTGTTCAGAGGTCTCAGTGCTGTGTGGTCCCTTCAGGTGCTTCCAGTCTGCTTCACTCTCACAGCGCTTCACACCGCTGAATAACTTCTTTATCAGAGTCTTGGCCTGCATTTTCACTGTGGACACAAAATAGTTCATTATTAGAAAAGGCAGCTTGTGCCAGAGCACACACAATGTTGGTCTTCCTCACCTTGACCTCTTCCCCGACTCCTCCCCTCTGCTAGTAGATGAGACAAGTAGCGGGCAAATGACTTGAACAGCTCCTACAAGAAGGAATATTTCACATTTGGAATACTGTGATTTGAAAAAGTGACAAATGAAGAACCAAATATCTTCATCACAGCTTATGCCCCTTCCTTCTCTCCCTCACCTTGGTGGTAAACTTGCCCTGCGTATAGAAGGGGTCTAGACAGCGCAACACGATGTCAGCCACCTCCTTCAGAGACACAGGCTTGGGGGCTTTGCTGGGGCTCCCTGGCTCCAGTACAGTCTCCTGGATGTTGGGGTTAAAGGTCACCTTTTTCCTGCTGTCCTGTAGGGGGCCGCTGCGCTTGGCTTCCCTCTCTTCACTCTCCTTACATAGCTAACACACACATAGAGAACATGTGATAGTACAGTGAGGGAAACAATTATTTGATCCCCTGCTGATTTTGTACATTTGCCCACTGACAAAGACATGATCAGTCTATAATTTTAATGGTAGGTTTATTTTAACAGTGAGAGACAGAATAACAACAAAAAAATCCAGAAAAACGCATGTCAAAAATGTTATAAATTGATTTGCATTTTAATGAGGGAAATAAGTATTTGACCCCTCTGCAAAACATGACTTAGTACTTAGTGGCAAAACCCTTGTTGGCAATCACAGAGGTCAGACGTTTCTTGTAGTTGGCCACCAGGTTTGCACACATCTCAGGAGGGATTTTGTCCCACTCCTCTTTGCAGATCTTCTCCAAGTCATTAAGGTTTCGAGGCTGATGTTTGGCAACTCGAACCTTCAGCTCCCTCCACAGATTTTCTATGGGATTAAGGTCTGAAGCCTGGCTAGGCCACTCCAGGACCTTAATGTGCTTCTTCTTGAGCCGCTCCTTTGTTGCCTTGGCCGTGTGTTTTGGGTCATTGTCATGCTGGAATACCCATCCACAACCCATTTTCAATGCCCTGGCTGAGGGAAGGAGGTTCTCACCCAAGATTTGACAGTACATGGCCCCGTCCATCGTCCCTTTGATGCGGTGAAGTTGTCCTGTCCCCTTAGCAGAAAAACACCCCCAAAGCATAATGTTTCCACCTCCATGTTTGACGGTGGGGATGGTGTTCTTGGGGTCATAGGCAGCATTCCTCCTTCTCCAAACACGGCGAGTTGAGTTGATGCCAAAGAGCTCGATTTTGGTCTCATCTGACCACAACACTTTCACCCAGTTCTCCTCTGAATCATTCAGATGTTCATTGGCAAACTTCAGACGGGCCTGTATATGTGCTTTCTTGAGCAGGTGGACCTTGCGGGCGCTGCAGGATTTCAGTCCTTCACGGCGTAGTGTGTTACCAATTGTTTTCTTGGGGTCAAATACTTATTTCCCTCATTAAAATGCAAATCAATTTATAGCATTTTTGACATGCGTTTTTCTGGATTTTTGTTTTGTTATTCTGTCTCTCACTGTTCAAATAAACCTACCATTAAAATTATAGACTGATCATTTCTTTGTCAGTGGGCAAACGTACAAAGTCAGCAGGGGATCAAATACTTTTTTCCCTCACTGTAGATGTTAACAACAATGTCATCATTACATTACAGTTAAAAAACTTGACACAATAATACTGTTGTGGCAATATAATATTGGTCTCCATACCCTTTGTTTTAGCAACGATTTAGTCTTGTTTTCATGTGCGTTTTGCCTGTGAAGAAGACAGAAGGAGTTTAGAGAGAGAGGCAAAACGGAATAATCCAGTCCCAGACTATCTAGACTTTATCTACAACTACTGAGGGACATCTTCCACTGTGATAGAGTCCAAGTCCAGTTTCGCTTCCTCTTTAACCTCATTATTATCCAAGCTGTTGATTTCTGTGGGGATGGTATCCGTAGGGATGGTTTCCATGGGGATGGTATCTGTAGGGATGGTTTCCGTGGGGATGACTTCTATGGGACTAATGTCCATAGGGATGGTGTCCATGGAGACAGTAGCAGGTGTGATTTCCTTAGTCGGGAGTGACGGGGGTGGTATTGAAAAGGCCTGAGATGACACAATTTGTTATTATCTCCAACTCTTGACTCTTTTCAATCTGTTTCTTCCCAAAGCACTGGGTAATGTTGCAGGGATTCTTAGCAGCCTCCACTAGCTTCTGCTGCTTCTTGCTCAGGGCCTTGCCTCCTGTCTTGGTGGGACTGTTCAGGGAGGCAGAGACTGCACTGGCTTTAGCTCTGATGGAGGAGCTGATGGTTGGTGCTGTATCTCCAGTCTTTGTCTCCTTCCTCTTCCCCCTCTCCTCCTCACTGGCTGACTCTCCAGACCCAGCCAGGCTCTCAGGACCCCCGCTCCCTGTTGGCCGCTGGACCTGGCCCTGTAGTGGAGCCCTCACAGTTAGAAGCCCTCAGCAGCTCACTGGCAGTTTGGAAGGGGTTGGAGGAGCCCCTCAGACCTGCTCCTATTCTCTTCCGCTTTAGCTGGTGGAGAGAAGGAGACACAGAAGGAAGGATGCTTAGTTACTAATAGAACCTAGTATGAGGCTGACTCACAATAACACTGACTGCATCCTGTTACTAATGGGCTGAGATATGATTCTGAGACAGTCTCAATGCATTAGCAAGTAGATAAATATGTAGTCATTACTGCTGCTTATAAAGGAGTGCTACAATATTTTCTAAAGCAAAGTAAAGGCAGAGTCCTCTGTGTGCTGTGGTGTTGGGCCTTACTGAGTAGATCTGTGAGGCAGGCGTGAAGCCCTGCTGCTCCTCAGTCAAGGAGGAGGAAGAGGAGGAGGCTGCTTCGTCTTTGGATTCAGTCTTTATCTCTGTGGATTCCCCAGAGCAGCTGGTCCCTTCTCCTCCTCCTCCTCCTCTTCCTGCAGAGGCAGCCACTCCCTTCTTCATCTCTGATACCTTTAGGAACGAGAGATGAGTTAGATGAGTGAAAGAATAGCTTAAAAAGAATAGCTTCCATAGGGCTCAATACCTAAACTGACTTTAGAGTTGTACAATAAACCAGACAGTAGTCAGCAGCTACTCACCCTCTTCAGGACAGCTGCTTTGTACAGGTTAGAAGACTTGGTGATCTTGAAGACCTCATGTTCAATATCCACCGCCAAGGAGTGTGTCAGAGCTGGGTGAGGGAGGAAAAAGGGAAAGAAAGAAAGAAATCCAAGTGTCAGTTCAGTTATCCCAGTGGCATCAGTGACTTGGCATTTTAGGTGCATGTGCGTTAGTAGTGACTGGTACCTGTGTGTGTCTGCTGCTTCCACCTGGTGGTTGTTCAGAGCCTCCTGTAGCAGGGCCACACAGTGCTTCCGAGCCTGGAATACAATTGATGCACACATTTGGCACACACTCTTGTAAAAAATATTGTTTAAAGGCAAGTGAAGATGTATTAATTTGATTTTAACCACTATTCAAAGGGAATGTGCCACTGAGTTTTAAAGCATGTCTTTACAAGGGAGAACTGGTCAGTAGCAGCTCCAGAATAAAATCAACACTATACATAATAAAAAATAAAAATCATGACATACAATCAATCAGTCATACACCACAAAATACAAATAGGCCTAAATATTTTCCTTGAAAATTGGTATTCTTGTAATACATGTATGAACCACACAGTGGCAGTACAATCCCCTCTCTGTTCCCTAAATCTGCAAACCCAGATATTCAGTGTTCTGTGCATTTGACCAAATATTCAGAGTCTGACCCTGGATAAACAAGCATGAAACAAGTTCATGAAAGAGGTGTTGGGTAAAGGATTTCAAGCAGAATTAAATTATGGATCAATAAATAGTTTCTAACTAGCTCATGATGGTGGATACGCTGAATACACAAGGACGTGTGCATTAACCATCAAAAGCATGTGAATGTGCATATTGCTTTGCACGTGCGTGTGTGCGCGTGTGTGTGTGTGTGTGTGTGTGTGTGTGTGTGTGTGTGTGTGTGTGTGTGAGTGAGACGTTTCCATAGCAGAGCTGTACCTTGACAGTGAGGCTGGGGATCTTCTGGCTGCTGGCCTCTCTGAGTGGGCAGTCATCATCTGTAGATACAGTTGAACACAATATCGAAACCCATTCAGTCACATAACGGTATTATTAGTCAGTCACTTTGCTTGTCTACACTGATATTACAACAATAGAGAACCCACCTGGGGGGATAAATGAATATTTGTGTCCCTCAGACACCTACAGAGGAAAGAGGGAGAAGAAAACAGAGGGAAATAAGACACCCCCTCACACTTCTATTGTCAGTTAGTGCAGAGAACCTACAGAGGGCCCCTCAAATTCCTCACTCCACCTTAGAGCTCTGCCTCTCTCACCTAGTTGCTAGTGTTTCAGTGTTTCAGTGTTCCAAGCCCCTGCTGTTGCTGGCAGCATCTCAAACCAACAGTCTCAAAATCATGGCTCAACTCAACACATCTTTTGTTTGCCTGGATTAATAGTATAGATTTGAATAGCCCTGTCGTGCTGATTTGACTCCACATATGGGAGAGATTTACCACATGGTGCCTTACAGGGGCCCCTAGACCCAGCCTCCTTGCCTGGCTGATTGGCTGGCCACAGCTGGAAAACAGATGTGGAGAGAGAGGGAGCTGCTACAGTGTATGAAGGTTTGTTTACTGAAGCAATGGAAAGAGTAAGCTTATGGAGTCAGTAGTTGTGTATCACAGTATGACAGCAGGGCTGTCCATGTACAGCATGTATACAGTACATGAATGTGAGGTTTCACCTTGCGCAGGTTCATTTGTTTTTTGAAGAGATTTCCAAACTCCTTCCTCCTATGCTCAGAGCCATCATCATCACCACCGCTCTCCCAGCCCTCCTCATCATGCCTGAGGAGATGATATCACCACAGACCTCAGCATTCCTACCGTACTGTCTATGAGTGACAGCTAGAAAACAAATTTTAAAATCAACAATAAATGTGAAAATAATTCCAATCAGAAGGAAAGACCCCTATCTTGCCCTGTTAGCAACTAAAAACTACAACAAATGTTAGCCTGGATGCCAGTCTGTTTCTGCTTTAACCAACAGAGTTAGACTGGCCTCCAGGCTACTAGACCGTTGCATTGCTGACCTCTCAAAGCCATAGCCCTTCCTCCCCCCAGCGTAGAGGTCGCGGTCAAACCCAAACGGGCCCCTGGGCTGTTTGCTCTGAGCCGCCCCGGTCTTGGTGCACAAAGTGGCCCCCTTCTCCAGCTGGGCCCGCACAGCCTTGGGGTCACGACAGTAGTCACAGGCTCCAGCACAGTCCGGCTTCTGGTCCCCAAAGAACTTGGAGATGGTGGCATGGCGGCAGCTGAGAGAGACCAGAGACACGGGTTAGAGAGAGACAAACATATTGCACAGACATGCTAAAGGTCAAACCACTAGGAGGCCTTCCATTCACAGAGTGCCTCAGTGTAGCAGAGTGAAGATAGCAGCATGGATGTTGCTCTAATCTCTTCCCATCTGCTGGTCCAAAAGCATTTCCTAAGGTATTTTACATCATCTGAGGTGTTTGTGTTGTGCCTGCCATCGGTTGAGACGCAGCATACTCTTGAATACAGGGTGGGTGTCATGTTTTGTTTGATAAATGTACTAAAATGTGACTATAATAAAAATGTCAACTTTCAAATGCTACCACAGAGATGGTTGGAGGTCCACACAGTGGATAACACTTTCAATCCTCCGTAGGAAACCTATTGAAATCAAAGAAATATAGATAATAGAATAGACATTCCCATTTAAGTTGACATTCAATGGTGGGTGGACCAGCAGCCATCTTTATGGTAGTAAATGGAAGTAAAATGTTTAATTAAATGTCAATGTCAATGGTGTACCAGCTAAATTGCAGTGGTCTCAAGGGATAGGTCCATTCTATTTCTATGATTGAAATGACACCCACCCTGTATTCAAGAGCTTGCTGTGTCGCAACCGAAGAAATTATCAAATATTTTGACAACCCTTTTTGTAAGCTTTTAAATGATATTGAACTCAACTGTTTATATTTTCCAGTGATGAAGACATGGATGTCTCATGGTATGGTGGAGTATGCAAAATGGGTCCACTTTGAGCAATGGGTCAACTTTGAGCAAGAATATTTTGGCATTCAGGTCCAAAAAGACACTTTCTGACCACGTCTACCATGTACAAATACAGTGGGGGGAAAAAAGTATTTAGTCAGCCACCAATTGTGCAAGTTCTCCCACTTAAAAAGATGAGAGAGGCCTGTAATTTTCATCATAGGTACACGTCAACTATGACAGACAAAATGAGATTTTTTTTCTCCAGAAAATCACATTGTAGGATTTTTTATGAATTTATTTGCAAATTATGGTGGAAAATAAGTATTTGGTCAATAACAAAAGTTTCTCAATACTTTGTTATATACCCTTTGTTGGCAATGACACAGGTCAAACGTTTTCTGTAAGTCTTCACAAGGTTTTCACACACTGTTGCTGGTATTTTGGCCCATTCCTCCATGCAGATCTCCTCTAGAGCAGTGATGTTTTGGGGCTGTCGCTGGGCAACACGGACTTTCAACTCCCTCCAAAGATTTTCTATGGGGTTGAGATCTGGAGACTGGCTAGGCCACTCCAGGACCTTGAAATGCTTCTTACGAAGCCACTCCTTCGTTGCCTGGGCGGTGTGTTTGGGATCATTGTCATGCTGAAAGACCCAGCCACGTTTCATCTTCAATGCCCTTGCTGATGGAAGGAGGTTTTCACTCAAAATCTCACGATACATGGCCCCATTCATTCTTTCCTTTACACGGATCAGTCGTCCTGGTCCCTTTGCAGAAAAACAGCCCCAAAGCATGATGTTTCCACCCCCATGCTTCACAGTAGGTATGGTGTTCTTTGGATGCAACTCAGCATTCTTTGTCCTCCAAACACGACGAGTTGAGTTTTTACCAAAAAGTTCTATTTTGGTTTCATCTGACCATATGACATTCTCCCAATCCTCTTCTGGATCATCCAAATGCACTCTAGCAAACTTCAGACGGGCCTGGACATGTACTGGCTTAAGCAGGGGGACACGTCTGGCACTGAAGGATTTGAGTCCCTGGCGGCGTAGTGTGTTACTGATGGTCATTCACTAGGTCCCCCCGTGTGGTTCTGGGATCTTTGCTCACCGTTCTTGTGATCATTTTGACCCCACAGGGTGAGATCTTGCGTGGAGCCCCAGATCGAGGGAGATTATCAGTGGTCTTGTATGTCTTCCATTTCCTAATAATTGCTCCCACAGTTGATTTCTTCAAACCAAGCTGCTTACCTATTGCAGATTCAGTCTTCCCAGCCTGGTGCAGGTCTACAATTTTGTTTCTGGTGTCCTTTGACAGCTCTTTGGTCTTGGCCATAGTGGAGTTTGGAGTGTGACTGTTTGAGGTTGTGTACAGGTGTATTTTATACTGATAACAAGTTCAAACAGGTGCCATTAATACAGGTAACGAGTGGAGGACAGAGGAGCCTCTTAAAGAAGAAGTTACAGGTCTGTGAGAGCCAGAAATCTTGCTTGTTTGTAGGTGACCAAATACTTATTTTCCACCATAATTTGCAAATAAATTCATAAAAAATCCTACAATGTGATTTTCTGGTTATTTTTTTCTCAATTTGTCTGTCATAGTTGACGTGTACCTATGATGAAAATGACAAGCCTCTCTCATCTTTTTAAGTGGGAGAACTTGCACAATTGGTGGCTGACTAAATACTTTTTTCCCCCACTGTATGTATGGTAAGTTCCGTTCAAATCAAAAAGGGGTGCAGTCAAAAAGTTATTGAAATCAAATGCAGCGACTCTGCAGGAGTGTGAAGTGTATTCTCCAATAAAAGAACACCAGTTTAATGATACGTCTGTGAACTGGATGCAGTTTCTGTTCACACAGATACACCACTCCCTTCTATTCTGAGGAGAAAAAGGAGTTGTGGGTGTGGAATGACTCCTGAGTGAATAATGTGAAACAGAGATGAGGTTCTATAAAATAACTGCTTCTCTAGAGTCTAGTCTGAATAGCAAACAAAAAAGATCTACTTTTTAGGAGACTTGTAAGTGAGTGAGATTGGCCATGGGTGGTGGTTGGTGAGGATGTTACTGTTCTAAAGGACTTTTAAATAGATTTCAACATCTGAGAATGCCTATTCACTCTTTAGAGTATAGCTGTTCCGCTTCTTTGTATAACAGCTTGCTCTTTTCACTCATTACACAATATTATGTCATGTATAAACACATAGAGATACACTCAGTCATACACACATTCATACAGGCTAGTGTCTCTTGGGGGAATAATAGACAAGCCACCTCCATAACACACCAAGCCAGACTACCTCAGATGGAAACCCAGTCTCCACAGTTTTCAAAGAGGGGGGAAAGAGGCAGTCTCACCAAGGGAGGAGGGGAGAGAGAGAGAGATGAGAGACAGAGAGAAAGAGAGAGACAGACAGACAGCGAGAGACAGAGAGCGAAAGATAGAGAGAGAGCGAGAGAGCGAGAGAGCGAGAGAGAGCGAGAGAGAGAGAGAGAGAGAGAGAGACAGAGAGAGAGAGAGAGCCAGAGAGAGAGAGCCAGAGAGAGAAAGAGACAGAGAAGAGAGAGCCAGAGACAGAGATCATGAAGCGACAGTCTTTCCAGTGAAGGAAGAAGATAACGACCCACAGCAGGAGGAGGAGATGATGAACCAGCCTGTATTAATACAACAGGCAGACAGCACTAAAACACAGCAGGAGTCCTTTGTGAGTGGAGATATCAACAGTCTTGCTCTTGCACAACCGCTGCCTTTTCCACTGGCACCAAGAGACGACAACAGCTACTACTAACTGGGGGAAAATAAGAGAGTAAGAGTGGAGCGAGAGACAGTGGAAAGCAAACCAATGACAGCTGGAGAAGCTCACTTCGAGCCTGATTTGTTTCCTTTGTGAAACCCAGAACAGACCGTACAGAGGACAGCAGTGCAGTTGATGGGGTTTTGGTCATCTCTTGGCCTCGATGCTAATCGCTACTTGAGGACTTATCTCTGCTTACCCTAATCCTGAAAAGACCACTGGGTTGAGGAGGTGAGGACACCACCTCTGTCTCACTGCAGGCTCCAACTCTTCCAGCAACACACACACAGGGAACTCGCTCTCCACACTCACTCAGGTAAGTGTTGGTTCTTGTGTTACATCACTAACTGATCTGCTTAGTTAGACAAGGACAGTTTTGCACCTTTATTTACGCTCTGTTGCATATATGCAAACTACCCATACAGTTCAGGTGAGTGTATGCTGGTTGTGAGTGTGTGCATGTAGCCTATATGCATGCAAATATCCAGAATAACAGTGTGTTAGCATACTTTATTGCCTAACCAAAATAATGTGAAGAGTGTAATTTAGCTGTCATCATAATGACATTTCTAACAGCTGAATATTTAGCTAGACTTTAATACCGTGGGAAGACCTGCTCCCATACCACCCGGCCTAGCCATGAAACCTGAGACTGGTTAAAGCCCAGTCTGACTGGGATCTAACACTACACAGCTGGTGGAGTCTACCTGGGAGAGAGAGACAGAGAGTGGCTGTGGGAAACAGAACTAAAAACCATTGTCAGCGAAATGCATACAAAATACATCGGACAGAACACATTCCACCACGATGGACTCAGTCAGGTCCAGCAACACAACAGGAATAGAAACTCTTTAAAGGGACACAGACAGTAGGACAAAGATACTGAGCAAACAGTCTGGTATCTGTTTTACATGCCACACCTATAGTTAATAAAGCATTTTACTGTCAAATGAATTGAAGCACTATTCTATGTTTCTAAAAACTTCCCCTTTAATAGAATCAATACATTCAATTCTATCCTAATCCAAGTCAATCTACTGTTGTGATGAAGAGAACAGACATGTAATGTAAATCAAGTAGCCTACAGTGTGATCTGGGTTGGGAGAGGAGAGGTAACACGGTGGTGTAACTGCATAGCTAGAGAGAAGGAGATGGAGAGAGTGTGAAGAGGAGAACTGTGGAATGATGATCATGAGATAATTAATATGAGCAGGATCCTGTCTTGGCATCAATTGTCACACCCAACTGCTATTTACAGTTTATAGGGAACATACTTTCCCACAGCAATAGCAACATATGGCCTACTCATATGTGCATAAAGAATAGACAGAAACTTAGAATAAGTTTTAACACACAAGGCAAACATCGGTGTCTGTCCTTGAAATAACATAGAAAAAAGTCCTCTCTTTATACAGTCAGCCAGTGGGTCCCTCCTCTCGGTCTCATGACTGTTGTGATAACTGTTGTGTGTCAGTCCACAGCTATGCTGCTGGGAGAGCGCTATAATTACTCTAGTAAATCTGGAACAGACACAATCCCACTGGACCAGAAAAAACAAATCCTTTACACACCAACATATTACCAGTTTATAACACTCTTTCCAGATCCTCCTCTTTCTTATAGGAGGAGATGGAATCAGTTGATTTCACTCTTTCCTACCTAATCATCAGAAATGCATGCACTAGCAGCTAGACTATACATTCAAGGATGAACACACAATGGTTTGTCAACATTCCATTGGTGTCAGGTCATCTACATAGTTAGACAGTGACATCCAGTATCTCTGACAGTCCATTATGGGTGAAGAATAAGGAATTTAAAAAATGCCTAGATTCGAATAATTACAATATACTGTAATAATAATCCATTATTAATAATCAATCATCCATATTTCATCCACTTTTATCCCTTTACTTGTGCCTTCATTGAAGTGGTCACATCACACAACCTGCACCCAGATACTACAGAGTTGCACCCACCCTCAGTGTGAGTGACATTATGGATGCCAGGGAGGAGATGCTGACCCTGCTACAGAAGCTCTGGACCAAACTGCAGGGTCTCCCCACCGCCAGCTCTCTGGAGATAGGGGCCTTCGCTGTCCTCATCCTCTTTATCGGTAAGCTACACCTCTCAGTGGAGATATACTCCATACACCTAACCATGTGCTTCAGAACATGTCAGAACATGTCTTGCAAAGGATGAACATGTTAGAACATGTCTAGCAAAGGGATGAAACTCCAACATCTTTAATATGACTTTAGATAGTGTGAAATCAATCATCCTGTCTGGACATAGCCTAGACATAATTAAAATGTGTAGACTAGCTACTATAACTGTGTTATTTCCTAGTGGTCTTCCTGCTCCTGCTGCTGATTACCTGTTTGACGTGCTGCTGCTGTCGCAGGACCAGAACCAAGGGGCCACATAGTCAGCTGACCTGAGACAATCCCCACTTCCCCCAATAATGAGGAGAGACATTATAAACAGGCACTCTATGGCCCTCTAAACCCCAGAAGAATGAGGACCCATGCAGACTGGTGTGAACTGAAAACCCTCTGTCACCACTGTATCACCAGGAGAGACATTCTGGAAAGGCACTCTATGGGCCTCTTAACCCCGGAGGAATGAGGAGGACCCGTGAGAGATGGACAAGACTGGGCCTCTAGGACGGCTTCAACTGATCCACACAACATAAGGACACAAGGAACACAGGAGCATGGAAACACACACACAGGCATCAAGTAACACAAACAACTGGACATGTAGCTAAAAGATCACAATAGAAGCACACGAGAGAGACTGCTTGGGAAGATGAATGTCTGTCAGTTCTAGGATGTATGGGTGTCAACTCAACTTCTGCCACTGGCTCAGAGATTATAAGAAAGAGCCCTTTACAGTTTTCATCAACAACTCACTCAAATGGAGACATCTTGCCAAACCCCTTGTGAGAGTGTTGCCATATGTATTTTATCTAAAGGACTTCCTTTGCTTTATTGCTGTGTTCACGTGCTAGACGGAACTAGGAAACTCAGAAATGTCCGACTTGCTAACTGGTTGAACGCCGCACCTGAACAAGCCATCATCTCATTCTCAGGGGATTCAGAGGACCATGCCTGCCCTCTGCTGTACAAACATGGAACGGAGGCAGTGAGGAAGCCTTGTAATATGCTTCACAGTTATACACAACAGAAAAAGAGTAATGTTGTCATTTACATATAGTTGTTGCATAGGTTAAAAAGGGTATCTCTTCCTTCTTAAAAAAGCATTTTCTTAGCCTGCCTAAAATAGTGCCATACGCTTTTGTATCTCTCTTGCATGAAATAAAACAAAATGCAGATGATTGTGGTGTGTTATATCAGTGGTTCCCAAACTATGTGACGCACCCAGAGGGGTCAGCAGGGGAGACGCAGGGCACCACCCCCCAAAAAGAATATATCCGGTTTTCAACGTACTGTTGAATGTTTTTATAATAGAATGCACAAGGTGCAATTTCTAAATTGTTTTCCTCTTGTCATGTCAATCATTGCATACCTTCGAGAGCTATTTATAACTTGTAAGAAATGTCCAGATCAACTAGCCCATGTCAGCTAATGTTTTTTAGCTAGGTTTTTAGCCTGTTGATTTTGTTATAATGTTTGAGTCACTCAAATATCACATGAACACACACTAGACATGGCAAAACGTATACAACTGCAAGACATTTGTTTTAAAACTGCAAAAGTTTCTCCGCACACCATGACCAAATGTGTAGATTTGCAGGAAATACTGTAAGCGTTTAAACCTGCAAAATCTTCTCTTCGTCAACAAGAGGGGTGTGACAGTTTGTGTTATGAACAGTGCTTGTGCCCACAGAAATAGACATGGCGCGCGAGCGCAGGGGGGGCGCGAGATGTTCCCCAATGCTGGAAGGGGGGCCTGAGTGAAATAGTTCGGAAACCCCTGTGTTATATAACACTCACCCCTCTTGCTCACAGAATGACACCATGGCCTCGAAGTCTGTGATGGAAGCCTTGTCCTGATCTTTCTCAGAACCACGCTTTGCCTGCAGAGAAGTCACACAATCATTCACTCAACGTTAAATAAACAAACATAAAAAGATTTGAACACTGTACACACCAATTGCAATCCCTATGTATTTACAGCACTATCATGTTGCTATACTAATAACCAGCCTGTGAGGCAGGTTGACAGTGTGGTCCAGACGTCACCTGTTTGCGCGCCACCTCCTTGCGGATGAGGAAGTTCAACTGCTCCCTGTCCTTGGGGGAGTAGTATGTCCTGCAGGAAGAGGGCAGCCCGTCTCGCCCCGCACGCCCAGATTCCTGGTAGTAACTGGCCAGTGACTTGGCCAGGTTCCAGTGGGCCACAAACCTGACATTAGCTTTGTCCACCCCCATGCCGAAGCTGATGGTGGCCACAATGACAAGCACCTTACCCTGCATCCAATCAGTCTGAGCCTCTGTGCGATCTCCTGCCTTCAACCCTACACAAGCAGGAGATAAAGGTCAAGAGTCATGCCACCCACTTTGTTATGTCTCGTCTCACCACCAATAAAACAATCTGCTTGATTCTCATCTTTATCAAACTTTTGCATTGCCATTTACTATCCTAGCCCACAATGTTTGTAAGCCCTTGAGGAATGTCTCACCTGCATGGTAAGGCTTGGCCAGGACTCCCAGCTTAGTCAGTTGGTGAGCCACCGTCTCACAGCTTTCTCTGGTCCGACAGTACACGATTCCACAACCCTGAAAAAAGACATACAGATAACTATCCCAAGCTAAGTACCATGCACTGATTATAAGGCTGGGTGATATATTTAATTGCCAAGAGTGTGCAAAGCTGTCATCAAGGCAAAGGGTGGCTATTTGAAGAATCTCAAATATAAAATATATTTTGATTTGTTTAACACTTTTTTGGTTAGTAGATGATTCCATATTTGTTATTAAAATAGTTTTGATGTCTTCACTCTTATTCTACAATATAGAAAATAGTAAAAATAAAGAAAAACCCTGGAATGAGTAGGTGTCCAAACTTTTGACTGGTACTGTATATCGTGAATCGTCCATAGGTTTAAAAAATAAATACAAATAGACTTATGATTTTTAGGCCATATCGCCCAGCCCTAACTGATTACACCATCCATTAGATATAGGGTACAGTAGGAAGATATATTGCATGTAAGAGAGAGTCAGATGGGAATCTAGTCCACCAACCTGTCCTTTGGGGCCTTCCCCCAGGGTCAGGGCCTCCCTGATGAAGGCATGCAGGTGCTTGTAGGGGTCCTCCAGTAACTCCCTGTACACCACCTCATAATGCAGGTTACTGCGAAACACGGGCGTGGCAAAGGACAGCGGTGATCGCAGCCTCAGGGACTTTGCTATGTCCTCCTGCACCTTCTGGGGTGCCGTGGCCGTCAGCGCCACGCAGGGTACCCCAGGAAGACGGGCACGCAGATTGCCCAGTTTGAGGTAGTCTGGTCTGAAGTCATGCCCCTACTGGGAGACACAGTGAGCCTCGTCCACAGCCAGGTAGGAGAGGAGGCTCCGGGAAAGCAGGCCTGTCAGGCAGGGCTGGAAGGCAGGGGAGGCCACCATCTCTGGGGTGATGTAAAGCAGCTTCAGCCTGGGGCTCTCACTCTCCAGATCGGCCAGGATCAGACGGCGCTCCCCTGCAGGGAGCTTGGAGTTGATGGAGCATGCAGGAATGTTCAGGTCTCTTAGGTGGTCCACTTGGTCCTGTGATGGAGGATACAGAGAAAGGGATCATCATTGAAGAAACCTAAATACACAGCTAGCTATGAAGTTAAGGATAACTCAACCTATATCAGAATCAATCATGTAATCAGGACAAATCATACAACAGAAGAAAATACTAAAGAAGAGAGACTGACCTGGATAAGAGCGATTAGAGGGGATATAACCAAGGTAATGCCCTTTGCCAACACTGCAGGAAGCTGGTAGCAGAGGGACTTCCCTGCCCCAGTTGGCATGCACACAAAAACATCCCTGTCACCTGCACACAACAGGGGCAGTAATTTACACCATTCCATCGACAGTCCGATTAGGGCAACTGCATTACTCAGATATTTTTAATGACAATAACTGATCATGCTAGCTAGTAGTCAATGAACTGGTTGAAGAATTGGCTAATTAGCTTGTTAGCTAGCTAGAATTAATAGAGCCGTTCTTAGGTTGCGTAAGTTATTGTTAGTCCAACATTTTTATTATGGTCCTCACCTTTAACAACTGCTTTAACAACGTCCTCCTGCTTCTGGGATCGGAACTTATCGAACCCAAAATGGGTTTTTAACGCCTTTTTAATGGAAGTCATATCTTATCCCGAAAGACTTCTTCTTCGATGAGGTTTAACAGCGGTTGGCATCCAACAAATGTTGCCCCAGAAAGACTTCCAACTTGACAACAAACTTCATTCTCTAGCCGTCGCGTATCGATGACATCACGCCATTCGGCCATATTTTCACCAGTGAATCCTTTTAAACACATTTTATCTACGGTTCTCTTTTACATTTACATTTTTATTAAATGTCAAATGACCGAAACAGATGTGTTCATGTTTTGTGCAAAAAACATTAACACACACAACTCTGACTGGATCCATCGTCCATGGGTACACGCCTTTGTTTTTCTGGCCAATGAGAGTCGAATGCGCTGTGATTAACACCTTGTTTTCCACGACCCAGGCCAGGACAGATTTTCATGCAAGGAATTTTATTTTTTTGTCTCGACAGGTGAGTTGAGTCTCCGTTTACGTTTGAGTTCTGGTTGAATTTGGTGACCTCCAACGATCACTTTATCAACACCAAAACCAAACCAAAAACCTTGATTTATGTATCAATAAAGCAGGGAGAGAAGAGGCACAGGATTGCAGAATATTAAAAGGAGGATAACTCCACTTAATCTCCATGGATCTCTCCACTTCATCCTCTGTTTCTGACACTGTCTGTGTGCTCTGGGGTATGTACTGAGGTTAATGCCACTTTGAGATGGTTTGATATTGGTGACCTAGATGCATGGCAATGTATTATAAACCCAGGGTTTCCTCTCTCCTCTGACTAGGCTGTGAGCTGAGTGACACCCAGAGAAAGGCAGTGTTTGAAATAGAGGAGGAGGATTTGTTGGAGCATCAGTTCTTTATTCGGACGGTCAGTCTGTTCAAGTCTTTAGTCCGTCTCCAGCCCTCTCCACACACCCCATTAGCAGAGATCACTTTGACTTAGTCTGTGAAACAAAAATAAACATAGTCCAATGACAGCCCAACCCATAATCTCTGCTCCCCTTGTGTATAGATGTGTCTGAGTGCAGAGGCCAGCAAGGAGATGCATGTAGTGGAGGTACAGGACAGAGTTGGGGAATACTCCAAGCCAGTGCCCATTGCCTCTCTTCACCCTATGTGCCAACCTATGGTCAGTTTCAGTGGGTTTGAGCTCATGCCACCTGTCACCTTCAACCTTCGCTCTGGGCAGGGCCCCCTCTTCATTTCTGGACAGCATGTGACATGTAAGTAACTGAGATATGAGAAAATTATGTTATTGTTGAGAGAATGTCATGAAAACAAACATTCAGTAGAAACTATTTGTATGTCAATTCTGGGACTCTGTTATTTTATTTGGCTTTAAGTTCAATTCAAATGATACCTGGTATTTGTGTGCTGTCATAGTGGTCTTTGAGGAGGAGGAGGAGGAGGAAGAGGTCTTCTCATCAACACACCCACTTGGTAAGTAAACAAATCTAGAACTTCTAAGCTTCATAAAAGGATTACCTATTTTGATCCCTTATGACATTGTACAGTTCAGTATGAAATAGTTATTGTGTTTTTATTTCAGATCACGTTGGGCTTCAGTAACATGATAAAAGTTGAAGGACTTCAATAAAACACAGCACAAAAAGTAAGACTTTTGAGTTTCATATATTTATTCATCACAGAAAGTGCATTGTTATTGCAGGATTAATATTTCACAATAGATGACAATAATACTACAGTATTCTTTCAAATGTGCGAAAATACAGAGCATGTGAGTGCACAGCATAACTCGAGTAAGGAAGAGGCAGAAAGAATCACATAGAAGCAGCAGCATCAGTGGTCACATAGCTATTCAATAGCATGATGGTTTTATTCTTTACAGTAATGAAGGTTCTGATTACTCTACAGGAGTGATGAGAGGGTAACCATAGGGTGGAGGGATGGTGTTAAGAGGGAGTGTTCAGCCCCACAGGCACAGGGAGGGACATAGGCAGTAGGCCTTGCTCCTAGGGGACTTGATCACCAGGTCCTTAATGATCTCTGTAGTGCCGAACAGAGGGAACAGCTTCTCGTTGAAGCTCTCGTTGTAGGTGTAGATGTGGGAGCGGCTGTCTACGTCATAGAAGGACAGCTGGCCCTGGTCATAGTCCAGGTAGACGGCCACCTTGCGGGGGATGAGGCCTGGCGGCAGGGCAGTGAAGGGCACAGTCAGGGCCTTGAGTTCCGTGCCCCTCTCCAGGCGCAGGGTCAGGTAGCCCGTGTCTGTGTTCAGGGACTTGAAGCCCTTCCTCAGGGCTGACTCCTTGGCCACGCCCAGCCGAAAGTCCCGCTCCCCCACCTCCACCTCCCAGTAGTGGCGGCCAGAGTTGAAGCCCTCCACCCCCTGTGGCACACCACCAGCCATCGAAGCGCTGGTGGTAGTTTGGCACGTCCTTCCTCTCGAAGCCGCAGCGCATCTTCTTCTCGTCGTTGGAGATCAGCAGGTCAGGGTTGGCCGTGTCCAGGTCAAGGGAAATCTCCACTGCTGCATTAGAGATCCAGTCCCATACTGGAATATAGATAAAACAGATTAGTAACAAATATTAGGGAAATAAAGATACATTCTGTGAACATCACATCTGGCTCTGTCAATACCTGTCCAAGGCATCACATACCTGAGTGAGGAATGTAGCGGGCAGCACCTATCTTCTGAGTCCTCTGCTTCCATATGAGCCACTGTTGGGGGATGGCTTCCTGCAAGCACAAAGACGGAGAGGGAGAATAGCGGCATTGGTAAATATCAGAGCTGTTAACATGAATATACATTAATGTATTTTAAAGGGGGACAATTGATATTGAAGGAGGCCCCCACCTTGTCCAGGCCCTGTGTCAGTAAGACCCACATGATCAGTTCCATGGCTGTCAGGAGGTTGGGCATGTGGCGACTCCTCCATGCGGCCTGGAGGTCCTCCAGAACCTGAGCCACAGCCTCCCCAGGCCACACACTTTGCTCAGGTTGGGCTCTCAGGTCATTGGTCCAGTTGATGATGGTCCTCTTAGCATTCTCCATGTCCTGCTCACTGAACAGGTCCTGCTCCCTCCACTCTCTCTTCTCTGGCCAGCCATCCGACTGCATGGGCCTCTTCTGCTGACAACAGGTGGAGACTCATTCAGCACATGTTTGGAGAAAGTCACCTGCAAGCTATACAGTATATATTAATAGCTGTTACACTATACTGGTTCCTGCCCTCCATACCTTGCTCTCCAGCAGAGACGCCCACTCCAGGATGAAGGCCCTGCAAAGAGGAGTGGGCCAGATGTCCTCTAGTTTCCAGATGTTCTCCAGCACCTCAGACCTCTGCAGAGAGGGTATAGTGGGGGGTTTAGTAGACTTGTTTATCCTCCAAACTAGACCTGACAATGGATACTTGTACCCTGTATAATGGATGTTACAAAAGGTGTGTATATATTTCAGTGTACCTGACACACTCGATTGAGATCTCTAGCCAGCTCCACAATAAACAGCTGATTTGCTTCCAGTGGCTCTCTCTTCTCATTCTTCGCCCTCTTGCGAGATTCCTGATGGAGGAAAAAAAGAGTGACAAGAGTTAGCCATAGAACACAAAAGTTTCAATGAAATAGAAATAGTAGGAAAAGAGGAAAGGAAACTGATTTAGAGGACTGAAATTGGGGTTTTTACTAGTGCTTTAGAAAGTAATAAGGTCAACCCAGAAAAGAAGGAGCCACTTGGCCTTATCAAAATGCACACCATGCTCTTCTCCTGTCAGCAGGAAAGAAAGAGATCTCCTCTCTCCCATAACCCCCCTGACTACATCTATTATCTACCCAACAACACCCTCATTTACTTGTTTACACAATCAAATTAAACTAAATCAAATCAACAGTCTGTGCAGGTTACTTGGCCCTCTGTAGCAAGACTGGCCCTGCAAGCTCTCTGCTGCTTTCTCATCTGACAGCAGTAATCTGTTTGGCCTGGGTTTTTCCATAACACACAAACACACACACAAGTAAACTTTGATTTGATTTGGTTTAAATATAAATCAATAGGGCATTAAATCAAACTACGGAAAAAATAACTTGAGTAAGCATGTAACTGGTGGCGCTACCATGACAACCCCTCCACAACACCCCTCCACAGCCTCACTACAGACCCTGGTTCGATTCCAGGCACATTGTGTTTTTGTTGTTTGGAGTATTTGTGATGCATGACAGGAGTTTGACCTACCTTAAGCTTGGCTGTGATGTTCTTGACCGGCTCAACTATAAAGTGGAAACACTGCATCATCTTGGCAACTGTGCTGAGATTCTACAAAGAAAAAGCAGCATTAGAGATGTACCTTGACAGACAGGGCACCTGATAGCAGGTCACCTCTACTTGACAATGTTCAAGTGGGCCGATCCATCCATCACACTACCTGTGTAACACAGGCGGCTGGTGGCACCTTAATTGGGGAGGACAGGCTCATAGTAATCACTTGAACGGAATAAATGGAATGGTATCGAACACATCAAACACTTGCTTTCCAGGTGTTTGATACCATTCCATTCACTCCAATCCAGCCATTATTATGAGCCGTCCTCCCCTCAGCAGCCTCCTGTGCTGTGTAAGGATTTCAGATTGACAGGTGCTACTGAACTAAAACCACACCACTGATCTGAGTCAGTGGTAACAGAACCACCTAAATTCTCTAAGGGCACTCAAATGGTTTGAAATCTAAAACTACCCCTGCCCTACTTTCATTAGAAATATGTCAGCCGTTCCACCCCACTGCCCTATATTCTGTCCCCAGTCAAGTTAAAAGACGCTGGCATTATGGGCAAAGGAATAATGCAGCTCCACTGTTAAGAAGATTTATTTAAATAGTTAATCATAGGGTGGAGGACAGGCAACACATTTTACATTTACATTTTAGTAATTTAGCAGACGCTCTTATCCAGAGCGACTTACAGTTAGTGAGTGCATACATTTTTCATACTGGCCCCCCGTGGGAAACGAACCCACAACCCTGGCGTTGCAAGCGCCATGCTCTACCAACTGAGCTACAGGGGACCTACGTGTAAATAACACATGGCTAATCGTACTGGACCAAATCATAACAGCAACACCTCTGTGGTCATCATCATGAAGGATACCTCCCCTTTGGAATCTTTAATGATACGCTGACCTAGTTATTGTGTGGATGTTATTCAAGTCATATTATCATTGTGAGAGAAGCAGGGGTCCTACCTACTTCTAGAGCCTGGGGCATCAACTGATCATTAACTGGGTTAGGATGAGTGATAACAGTCAGAGCAGAGGTTACTTGGCCCACTAACATGACTGGCCCTGCAAGCTCTCTGCTGCTGTCTCATCTGCCAGCAGTAATGTGTTTGGCCTGGGTTTTTCCATAACACACAAACACACACTCCTTGCGGGCTAAGCCAGTAACTCTGCTGTCAGCAGCAGGGTAAATGTGGAACGTGAGTTTAGTCAGTGTGCCACTGAAGCCATTAGCAGATTACCCAGGAGGACTTCCAAACAGGGTTTTAGGTCCTGATACAGCCAAGCACAACCAGATAGAGGATGGCAAGCACAACAGAGACCAAATAATAATGACTGGCGCAAAATAATAATATTGCTAAATGAAATGCATATTCATTAGCACACATTGAGGAGAGCAAAACCAGGTGGCATTTGTTATAAAATGCATGGTAAACTTTGTCAACCTTTTGTAATAGAATACAAATAAATACAATGGAAGGAAATGGAATAGAATGCACACAAAAAACTGTCAGTAGGCAAATTAAATAATGAAAACAAAAACAGGAAACATTTTTCAGGTATTCAGAGTAGGCCTATGTGTATTGCATCTTTTGTTTGAGTGACAGTGACCCAGTTACAGACCAGTCTAGACGCAGTCTGCGCACAAAGTAATGAGCAGGGTCGTGTGACTTTGCGGCACTCCCAGAGAGCTTGATCCTATCCTATAAATCCTTGGTTGACATTGCAACATGTCCAATTTTGCACTATGCATGATAGTTATTAGGTTATTTTGCGACACTAAACAATTCCATGCTGTTATGTGACGTCTGTGGACTTTCATGCAATCGAAATTCTGTATTATATTTTATAGAAAATGTCACACAATCATGCAGTTGAATCGTACAAACTTGTAAGACATACCTGTCACAATGTTGTAATGTAAGCCGATTGGTGTCTTCTATGCACAGGAGAAATTCTACTGGAGAACAAGTTGACTGTATGCTGCAGTATGACTGACCTTGTTTACATACAAGATTTTCGTAGGAACGAGGAGGGTTCGGCTCTCTCCATTTCTGAATCCGAAGGCAGACAAACAGCGCCGCCATGATTGTTGTGGTATCTCAGTCGTCCACGAAGCGGAACAGCGGGCTGTCTAGCTCCCGCCTATCCTTTCTTTGGATTGGTGGATAAAAATCCTTATTGCAATCTCTTTTTGAATGTTCGATGAGGTTTGTTGACGTCAACCGATGCTATGCTACTAGCCTCATTTCATGAATATGCATAGCCATAAGACAACTCCGACATAAAGTGTTTTTTCTCAAAGTTGTCGTGATATCACGTGTCCTACTTATATTAGTAGAGAAGAATTAAGGTGTCCAATAGATTTAAGGTGTCTGTAATAGAATAAACGTGGCAAAAACAAATGTAGACGTTAATAAATGCTTTTCTATGCCTTCCAAAATGTTTTTTACATGGGGGAGTGCCAAGATTGAGGCACGGTGACTTCAAAACAGCCCTGTAAATCATCTAGTATATATATCACTCTTTCACAGGCAGGAATGGACCGCATGCAGAGGACATGCGAAAAGCTATGTTTGCCAAACAGTGTGGAGTGAGATACACTACATGACCATCCGCCCACTGTGTTTAAATAGGAAGTACATTTATAAGGAAATAGAGAAAGAAATGGACACTATTGGTTGAAGAAAAATGCTTCTGAGGTTTGTAGCGTTCTTTTACAATTTGATGTAGAAAAGTGTTTTGTAAAAGTTAAGCCATCGCAGAGAGAGGTGATTTTATGGGGTAAGACATCCGCAGAATTGGTAAGTTATTAAAATACTGATTTCAACATCGATCATTTTAGGCTTACTTACATTGTCGCTGATTCTGTAGCTCAGTTGGTAGAGCATGGCGCTTGCAACGCCAGGGTTGTGGGTTCGATTCCCACGAAAAGCCAGTATGAAAAATGTATGCACTCACTAACTGTAAGTCGCTCTGGATAAGAGCGTCTGCTAAATGACTAAAATGTAAATGTAAAAATATAAGACATTGACTGAGAAACATTTTAAAGATTAACTTAGCCTTAAGATGCTTTTGGGAAAACGGGCCCTGTTCAGTACATTGTAAAGGCATCCTCTCTGTAGTATGATCCAGTGTTCACTACTTGACATGAGAATCTGAGTTTCAGAAGCTGAGTAGTTAACTGTGGTATATTCCAGATTACTTCAAAAGCAAGTTCCATTACAACATCGCTAAAGAGCAAATCCATTTATCCATTAGTTTCAAGTTTTAATGTCACGTGCACAAGTACAGTGAAATGCCTTTCTTGCAAGCGCCAAACCCAAATGCAGTAATTAATATCAATGTAGCACTAAAAATAACATAAGGTAGAACAAAAACACACAATAAATAGAAATAAGAAGAACATGAGAAAGTAAGAAGCTATGTACATGGTCAGTTCCAATATCATATTTACAATGTGCAGGGATACTGGAGTGATAGAGGTGTGTGTGTATATATACTGAACAAAAATATAAACACAACATGCAACAATTTCAGTGATTTTACATTTTAGTCATTTAGCAGACGCTCTTATCCAGAGCGACTTACAGTTAGTGAGTGCATACATTTTTCATACTGGCCCCCCGTGGGAAACGAACCCACAACCCTGGCATTGCAAGCGCCATGCTCTACCAACTGAGCTACAGGAGGCCTATTTTACTGAGTTACAGTTCACATAAGGAAATCAGTCAATTGAAATAAATACCTGAGGCCCTAATCTATGGATTTCACATGACTGGGCATAGGCCCACCCACTGGCCCAGCCAATCAGAATGAGTTTTTCCCAAACAAAAGGGCTTTATTACAGACAGAAATACTCCTCAGTTTCATCAGCTGTCCGGGTGGCTGGCCGCTCCCTCAAAACTTGAGAGATTTGTGGCATTGTGTTGTGTGACAAAACTGCACATTTTAGAGTGGCCTTTTATTGTCCCCAGCACAAGGTGCACCTGTGTAATGATCATGCTGTTTAATCAGCTTCTTGATATGCCACACCTGTCAGGTGGATGGATTATCTTGGCAAAGGAGAAATGGTTCACCTTCCAACAGGACAACGACCCTAAGCACACAGGAGTGGCTTCGGGACAAGTCTCAATGTCCTTGAGTGGCCCAGCCAGAGCCCGGACTTGAACCTGATCGAACATCTCTGGAGAGACCTGAAAATAGCTGTGCAGCAACGCTCCCCATCCAACCTGACAGAGCTTGAGAGGATCTGCAGAGAAAAATGGGAGAAACTCCCCAAATACAGGTGTGCCAAGCTTGTAGTGTCATACCCAAGAAGACTCGATGCTGTAATCGTTGCCAAAGGTGCTTCAGCAAAGTACTGAGTAAAGAGTCTGAATACTTATGTAAATGTATTATTTCAGTTTTTATTTTTAATAAATTAGCAAAAATGGCTTAAAACCTGTTTTTGCTTTGTCATTAAGGGGTATTGTGTGTAAAAAAAAAAACAATTTAATCAATTTTAGAATAAGGTTCTAACGTAACAAAATGTTGACAGGTCTGAATACTTTCCGAAGGCGCTGTAGAAAGGTGTTTGCCTTTCCAAATCATGTCCAATCAATTGAATTTACCACAGGTGGCCTCCAATCAAGTTGTAGAAACATCTCAAGGATGATCAATGGAAACAGGATGCACCTGAGCTCAATTTCGAGTCTCATAGCGAAGGGTCTGAATACTTACAGTGAGGGAAAAAAGTATTTGATCCCCTGCTGATTTTGTACATTTGCCACTGACAAAGACATGATCAGTCTATAATTTTAATGGTAGGTTTATTTGAACAGTGAGAGACAGAATAACAACAATAAAATCCAGAAAAACGCATGTCAAAAATGTTATCAATTGAATTGCATTTTAATGAGGGAAATAAGTATTTGACCCCCTCTCAATCAGAAAGATTTCTGGCTCCCAGGTGTCTTTTATACAGGTAACGAGCTGAGATTAGGAGCACACTCTTAAAGGGAGTGCTCCTAATCTCAGCTTGTTACCTGTATAAAAGACACCTGTCCACAGAAGCAATCAATCAATCAGATTCCAAACTCTCCACCATGGCCAAGACCAAAGAGCTCTCCAAGGATGTCAGGGACAAGATTGTAGACCTACACAAGGCTGGAATTGGCTACAAGACCATCGCCAAGCAGCTTGGTGAGAAGGTGACAACAGTTGGTGCGATTATTCGCAAATGGAAGAAACACAAAATAATTGTAAATCTCCCTCGGCCTGGGGCTCCATGCAAGATCTCACCTCGTGGAGTTGCAATGATCATGAGAACGGTGAGGAATCCACTAAGGGGACAGGACAACTTCACCGCATCAAAGGGATGATGGACGGGGTCATGTACCGTCAAATCTTGGGTGAGAACCTCCTTCCCTCAGCCAGGGGATTGAAAATGGGTCGTGGATGGGTATTCCAGCATGACAATGACCCAAAACACATGGTCAAGGCAACAAAGGAGTGGCTCAAGAAGAAGCACATTAAGGTCCTGGAGTGGCCTAGCCAGTCTCCAGACCTTAATCCCATGGAAAATCTGTGGAGGGAGCTGAAGGTTCGAGTTGCCAAACGTCAGCCTCGAAACCTTAATGACTTGGAGAAGATCTGCAAAGAGGAGTAGGACAAAATCCCTCCTGAGATGTGTGCAAACCTGGTGGCCAACTACAAGAAACGTCTGACCTCTGTGATTGCCAACAAGTACTAAGTCATGTTTTGCGGAGAGGTCAAATATTTATTTCTCTCATTAAAATGCAAATAAATGTATAACGTTTTTGACATGCGTTTTTCTGGACTCTCACTGTTCAAATAAACCTACCATTACAATTATAGACTGATCATGTCTTTGTCAGTGGGCAAACGTACAAAATCAGCAGGGGATCAAATACTTTTTTCCCTCACTGTGTGTGTATGTATGTATGTATGTATGTATGTATGTATGTGTGTATGTATGTATGTATGTACAGTGGGGGAAAAAAGTATTTAGTCAGCCACCAATTGTGCAAGTTCTCCCACTTAAAAAGATGAGAGAGGCCTGTAATTTTCATCATAGGTACACGTCAACTATGACAGACAAAATGAGAACATTTTCCAGAAAATCACTTTGTAGGATTTTTTATGAATTTATTTGCAAATTATGGTGGAAAATAAGTATTTGGTCAATAACAAAAGTTTCTCAATACTTTGTTATATACCCTTTGTTGGCAATGACACAGGTCAAACGTTTTCTGTAAGTCTTCACAAGGTTTTCACACACTGTTGCTGGTATTTTGGCCCATTCCTCCATGCAGATCTCCTCTAGAGCAGTGATGTTTTGGGGCTGACACTGGGCAACACGGACTTTCAACTCCCTCCAAAGATTTTCTATGGGGTTGAGATCTGGAGACTGGCTAGGCCACTCCAGGACCTTGAAATGCTTCTTACGAAGCCACTCCTTCGTTGCCTGGGCGGTGTGTTTGGGATCATTGTCATGCTGAAAGACCCAGCCACGTTTCATCTTCAATGCCCTTGCTGATGGAAGGAGGTTTTCACTCAAAATCTCACGATACATGGCCCCATTCATTCTTTCCTTTACACGGATCAGTCGTCCTGGTCCCTTTGCAGAAAAACAGCCCCAAAGCATGATGTTTCCACCCCCATGCTTCACAGTAGGTATGGTGTTCTTTGGATGCAACTCAGCATTCTTTGTCCTCCAAACACGACGAGTTGAGTTTTTACCAAAAAAGTTCCATTTTGGTTTCATCTGACCATATGACATTCTCCCAATCCTCTTCTGGATCATCCAAATGCACTCTAGCAAACTTCAGACGGGCCTGGACATGTACTGGCTTAAGCAGGGGGACACGGCTGGCACTGCAGGATTTTAGTCCCTGGCGGCGTAGTGTGTTACTGATGGTAGGCTTTGTTACTTTGGTCCCAGCTCTCTGCAGGTCATTCACTAGGTCCCCCCGTGTGGTTCTGGGATTTTTGCTCACCGTTCTTGTGATCATTTTGACCCCACGGGGTGAGATCTTGCGTGGAGCCCCAGATCGAGGGAGATTATCAGTGGTCTTGTATGTCTTCCATTTCCTAATAATTGCTCCCACAGTTGATTTCTTCAAACCAAGCTGCTTACCTATTGCAGATTCAGTCTTCCCAGCCTGGTGCAGGTCTACAATTTTGTTTCTGGTGTCCTTTGACAGCTCTTTGGTCTTGGCCATAGTGGAGTTTGGAGTGTGACTGTTTGAGGTTGTGGACAGGTGTCTTTTATACTGATAACAAGTTCAAACAGGTGCCATTAATACAGGTAACGAGTGGAGGACAGAGGAGCCTCTTAAAGAAGAAGTTACAGGTCTGTGAGAGCCAGAAATCTTGCTTGTTTGTAGGTGACCAAATACTTATTTTCCACCATAATTTGCAAATAAATTAATTACAAATCCTACAATGTGATTTTCTGGATTTTTTTTCTTCTCAATTTGTCTGTCATAGTTGACGTGTACCTATGATGAAAATGACAGGCCTCTCTCATCTTTTTAAGTGGGAGAACTTGCACAATTGTTGGCTGACTAAATACTTTTTCCCCCCACTGTATGTATGTATAAACATGGGGGATTGGAAGTGATGCAAACAATTACATTGATGGAAGTTTCAGTCTATCTGCAATATTAAGCTGATCTACCCCCTAATTATTTATTTTTTTACATTTAAAAACATTTTTTTTTTTAAGTAATAAAATACGATCATACAGTGTTAGACTTTCACAAGGCAATTCAGAGAAACTGATCATAATTTTGGTCCGCACAGAAAGGAGTCATGAGTGCATTCAGGTGTGTGTGCTGCGGCGTATATTCTTCCCAATAAACACATCATCTCATTCTGTTCAGGAAAACCCAGGGTATGATGCCATGTCATCTTGTAACAGTACATCAAACATAGTGATCCTAAACGTTGACACTGTATATGACATGAGTTTTATGATTTGGAAATGTGAAGTGCACATTTGGACTCATGGATGTTTATCTTGCTTGTATGACATCAAAGCAGTATTTATTATAATGCTTAACGTCTCACCTTTCAAAATACATTCATTTATCTTCATTTACAGCATTTCCCTCACTCAGACAACAAAACATTTGCAAAAGTTGCCATTTCTGTCACGCGTGGTGCTCAAGTTCAGAACGGCTGTCAGTCAAAACCCATACAGCACTGTGAAGCGCAGAGCCAGAGCTCTGAAGTCATGTATAGCATGTTACTGTACAGCCACTGCATTCCAATTTAGGCATTTATTAGTGCCCAAACCTGTAATTTTCAATCAATATACGGGTACGAGTGTAAAGGGCTATGAAGATTAAGACATTTAGGACGTTTATTGAAGAAAAAAACACTGCTATTTCCTTTCCTTCATTGAAATCTGAAGGGTTATCAGAAAGTCATTGTAAATCTAACAAAGCCTGTCTTTCAGTATAGCCTGTGCTAATCCCCTAAATACCAAATCTTTATGCTTAATTAGCTGTTGAGATGTCAATGATAAAGAGAGCACCCCATGTCACCTCTTTTTGTGGTCTGTATTTTAAGGCATCAAACGACCATAAAACCTAATTAACTATATGGGGCTCATCTTTTACGACAAGAGCTCAAGGGGATTACCAAACAGTTGCACTTTGTGTCTGTCAGTCAGAAGACTGTGATGAAAGTTGTTCATCCTGTAGTGTCTTCTCATTCTGCCCCTAGGCTGTTTCCAGCTGTGCTGCCCAACCATGAGGAGCTTAATGACCTCTGAGAGACCCCTTTTGTTCTCTCTCTCTCATTAGACACCCAATAGCAGCAGGACAATGGAACCCTTGTGGACACTTCATCTAATGAGTTAAACATAATGATGTCATGGTCAGTAATGTATTTCTGTGAGAGTATTGTCTCAAAAGGATGGGGTAAATTGGTTCAGTTTTCAGTGAAAATGTTGTAATCTTCAAGACTCTGCAATTCTATAGATGGCCACCAGATATCAGAGGTCAACCTTTTTATGAGTGACAATGGATGGAGAAGGAATTTGACAAGGCACAGAGGTAACAAATATGTTAACTAATACAGAGACAAATGCATCCATTTTCCTCCTTAGACTGTCATTATGACTTTTAAAAACAATTCACTCATTGCAAGTAACAATTTACATGATTAAGAAATTATAAAATAGAAATGTAATTAACAGGTAATTAATTCACATGTATAATACTTAGGTTCCAGAGTCATTCAAAATGCACAAAAACACCACTCCCACCAATGTAATGTGCTGTTGGAGGGTTTGGAAAGGGAAAGTTAGACGTCCTCCAGTGATTTTCGAACTTTTCCTGTTCAAATATCCCAAGTATAAATACACTAAAGTACACACACTAAAGGGTTAAAAAATAAGTTTTGAGCAAAATAGTGTTTTTTAGACACAACCGCAAACTTCAATGAGTAGGGCATTCAAGGATTTGGTCTGATGGTCAGATGTGATGTCATCAGCCTCACCCTTGCTTGAGGAACAATAGAGGAGCAATAGAGAACAAAAGAGGAAAGCACCCCCCGCCCCTCCCCACACTTGTGCAATGTCATGTCATACCTGGACCACCTATTGAGATGTGCCTTTTGTTAAGTAAATCAGGTGTTAAATGAGGTGAAAAGGAGACTGGTGGACATTAAGACCAGACAGAGGCAGCACACAGGAGCTATGTAAAACGTGTCTTTATTTTCTAGAAGCCACCACCATCTCAATTAGTTCACGTGACAGACAGGAATTTATAGTCCCCTGTAGCTCAGTTGGTAGAGCATGGCGCTTGCAACGCCAGGGTTGTGGGTTCGTTTCCCACGGGGGGCCAGTATGAAAATGTATACACTCACTAACTGTAAGTCGTTGATGTGAGGGAAATATTACATACTTTTTATTGTCATTCATACTGGTTTCTTCTCAAGCTTGTGCAGGGACTGTTAAAAAACAGGCAGCACAGTTCATCTTATAAAACCAGTTCATGAACAAAAAAGCTTTTAACACAACTACTCTCATTCACTGTTCACAGAGCTCTTGAATAAACAAAGCTAGCTACTTAGTTAAGGATTCCCAGAATCCCAGTGCTGAATTGTATCTTAAAGGCCCAGTGCAGTCAAAATTCAGCTGATGAAACTAACAAGATTTGATCAGTGTTATTTCCTGATAGTTGCTGGTTGAAAATACATTCTACATAGGACCTTCTAAACAGCAGGTTTTGCATGGGTGGAGTTTTGGCTTGCCTGGTGACATCACCAGGTGGTAAATGAGTTAATAGACTAATAAGGTTCCAAACCTCTAACAATAACAACTTGTTTTCCCTTTTCCCTCCCCACTCAGACCACAATTCTTGCTTGTGAAATATTTGTTTTGCTTAAAAGCTATTTTTGTTTCTTTTTGACCATTTTAATGGAAAACTATTACAGTAAAACTATTACAGTAAGGTACATCATAGATACCCATAAATGATTTGATATTGATATAAAAACGGCTGCATTTAAGACCCGTTACCAGAGCCAACACAGGTTTGGTGTTGTTGACTCACTCTCTTCACAGGTTCCAAGACTCACACATAAATTGTAGCTGGCTCAGCTGTACAACCCAAGCTCAGCAGGGTAGGACACAGGAGCATATTACAACTCACCCTTATACGTTTTTGGCTCAGACATTGCACTAAAAGAGGAGAGTGGTTTTACTCAGAATAGGACTTGCTACAACACAGTTCCCAAAGACCAAATAATCCAGAACACCTTCATCCATAAAATGATCTATAGAGGGTACCATGATCAAATGTAGAAAATATGAGAAACATTTTTTTAAAGTCTAAAGATTGTTCTTCCCTTTTTGGTGCTTTTTCTGTTCACAGCAAAATGGTCTTTGTTTTTCAGCAGCCCATTTGCCATGGACTGTCTTTCCGTCTGGCCTGTCTCCTCTTACAGTTACCTTTGGCATTAGAACCTTCCACCTCAGACACATAGTCCTGGCATTGGTCATCTCCAGGACTGTTTCCCTTTTCACTGAATAATGGCAATCCAGGTCTTCCCAGTTCACCAATCTTATTTAGGCTCCAGTTTAAAATCACAACTGACAAGAGGTGTTTAGACATTCAAGTTTGTCAGTATGGAGTAACTCGCAATGGAGAATTTCACTATCTTTGGTCACTATCTTCCAGCATACTGTCACTGCAGGATGTTCCTACAGTACAGTCAAGCCATTGGCTGCTGGATCTGATTCAACCTATTGAGAATGTGTTCATTTCCACTGTCTGTTATCCTCTGACCAGTTTGGCACATCAAGGTGGATAAAAAGCGTCAATACTCCAGTTGTCCTTGTCATCGTGTGCCAGCAGGGGTCAGTAGAGTGTCTGTGGATTCAGACTGGTTGGGTGGCACTGTTGGCATCCTGAGTGGATGGGCACTGAGTGGTTACCTCTGACTGAGTGGTGAGGTCTGTGCCAGGGTGTGGAGGGTAAATGTTTTGGGGGTGAGGGGTGTCTATTCCAGACCCCAGAATGTCCAAGGGCACTTCAATGGAGTGGCGGATGCTCTCCTCATACGTTGGAGGGGGCTGTGGGAGAGAAAGCTCTGGTTAACACTGCTTTAGAACCTAGGGTAAGTGGGTACATGTCAGATGGGTGAGTGGATGGCTTGATTTGAGTGTGTCGCGGCTCATCATATCAAGCTATACTTTGTGACAAAGTGAGACACTTAGTGAGTCACCCTCTTATGTTAACACTCACAAGTGAGAGGCTATAAACTGTCCTGAAAATGTTCAACTCTAAATATTCCACACATATAACAAAATAACCCATGACCTTCTAAGATGACATCCCATCTAAGATTAGAGACTCCATTTCCCAGGTGCAGGTGTTTCCTAGCGTGTATTGGCTGATACATGATATCTAACACAAAACCTAATGGCATCATGTTAGCATTTACATGACAGATTAGGTTGGCAGCACCCGGGCTGCCTTTAGCATCACTCCTCCAGTACAGAGCCTATCTCCGTCATCAGCCAGCTCCTCACTCCCTGACTGACTCCTCTTATCTTTTAATTGCTTGGGGGCCCCGCGGGCGGCAGGGACTGCCCTGCACTCCTCTCCCAGCCCTATAAAAACACCACACACGTACCGGGCAACACAGTTACACTCAGCCCCTCCGGCCACCACACAGACAGGGCAATTATAGGCCTTCAGACCCCCCTCTACTGTTTGACGGGGCCACTTTGAGCTACCGGTGACAGGATGGAGGACTGGTGGGAGGTCACTTATTCACTGGGACGTTTATTAAAGAAAAAGAGGAGCAAAGGAGAAAAGCACAAAGCTCTGCCACTGTTTACACTGAGGACACAAGCTTTAATTATGTTTTATGTGCCTTTTTCTCATTACCTTGTCTGCTCGAGCGTTACGCAAGTCAAAGCCCCGGCGAAAGATCAACATGGTAAAACCTGGTAATGCGCAGTCTGTGTATCACTACAGCAGAAGATGAGATGATAGGGCTCCTATTTGCGGCGCTCTGAATAGTGTTTAATCTTAGAACAAGCTCCAGTTACCCTGTGACAGCACATTCATAATGAACAAAACCTCTCATTTATTATCTTCTTTTAGAGGCCTCTGCAGTAACAGCAGATTATTTATGTAAGGCTCTTTAATAATGGACTAAAGATTAACTTTGGTAACATTCAATGATCTACACTTTCCAGGAAACTGAGGCAGTGTGTGAATACTTATGAGGCCACATGCCACTTATCTCACTGTTACCCATCCACCTCCCGGTATCGTACCTCAGTCAGCATGGGGCCGTTGAGGCCGAAACGGTCAGCGATCATCATGTGTATCTGTCTCTGGCGGTCCTTCTTCCTGACACTCTCGTAGGAGGGCAGCCTGGGGAGGGGCGCCTCCAGGGAGGGCAGGCGGTAGCTGGAGGGCAGGCCGATGAGGAACAGCTGCCCTGACTGATGGAGAGAAGACAGAGACAGACAGGGGAACACAACGGGACAGTTAGAGGGATGTGACAAACACTTTGATGGAAGGTACTGCTGGTGTCTGTTTGGTCATGGAGAATCCTTGTCAGTGCATCACTTCTGACTATACTTGTCAGAGCGATAAACCTACCCACACACAGCGGAAGCAGGGCCCCCTGTTCCTGGAGATTTTTTACAAGACAAACATGGTACCAAAAAATAAATAAATACAATATTATTTAACACTATAAAACATGACAAATGTATATATAATATGATTTAAATAAATCTTGAAATTGGTCTGAGCTGGTATTGAGGGGCCCCCTGGCCTGGGACTGACGCTGCACTGCAATGGCATAGCCTTGTTTGTTAATTTAGCAGAAAATACACTTTTATATTCCCGTGCCCTTATCACAGTCAAGACACCCCTATTTTATAGGTAGAATCTAATGGAATATATAACAAAATAAAATAGAAAATAATATTTTTTAAAATCAAAGAGATGCCAGTGCGAAGTGAGATGCACATCTCGTGACTGGAATGGTTACTTTTTAAAAAGAGTGACAATTTGAGAAGGGTCTCATGCGCTCAATTTATTCAGGGATATAAACCATATAATTTCTTATTTTCGATAATATATATAGATGTTAGTTCGGATTAGGTTTTACCTGTTCTTTGGACATTTCAAAAATGGATTTACAATTTTACATTGCCCATTGCATGATTGCGCATGAATGACCTTATACCCCATGACACGACACATCTGTTTGGTGAGAAGGTTTACTATAATGTTCTTCCCTGTAACTTGTTTTTGAATGGCATCTGAAAGCAAAAGTAGTCTATTCTATATTACATTATTAGGTTGAACTATAGCATAGTAGACACATGGGATTCAGTTCCTTGTGCTAGACTACAGAAAGCAATAGCCTATCGAATTGATGTGGATGTGTTTGCTGCTTATGTTGAAGACTGCTGTCTACCTGATCTTGCATGATTGATGTTATTTAGTTTACGGTCTGACTTATCTAAAGAACCAGGTGTAGCCTAGGCCTAACTCTTTCTCCATGGTTCTGACTTGTCTGCTCGTTGCACATTGCTTTGTATCAATCTGTGCACTTAATAATCCCGGTGCAGGTATAAGATACTTAATGATGATTGATGACCATTCAAACATGAATGCATTTATGATACCAGCTACTTTGGAAGTCCTCTGTAGCTCAATTGGTAGAGCATGGCGCTTGTAACGCTAGGGTAGTGGGTTCGATCCCCGGGACCACCCATACGTAAAAATGTATGCACACATGACTGTAAGTCACTTTGGATAAAAGCGTCTGCTAAATGGCATATTATTATTATTATAAGCCATAATTGTAAAACTGTAAATAATATGCCCCCCACCCCTCCCCTGTGGTGAAACCCTATCACTGGGACTGACAACATATTGACTGAAAACGTATTGACCCACCCAGTGCTGGGCCTGCTTACCTGTGTGTGTGTGTTGTCGTGCATGATGTCATGAGTCTGTTCCAGACAGGGGTTTCCCACCAGTGTCTGTCTGCTGCTGTAGTACTGAGGAGGGGCGTCCTGCAGGAGGACAGAGGGAACAGTGATCAATGTGAGTCAGCGTATAGTATGGTGAACCACCCACTAGCACATTAACTACAGAGATGAGTGAACAACTTCTATCAACCCTCAATTTAAGTTTGAGATTCAACGAGGATCTAATTAAAATATAGATTGAATGTCATTGACGATCTGCCCAATGTTAACCTCATACAACCATCTGGAAGTCTTGCAAGCTTACTTTCTGTTTTGATAGCGCAGTGGTAATCAGTCTGGTAATTACGAGGCTAGCCCAACGTCCCAATTAGGAAGGCATTCACTAATTTCAGCCTTATTGACCAATTGTCATGCCTTGTTTCATTCTTGTAGGTCCTGACTTTTAGCAATACCATAAATTATCTAGCCAATAAGACGACCACCCTCCGATTTCCATGCCTCCTCCCAGTCCCACCCCTTTCAAACAAGATTAGGCAGGCTCACACTGTATGGCGCAGTGGTCAAAGGCACTGCATCGCAGTGCTAGCTGTGCCACTAGAGATCCTGGTTCGAATCCAGGCTCTGTCGTAGCCGGCCGCGACCGGGAGACCCATGGGGCGGTGCACAATTGGCCCAGGGTAGGGGAGGGAATGGCCGGCAGGGATGTAGCTCAGTTGGTAGAGCATGGCGTTTGCAACGCCAGGGTTGTGGGTTCGTTTCCCACGGGGGGGCCAGTATGAATAAATAAAAAATAAATAAATAATGTATGCACTCACTAACTGTAAGTCGCTCTGGATAAGAGCGTCTGCTAAATAACTAAAATGTAAAATGTGCTGGAATTCTTCAAAAACCCTGCCGGAAAACTAGGTGATTACCCTGGGCCTAAATGAGTCTCTTTGTGTTGGGGACAATGCAGTGTCCTACTGTGTCATCAGGGTCCCTGGAAAGAAACCACACAGTGTGACCTTTTCAGCATGTCTCTCTTCCCTTGTAACTGCAGCAGGTACCTCTTAACAAGCGTGCTCAAATACACATTATGACCCCCATACTTAATTTGGGCGGCATTACACAGCAAAGTCATTTTTTGCCTGACTGAGAGTTCAATCCAGCATGAGGATGCGTGATGAGTAGGAGGAGAACGGTTGTAGCAATTTACATAGGAAAGTTGCCCCACTGCAAATCACTCATAGGGAAGTAGGCTTGTTCATATCAACAAAATGGTCACCTTCAAAACATCAGGGCCAGTTTTTGATGCCTGCCTGAACGGTGACATCACTCACGTTCCCAGTGATGCAATTTGACCTTTGCCACCACCCCTCCAGTATGTGACTGAGAGAGAAGCCACAGAAACATTGATGTCAAAGGTCACCTTCCCTCGCTAGTTTGCACTTTCAAGCGGTGAAAAAAGTCCTCAGGATAAAATGGGGAGATGTCCTTTTGTTTCTGCCTCTGATTCACCCAGCGTGAAAAAGCACAACCGTGTAAAATCAGAGCTGAAGTGGGGGGAGGACCCCATCGGCAGTGTGCCTTTTTCAGTGCCGCGACCTGAAGGAGAGCCATTGTCCCCAACACCCACAGGAGGGTCTGGCCACTATTCATGGTGCAAACTGAAGCAGGGAAAGGTATGTGGCTACAACACAGATAGAGGAAAGTAAACGTTCCATCAAAAACAATAATAGAGGCTTTTTTCCATGTGAGCCTCCCTCGCAATCTGGCTTGCCTTCAAGTTGGTGTCCTTGTAATGATCTTGTAACAAAACCACCCTCTTCCACAACATGCCTCAGTTAACCAGTCACTATGACTATATGGGTGACTGGATAGGATTTCAGGGAATGTGTAAGAGACATACCAGGGACACCAAAAACAACAAATTGATTTCAACAAATCTGTTTCTATTTAAAATAACTTCATTGTCAGGAAACGTGTTGTTTACTTTTCTCACACCACTGCCAGCTATCTGTGTATTATTTCACCCAGTAGCACTTTGTCACCTGCACAGTTTCCAGAGGTCATCTCCATACCCACCAAGCTCTTTCCATATTTACACCCTGTCACCCACAGTTTACTGTATAGACTAGACTCCACTCCCCACACTGACAATATGTTTGGAAATAGGGATGAGCAATGTTGTCTGATCTGTCATGTGTGGGTTACTCTAGCTGACAGCAGGTCAAAATGGCAGACATGTACAAGAGGATAAGCCTGTCTTTTCCTGCCAAGAGACAGCATAACTTTTCTCTGTCTGTTCAGGCCAGAGCCAAACATAGCAGAGCCAAAGGAGATTTTGGTGTTTCCTGTCTATCTGAAAAAGTATGAGCAGTGTCCCTGTGCTCCAGAGATAACATACTAACCCTACCCCAGGGACCGAGGGGGGGCAAGAGGCGGGACACAGGGCAGGAAGAGGAAACATGGAGGATGGGCAGAAACTGAAAACTGACCTCCATGGAGAGTTTATACTTCCTGTTCCCTATTTCATGTACCAAGTTAGGGACTTGAATATTGGTTAAATCAAATCAAATCAAATTTTATTGGCCACATGCGCCGAATACAACAGGTGCAGACATTACAGTGAAATGCTTACTTACAGCCCTTAACCAACAGTGCATTTATTTTTAACAAAAAAGTAAAAATTAAACAACAACAAAAAAAGTGTTGAGAAAAAAAGAGCAGAAGTAAAATAAAATAACAGTAGGAATTTTAAAGTTGTTAAATAGTATTGATATGTATGAACCTCCATACTTTGGACATCCATCATGGTACCATTCATATAAGTTACTCTTGTCTGCTAAGTTCTATTCTCAGGGAGGGAGAGGAAAGGAGGTCAACAGTGATACAGAAGACTCCTCCTCTGTGCTTTGTGTTCCTCACTCAGGGGAATACTGAATACTGTATCCAGTTTCTGGGTGAGATTTGCCAGTAGGCTGTGCAGGATATGCTTGTCTGCAGTCAAGATCAGATTTTCCTCCGCCCTGTGTTAGCCATTCATATGTTTTCATACAACATGTTTTGAGTACAATTTTATGCTAAACAATCTGTTTGTAATATTCTCATTGTAGTGGTGTTGACACATCACAAGATTGACGCAGGTATCAATAGCATTTATCAATGCTGCCTCACCACACACTATGGCTCATGGTTGCTTTGGCACTCAGAGATAGTTATGGATGCTGGAGTTCATAGCCAAAGCAGTGTTAATTCCATCAATACAAATCCATGGTTTTACAGTGATCATATCAAGTTTATTCTGGGCCTGTTCCCATAGTCATGCAAATTTTACATGACACCTCTTAATGGCGCTACATTGAAATTGCATGGTACTTTTGGCCTAAATCACCTCATCTAATCTGTATTGTGCCGAATTTGAATGTATGGTTTGTTCACAAGTGACACTTTCTCATTAATTTCAACAAAATATAGTGAATGAGCTCAAGGTCCTTACCATGTCTCCATGGGCATCCTTGCAGCAGTGAGGTTCTTTCCGGTATATGGACAGCAGCACCACGATCACCACAAAGAACACCAGACAAGAAACTAGTAAAGGAGAGGAGAAGAAGAAGAGGAAAACTCATCACCTGCTGTTAACAATGCATCACAATGACAAAGGACATGCCCTTGTACAAAAGGCACATTATGTAATGCCCCAGTCTAATTAATGTAAAGTAATAGTTTATTATAGTGTTCAGGACACTGTAATATGCTGTTGCTAGGGGACAGAGCTTTTCCTGCTCAGGTCACAGGTAATTAAGTTGAAAAGCTGTGTGGACATACTGTGTAGACTATTTAATGGAACGCTGTTCACAATATGTTTTTCAATCTGTGGACAGGGATAATTGGCTATCGTAATGTTAGTCGCAGTCGATTTTCCACACTTCAAATTCATTTACTATCAAATCTAAATGTGAAGTCAACCATGTAATTCATCTTCTGATCCAAAACAAGTCCAAGAGGAACACTGGTAGCTTCAAGATAATACAGATAGGTTCTAAAAATAGAAAGCTTCATATCTAACATGGTAGGCAAATAGGCTGCTATCTACAGTGATAGCAGCTGGCGAACAGTATATTCAACATATTCCTTATCACACCACCACAGCAGTGATTTGATAAAGTAAAATTATCCATCATTGGTGTCAACAACCTGCTAAGGCAACAGACTCCCCATCCAGATCTATAGCATAGGTCAGTGGTCCACATAGGCTAGACTGTGGCAGTTTTCTACAACTTTACAATAGTTGTGTTTTGTCCAAAAAAAATGAATGAACACATACAACTGCTATTATTGTAACAGGCAAAAGTGACATGCCAATACGGATATTTATCATAACAGATGGGTTATTTACAAAAATATGCCTAAAAGTACATCTGATTTTGATCTATGCTCAAATGCCACCATCAGTTTCATGGAAAATTTGACATTTTGAGAGATTAAAAGCTTACTTACATGCTGCCACAATGACCGTGAGTTGATCCGATGTTAACTGAGAGGGGATGGTTGGAGTTGCAGTGGTGGACATCTCTGGCGAATAGACTATCTATGCCCAATTGGATCATGAATCAGAGGCTAAAAGGGGACTGTTTTCATAAAAGGGACCGAGATCAGAGATTCTGCTTCTTTTCCTCATCCCCTGTCCTATTCCAATGCAAGAGAGACGAGCTCCAAACAAGAGTCGGATCAGGGAAACTCAAGCTGGTAAACATGCCACAGTATTTGAGTCCTAGGGCGCGCTGTCGCTCTCTCAAATTCCGTGACGTCGCCCGGCACCTGACAACAAACAGTCCTTGGACGATGTTGATAGACACGCGCGCGCAGTCGCCAAGGAGGCAATTTGGCTGACACTGGTTGTTAAGTAGACACTGAACTCATAGCAGCACACCGAAGGCTTTGTTTTTATACTGTTGAGACAATGTAATAGAGGTTTTTCTGCTGCATTTTCTTGACAGATCATAGGCTAAAGACAACTTTACTCAATCAATCATTCAGAAATGCACTAGTCTGTATTATTCATGACAGACTAGATAGGCTTAATCACCACCACCAACCAGACTATAGCACACGCTAATTTAAATAGTTTATTTATTTGATTAAATGTAACTTATTGACTACATTCACACAACACCACGCTTTACAATATCTTAAAGCTGGCCAATACAGCGTGTTTGAAAAGTAAATAATAAAAATATAATAATAATATGCCATTTAGCAGACGCTTTTATCCAAAGCGACTTACAGTCATGCGTAAGTAAGAAGCCTAATTGTTTTCTCTTGGTTGGGAATCCTAATATTAAGGTCCAAATCAGCCAGGAGGACATCACATTCCAGCGTTGGAGTCACAGGTTACCTTGGAGATGTCTGTGATTGGATAGTGTGCAATGAGAGAGGACAGCCTGTTGGTGGAGTCCAAAACTGCATCTCTGCAACGTACACAGTGCCTTCGGAAAGTATTCAGACCCCTTGACTTTTTCCAAATTTTGTTACGTTACAGCCTTATTATAAAATTGATTTTTTTTTATCCCTCTCATCAATCTACACACAATACCCCATAATGTTTGCTAATTTATAATTAAAACACCCCAGAAATATCATATTTACATAAGTATTCAGACCCTTTACTCAGTACTTTGTTGAAGCACCTTTGGCAGCGATTACAGCATCGAGTCTTCTTGGGTATGACGCTACAAGCTTGGCACACCTGTATTTGGGGAGTTTCTCCCATTCTTCTCTGCAGATCCTCTCAAGCTCTGTGTAAGGTTGGATGGGGAGCGTTGCTGCACAGCTATTTTCAGGTATTTCCAGAGATGTTCAATCGGGTTCAAGTTCGGGCTCTGGCTGGGCCACTCAAGGACATTCAGAGACTTGTCTCGAAGCCACTCCTGTGTTGTCTTGGCTGTGTGCTTAGGGTCGTTGTCCTGTTGGAAGGTGAACCTTCACCCACAGTCTGAGGTCCTGAGCACTCTGGAGCAGGTTTTCATCAAGGATCTCTCTGTACTTTGCTCTGTTCATCTTTGCCTCGATCCTGACTAGTCTCTGAGTCCCTGCCGATGAAAAACATCCCCACAGCATAATGATGCCACCACCATGCTTCACCGTAGGGATGGTGCAAGGTTTCTTCCAGACGTGACGCTTGGCATTCAGGCCAAAGAGTTCAATCTTGGTTTCATCAGACCAAATAATCTTGTTTCTCATGGTCTGAGAGTCTTTAGGTGCCTTTTGTCAAACTCCAAGCGGGCTGTCATGTGCCTTTTACTGAGGAGTGGCTTCTGTCTGGCCACTCTACCATAAAGACCTGATTGGTGGAGTGCTGCAGAGATGGTTGTCCTTCTGGAAGGTTCTCCCATCTCCACAAAGGAACTCTAGAGCTCTGTCAGAGTGACCATCGGGTTCTTAGTCTCCTCCCTGACCAAGAACCTTCTCCCCCGATTGCTCCGTTTGGCCGGGCGGCCAGCTCTAGGAAGAGTCTTTGTGGTTCCAAACTTCTTCCATTTAAGAATGATGGAGGCCACTGTGTTCTTGGGGACCTTCAATGCTGCAGAATTTTTTTGGTACCCTTCCCCAGATCTGTGCCTCGACACAATCCTGTCTCAGAGCTCTACGGACAATTCCTTGGAGCTCATGGCTTGGTTTTTGCTCTGACATGCCCTGTCAACTGTGGGACCTTACAGTGAGGGAAAAAAGTATTTGATCTCCTGCTGATTTTGTACGTTTGCCCACTGACAAAGAAATGATCAGTCTATAATTTGAATGGTAGGTTTATTTGAACAGTGAGAGACAGAATAACAACAAAATAATCCAGAAAAACGCATTTCTAAATTGTTATAAATTGATTTGCATTTTAATGAGGGAAATAAGTATTTGACCCCCTCTCATTCAGAAAGATTTCTGGCTCCCAGGTGTCTTTTACACAGGTAACGAGCTGAGATTAGGAGCACACTCTTAAAGGGAGTGCTCCTAATCTCAGCTTGTTACCTGTATAAAAGACACTGTCCACAGAAGCAATCAATCAATCAGACTCCAAACTCTCCACCATGGCCAAGACCAAAGAGCTCTCCAAGGATGTCAGGGACAAGATTGTAGACCTACACAAGGCTGGAATAGGCTACAAGACCATCGCCAAGCAACTTGGTGAGAAGGTGACAACAGTTGGTGCGATTATTCGCAAATGGAAGAAACATAAAATAACTGTCACTCTCCCTCGGCCTGGGGCTCCATGCAAGATCTCACCTTGTGGAGTTGCAATGATCATGAGAACGGTGAGGAATCAGCACATAACTACACAGGAGGATCTTGTCAATGATCTCAAGGCAGCTGGGACCATAGTCACCAAGAAAACAATTGGTAACACACTACGCTGTGAAGGACTGAAATCCTGCAGCGCCCGCAAGGTCCTCCTGCTCAAGAAAGCACATATACAGGGCCGTCTGAAGTTTGCCAATGAACATCTGAATGATTCAGAGGAGAACTGGGTGAAAGTGTTGTGGTCAGATAAGACCAAAATCGAGCTCTTTGGCATCAACTCAACTCCCGTGTTTGGAGGAGGAGGAATGCTGCCTATGACCCCAAGAACACCATCCCCACCGTCAAACATGGAGGTGGAAACATTATGCTTTGGGGGTGTTTTTCTGCTAAGGGGACAGGACAACTTCACCGCATCAAAGGGACGATGGACGGGGCCATGTACCGTCAAATCTTGGGTGAGAACCTCCTTCCCTCAGCCAGGGCATTGAAAATGGGTCGTGGATGGGTATTCCAGCATGACAATGACCCAAAACACACGGCCAAGGCAACAAAGGAGTGGCTCAAGAAGAAGCACATTAAGGTCCTGGAGTGGCCTAGCCAGTCTCCAGACCTTAATCCCATAGAAAATCTGTGGAGGGAGCTGAAGGTTCGAGTTGCCAAACGTCAGCCTCGAAACCTTAATGACTTGGAGAAGATCTGCAAAGAGGAGTGGAACAAAATCCCTCCTGAGATGTGTGCAAACCTGGTGGCCAACTACAAGAAACGTCTGACCTCTGTGATTGCCAACAAGGGTTTTGCCACCAAGTACTAAGTAATGTTTTGCAGAGGTGTCAAATACTTATTTCCCTCATTAAAATGCAAATCAATTTATAACATTTTTGACATGCGTTTTTCAGGATTTTTGTTGTTGTTATTCTGTCTCTCACTGTTCAAATAAACCTACCATTAAAATTATAGACTGATCATGTCTTTGTCAGTGGGCAAACGTACAAAATCAGCAGGGGATCAAATACTTTTTTCCCTCACTGTATATAGAAAGGTGTGTGCCTTTCCAAATCATGTCTAATCAATTGAATTTACCACAAGTGGACTCCAATCAAGGTGTAGAAACATCTCAAGGATGATCAATGGAAACAGAATGCACCTGAGCTCAATTTCGAGTCTCATAGCAAAGGGTCTGAATACTTATGTAAATAGGGTATTTCTGTTTTTTTTTTTTATACATTTGCAAAAATGTATAAAAACCTGTTTTCGCTTTGTCATTATGGGGTGTTGTGTGTAGTTTGCTGAGGAAAATGTTTTATTTAATCAATTTTAGAACAAGTCTGTAAGTTACAGGCCCGTGCCTCCCTGGAAATGTCCCTGGCCACCCCTGTGGCCCCCCCGTGCTGACCAAATAAAAAATTATGAATTTATAACTATTTTACACGCGAGCGCCAAAAGCGGAACTAATGCAACGCTCTACACGGCAACGTTCTACACGGGTAAATTAGAGTGGCGCACCCAAAAACTGTATCCTGCCATCTGCCTGCCTGCCACGTGTGGTGCTGCTTCGGTGAATGAGAGCTCAGCAACTACTATTTGCGAGAGGAGCTACGATTTGCAGGAGTCGAAGGTAAGGAAAACGATTTAATATCATAAGTGACTTGTTGTTCTTGCACATAGCCTACATGTTCCTTTTGTTCCTCACACATAAATCAAATCAAGTTTTTAAATGTCTGGTCTCGATTTGTTTAGAAATGTAATCATATCTAAGCAAACTCATCGAAGCAGAAGCAAATATCCAAATGTTAGTAGGCTATCCTTGCTAGGTCTACACAATGTTGTGATGTTAACCACGTAACTTCATCCGTCTTGGCTGTTGCATCGCGATAACAAATACATTTTTAGTAAAGTAATCAACAGGTTATCTGCCAGTGTTAAGTAGGGAGGGATGGTTAGGTAACAAAATGTAATGCATGCCCCTACGTTTTTTCTTCTTCTAATAGTTATCATGAAACGAGGAAGGGACATAAAGTCATTTTTTGCCCCAGCAAACAAAAAAGTGAGAGAAACAAATCGAGGTTTTGAGAAAGTTGAGGAAGAGGGAGAGCCAGCATGTGATGAAAGTGAGGGGTCTGACAAAGAGAGGGAAATTCCAGAGGGTGAGGAGGATGAAGAAGAGGGTGAGGAGGATGAAGAAGAGGGTGAGGAGAATGAAGAAGAGGGCGAGGAGAATGAAGAAGAGGGTGAGAAGCATGAAGAAGAAAGCATACAGGGACAGAGAGATGAACAGCCAGAGGGACAGCAAGTGGATCCATGTGGATCAAGTACTGCACCATCAGGTTTGTGATGAGGAAGGTTCTTACTATTTGCAAAGCAATGCAATTACAATGTAATGGTAGGCCTGCTGGGTGTCCTTAAAATGCTGCTTTCTGCTGTTAATTCTTTTTTGTGTCAATATGGCTCTGTTTTTTTTTTAAGTAAATACTTTGCCTACATTTTGAAATACATGCAGATATACAGTAAATAAATGTTGTAGTTGTGCCCTATGTTTACTGTCCATCTTCTTCAGATATCAGCAAGTCTAAGTATGACGTACCAGTACAGCCGAACTTGAAGATATTCCCAACCACACTGATGGGGGACAGAAGACGAAGCTTCAGACCAAACTGGTACACTACTCATCCATGGCTTGAGTATTCTGTAATGACGGACTCTACATGTTGCTATGCATGTAGACATTTTAGCACACCAAATGCCCCAGACACCGTTTTTGTTTCAACACCTGGTTTTACAAACTGGAAAAAGGCAACTATGAGAAATGCAGGGTTTTCACTACATGCAAAGTCTGAACGACACAAGTGTGCAATGATCGCATGGAGGGATTATCAAAGAGCTGTTAGAACTGACGCAACACTAACAGATCTCCTTGACAAAGAACACACTAAACAAGTACAAGAAAATCAGGCATACATTAAAACAGTTGGGGAAGTGCTGTTGCTTACAGCTACACAAAACATAGCACAAAGAGGACATGATGAATCTGAAGGGTCCACTAACAAAGGAAACTTTAGGGAAATTCTTAACACAGTTGCTAACCACGACCAACTTGTTAAGAGAAGATTAACTTCCATTCACAATGCAAAGTACACAAGCAAGATCATCCAGAATGAGGTTTTGGGTTGTTTGGCAGAAATGGTTCGGTCTGAAATCATAGAAGAAGTGAAGAAAAGTGAGGTTTTTAGCGTCATGGCAGATGAAACAAAGGATATTTCAAAAAAAGAACAGATGTCCTTCACACTCAGGTACTATTACAATGGGGCCATTAAGGAGAGTTTTCTCCATTTTGAATCTGCAGAGAGGTTAGATGCAGCAGGGCTTACTGGAAAAATAGTACACTTACTGGAACGTTATGGCCTGGACTACAAAAATAACCTCGTAGGCCAAGCGTACGATGGCGCTGCCGTTATGAGCGGTAAGCATTCAGGGGTTCAGGCAAGGATCAAAGAACAGGCTAAATTTGCCTTCTACGTCCATTGTAGTGCTCATTGTCTGAATTTAGTGTTAGTTGATGTAGTCAAAAGTGTCCCAGAAACGGAGGAGTTTTTTTCTTTGTTACAGAGTCTTTATATGTTTACTTCTTCCTCATATGTGCACCCAAAATGGCTGTCTCTCCAAAGAGAAATGTATGGCAGAACCAGAGAGCTGCAACGTTTAAGCGACACACGTTGGTCATGCCGATTTCTAGCCCTACGTAATATCATGGACACTCTACCTGCCCTTAAACGACTACTGCAAGAGATTGCTCAAGAACGTCATGGTGAAAGAACTGTTGAGGCCCGAGGTCTTCTTGCTCAAATTGACCTAGAATTTGTTGTGCATCTTGTTACTCTGCGTAAGTTGTTTGGGGAGACAAAGCTATTGTCTGACATGTTACAGTCACAAACTGTTGATCTGTCAAGTGCTGTTGACTTAGTAAATGCTTTAGTCCTGACATTGAAAGACCACAGGTAGGAGTCTTTCTTTGATGAGTTGTGGGATGAAGCATTGAATATTTGTGAGCAGTGTGATTCTGCAACAAGGTCAGTGGCGAAACGTCAGAAAATGCTGAGCTCTAGACTCAGTGGCTACTGCACGCTAAGCACTGTTGGTCAGAGGGAGGTAGAACGTGACAAAGATATGTTTCTCACATCATTTTTCTATCCTGTAATTGACAGCATGCTCAATGAGTTGAACAGACGTTTCTCCAATACAAACTGTGAGCTCATGAGAAGCATACAGTCTCTCAGTCCCCAGAGTGATACCTTTTTAAAGGAGAGCAATGTTTTTTCATTTGGCCGTTTGTATAATGCAGACATTGATGATTTAGGGCATGAGCTCCATCAATTTAAGAGAGTTTTGGACAGAAAAATACAGAGTGGTGAAGTCAAAAAGCCATGCAGTACAGTTGAGCTGGTTTGTTTTATTGAGCCATACAGGGAAGTTTTCTTTGAGCTCTTTAGACTGTGCAAGATTGCTGTAACCCTTTCTGTAAGCTCAGCCTCTTGCGAACGCAGTTTCTCCACACTGAAACTGATAAAAACCTTCCTGCGGTCCACCACTAGTGATGAGAGACTCAGTGATCTTGGTGTCCTGAGCATAGAGTCCAGAAGGGCCAAGGCTCTGGATCTTGATGTATTTGTGGACCGTTTTGCCAGACAGCACAACCGCCGTATCCTGTAACACGTTTCCCTGTTTATGTGCTTTAGCAATACTGTATGTCAATATGGTCATGCTAGTAAAGCCTCTTTGAATTGAATTTATTTTCTGATTTGGTTTATTTGACCTAAATGGATACAGGGTAGTGTGTTTTGTTTATAAATCACTCAGAAAGTTTTCTTTCTTAAAACAAAATGTGGAATCAACTGTCCACAGTAGTGGGGCTTCCATAAATAGGAAATGGCACATTGTTGTACCCTTTGTTGTATCCTGGAGTTTTGTTCACATTGAATATGAACCCTGTATTTGTACCCTGTACTTTTTTTTTTTTTTTTTTTTTTTTTTTTTTCATTTTTATGGCACTATCTCTCTTGCATCTGCACTCTTGTACAAAATACGTGTTATAATAAATGTCATATGATTTTAAAGTAAAATAAAGTTTATAATCTTTGAATATCATGTGTTGCCAGTTTTTTTATGTGTGCCCCCCTGATTAAACACTGGCCCCTCCTTGGCCCCCCTAGTAAAATGTGTCTAGAACCGCCACTGGCTGTAACAAAATGTGGAAAAAGTCAAGGGGTCTGAATACTTTCTGAACGCACTGTAGCTAAATATATGACACTGAGCTGCTACAAGCTATAACAAAATTATAGAATCTGATTATCATGATAAAAAGGATCCATAATGATCATGATGGTTCATAATATAATAAACCATATAAAGAGGATTGACAAAACGTTGTAGGCTATAGAAAGGGCGGCACTTTTAATCCTTATATGTAATTAGGAACACGTAAATAGTATTTTGTATTAAAATCTAAATACATTCAATACAATGTTATTACTAATGATGATATGCTTTAATTGTATTTGTTCTGTTCATCATGTAAATGTCAAATTTTCTATAAAACTATCTAGCTGTAAACCTATAACATTCTTAAAAACAAAAAATAATAATCAAACGTATTGTATAAGACTCCAAAAATATGCAATCATTAGCCTGCCTACAACTTCTACGCTGAGGAAATGCAAGTCTATCAGTTGCGTGCGCGTGCGTTGTTCAGATTTGCTTCTCTACTCCCCTGGCACGCGCTCACGTAAACTAGAATCGGAAAAATGGTGGCCAGCGTCAGAGTGCAGAAGCTCCTCCGACGATACAAACTAGCGATTGCTGCCGCGTTAACGATTCTTCTGATTCAAGGGCTAGTGGTATGGAGTCTGAGAAGTCTCGAAGAGGGCGAGGCGGAGGTAAGAAAGCTTAATATGATTTTGGTTAGCTGGTTAAGATAAGATTTGGTCTCTAAAGCAAGCTAGCGTACTATGCTAACGTAAACGTTAGCTAGCTGTCTCTTGTACTGTAGCGAACTACAGTAAAGATATTGTAGTTAACCAAAGCTAGTTCGTAGGAAGCTTATTCCTTGTACGCGTATTATAGCTAGAATTGCAGATTTAAACCAACTCGCTAGTTAAACTACACTAGACTAGTTCAAGAATCAATAATACTTGAAGTGAACCACTTCTTTGTTTGGCCAACCTGTCTCCAGAATTCAGGTTAGACGTTTCCTGAGTATACGCATAATAACGTATGAGGGCATTTTGTTGTAAACTGTAAACTGCCAACCAGCTAACTAGCAATCAAAACATTTAAAAACAGGGCACATTGTGTAGGCTCTCATTTCATTCTGTTGTGACTTGGCATGTCCTTGGATGAATGTTGATTGGTGCTGCGACTGTCACTTCAATTAGTATTGTGTGACTGTGTAGTGATGAAGATAACGGAAATACATGGCGAGGTTGATTATCTGGCTTGCCAACAGGATTAATAGATTCGGTGATTATTCAAAGTAGGTGTCAAGACTTGCGAGTATAATGTCAATTTATGACATGCAATGACTTGCAGCAAGCATATGGAATGTGCGGTCATGCTTCCCTCTGGCTCATCTTTCCTTGTTCTTGCACCAAGCTATCTGAGTTGGCTCATGATCCATTGCATACCATAGTCATCTTAGTCATTTACTCTCAGTTTAATTCACAATTTATTGGTCTTGATATAAGCATAGTAATTGACTTGCATTCTTTCCAAGTATAACATTAAACCTGAACTGTTTCTAGTTAAACAACGCATTTAGCCAATTTGTTCTATATTTTCTAAAGTACTGACTGAACTAGAGCGTCTGAACCGACCTATAACATACTTATCCATGGGAGTCTTGGCTCTCCAATCTCACACACACACCTGGAACACTACCCTAGAGGCAGTGGCCTGGAACCTCCCATTTCTTCTTCAAATAAAGTCCTTGTGAGCTGTCAACAGATTTAGCCCCAGGGGCTTGCATTTAGTTATAATTTGAGGCATTGATACAGACTCAGCCTCAGGAATGTGTGCTGAAAGAGAGTCTGAAGTCCCGCTCTGCCTTTCATGATGTGACATGTGTTGCGTGTGTGCATAACCCTCCAGACTGATCAAATCAAATTGTATTGGTCACATAAACATATTTAGCAGATGTTATTGTGGGTGTAGTGAAATGCTTGTGTTCCTATCTCCAACAGTGCAGTAGTATCTAACAATTCACAACAATACACACATCTAAAAGTAAAATAATGGAATTAAGAAATATATAAATATTAGGACGAGCAAAGTGACCAGTGATTCCATGTCTATGTACATAGGGCAGCAGCCTCTAAGGTGCAGGGTTGAGTAACCAGGTGGTAGCCGGCTAGTGAAGGCTATTTAACAGTCTGATGGCCTTGAGATAGAAGCAGTTTTTCAGTCTCTCGGTCCCAGCTTTGATGCACCTGTACTGACCTCGCCTTCTAGATGGTAGCAGGGTGAACAGGCCGTGGCTCGGGTGGTCACACAGAGCTGTCTCACTGAACTGTGCATACGTGGAGGGAGAGGAAGCATCTAAGGAGGGCCCCAGAAAAGGCACTGTGCATAGGGTGGGTAGGTTTTCTCTGGAACTCTGTGTCTCTGGACTGTGTGTTTCACTGGTGATGTGTTAAATCTATATTATTTCTTGGAGTAAACCCACCATTAGCCATTCTCTGCTTAATGTGTTTCTATGCTACGTCCTTTATCGCAATCAAAAATATGTTATTACTTGGACCGATAGGAGCATTACATCAACCATCTGTCTGAATTTATAACAGCCAAGATGCAATGAATGCATTTCCCTTTGGACGGACACAGTGTAAACAGGAAATGTGACATGACATGAGATCGTCTTGAGAGCAGGATGTTCCTATTGTGACATCTAGTAGATTGCTTTAAATCAAATCAAATCAAATTTTATTTGTCACATGCGCCGAATACAACAGGTACCTTGCAGTGAAATGCTTACTTACAAGCCCTTAACCAACAATGCAGTTTTAAGAAAAATAAGTGTTAAGTAAACAATAGATAAGTAAAAAAATAAAAGCAGTAGAAATAACAGTAGCAAGGCTATATACAGGCGGTACGGTACAGAGTCAATGTGCGGGGGCACCGGTTAGTCGAGGTAATTGAGGTAATATGTACATGTAGGTATAGTTAAAGTGACTATGCATAGATAATAAACAGAGCAGCAGCAGCATAAAAGAGGGGGGGAGGACAATGCAAATAGTCCGGGTAGCCATTTGATTAGATGTTCAGGAGTCTTATGGCTTGGGTGTAGAAGCTGTTAAGAAGCCTTTTGGACCTAGACTTGGTGCTCCGGTACCGCTTGACCGTGCGGTAGCAGAGAGAACAGTCTATGACTAGGGTGGCTGGAGTCTTTGACAATTTTTAGGGCCTTCCTCTGTTACTCTCCATGTTCATTCCATAAGGATGCATCCAGCTATTACCATCACTTCAGTCCTCAGTCCTGAGCCAGCCAGCTTAAACAAAGGCACATTTATACGCCCACCGCCCAATGGTGCAACATAATTTTGAACCTTGTACCAACCGCCTACTGAAATGTACCTTTTGTTAGGTAAATCATGTGATAAATGAGGTTATCGGGAGGCTGGAGGAGGGCTTTTTTCAGTTCCCGTGTGGCTCAGTTGGTAGAGCATTGCAACGCCATGGTTGTGGGTTCGATTCCCACGGGGGAACAGTATGAAAAATGTATGCACTCACTACTTTAAGTCCCCCTGGATAAGAGCGTCTGCTAAATGACTAAAATGGAGAAAAATATGTATTTAACACAATGGCAGTGGCCCTCCCCCTTCTGAGTGAGTGTGTGTATAGAGCTGGGGCCTATGCAGGGCTGAGTGAGTGGACTGAATCCCTCTCTGCTCAGTGGCCTCGATGTAACTCACATCTGCTCTAATCAGAAGCTTGCTGTGCATGTGTGAACACAAACACATGCATCCTATTATAGCCCCCACAGAAGAGGACTTGAGAAGAAGTGAAGAAAACCGCACCTTCTGTTCCGTCATCCCCAGTCAGTGGCTTCATAAAGAGCTGCTGGGGCGTACTGGTCCGCTCCCCTCACATGGAGATGAAGGCAGTGATATGGCTTCAACTAATTGGAAAGAAAAAAAGAAAAGAAACCCGCCTCTGATGTGAGAGCGTTAATTAAAAAGTGTGAAAAATTGTGAAAAGTTTAATTGAAATTGCTGTGTTTCTCTACAATATGATAACATTGCCCAAGTCCACATAACATTTGGTAGCTGTTTGAACCAGTGAACCACCAGTAGAGTAACACTCTTTTAAAATATGTATTTTTTGCCCTATGATGCTTTTCAATAGACTCCTTGAATTAAAACACATTCAATGGGGCTGGGCTGTAACATCATTGTGGACAAATGGTTTTTTAACTGGAACAGCATTTGTGGTGCACTGGGCGATCAGGAGCTGTGTTGTGTGGGTTGGCGACTGGCTGGCAGACTTGCACTAGTCTATCTCCCTGCCTTGTGCTGTCTGTCCCAGGCCATAGCCTCTGTTCCCACAGTCTGTGCTCTGGTCTGTCTCTGTGCCAGCGCCGTGTGGTGAGGGCCCACTCAGGGCCATGCCCACTCCCTGTTTTTCTATCCCCTCTCCAGGTGCATATTTTGGGGCCCTTCTGTACAATTCCAATAAGCCAGCGTGGTAAGCTGTGATATTGTCCTGCCAGAAGTGAAAATAGCTGGGGGGTTGCTGCTTTCGATGCATCCATTTGTGGATGCCCCATTTTTTGCATTCCAATAAGAGTGTGGTGAGAAGTTATGTTTCCCTGTTTATCTCCACTAACCACCAGAAACACCCTTAGAGCCAGAAGAGTCATGATGGTTTTTTGTCTTATGTTTTTACTTAGTTGCTCAGAATGTGAATGAAGGGATAGACCTTAAAAAAACGTGGTTTTGAAACTTGCATCACATTCAGGCACATCAAAAAATGTAACCTAGTTGTGTACCATTCCTTTTGGGATCCACAGATAAACAAGATGAACAGGAAGGCTTTGCTCTGAGAGGCTTTACTGTTGAATTTTGATTTCTCTGTCCAAAGTCTTGCTTTGAAATCAAATTATTTGCTCAGTGAAATCTTTTTTTCAAATGTAAGATACAACAGTCTCACTGAGGGAAAAAATAACATTGTGACTGGAGTGTCCCTGCCCCCCCCCCCCCCCCCGCACACACACCCTCCTCCCAAGGTAGCCCTGGTCCTAGTGTTGGTGGAGGGCCATTGCTGTGCACTGTAGAGTTGAAGTGGCAGGGGCTTAGGGCTGGGTGCTGAAGTGGGCAGCGCTGCGCTCAGCGCTCCTGGGGTTGCAGGGGTGGCTGCTGATAAGGCCACTTGGCCTCTGGCCGACAGTGATCTTATTGGGCAGCTCAGAGCGTGGCAGCCCTCCAGCTCCCCCTGCCTGCCTGCCTGTCTGTCTGTCGTTGCCCATTTACAGGCCTCACTAATTACTCCTCAGAGGACTTCTCTGTCTGTCACACACACATATATACATACACACACTCCCCGCAGTGCTCTGATAAGGACTCTCATTGTAGATGTGAGCATATGCCCAATTTCATGTGGTGTGACTGATTGTCCATGCATGCGCTGTGTGCGCTCTGTGCTGTGCGTTTATTGAGGTCACCGCGGTGAATCACTGCCTTCATTACCCATCTGTATGTTGTGCCTTCTCTGATTACTTCCACAAAAGGCAGAGGGGGGGCTAAAAATAACCCTGAGCAAAAACAAAACACACTGTAAACATATCTCGCCTCTGGTGCTCCTGCTCTGTTGTCGTCTTGTTTTGGTTGTTCTTAGAGGGTGAATCATCTTCCTCGTTTCACAAACACTCTTCCTAATAATTTGATTGGTCCCAGTATGTTGTGTAGTGTATCGACAGGAAAGGAGGAGAATGAGAATCTTCTCTGTGCTAACTCTCTCCCCCCTCCCCAGAGGAAAACACGTCGGTCTAAGCTGCCTGACCACAACAGCCAGGACCCCAAAAGGGAGGCGGTGGGCTGGGAGAGACAGAATGCCTTGTCTGGGAGGAGCGGGGCCCGATGGAACAGCAGGCTGGAGAGGACGGGGGCCACGGCCGCCAGCGCCCTCCGGAGGGGCAACAAGCGCCGGGGGAAGCCCACCGTCAGGGTGAAGGTGCCCCTGGGCCAGGGGGTAGGGGTAGCAGCTGACGGTGTTCCTCCCCACGACCCCTCCAGCAGCCGTAACTTCACTGATACCCGGGGCGGAGGGGAGGGGGCGGCCAGACTACCCCCTCCAGCCATGCCAGGGGAACCGGGCAGCGTGGAGGGGGCACCCCATGCCCCCAGCAGCGACTTTGTGCCCAAGTGTGACATCATGGGCAAGGATGCCCTGTCAGCCCTGCACCGCGCCGGCTCGCGGCAGTGCCGGCAGGAGATCGCCAACATTGTGTGCCAGCATCAGGCCGGGCAGCTCATGCCAAGGGCACTGCCTCAGTTCTGCCCGCAGCACGGTGAGACACACCCCTACCTAGCCATCATTCCTCTAGGGATCAGAGACTAACTGCATATGCAGACAGCCCACACACTGCAGACTCTTAATGATGTATTGGATATTTATTCTCCCTGGTACATTTTTCATTTGTGCCTTGAAGTGCCCCCCAAGGCTAAATCAATGCATGAATATTACATTTGCAGTTCCATTTCTTGTTTTAATGTAAAATGATTTCCTCTGCAAAAACATAGATGTCTGTGAATGTACTCTTTTGGCAGCTCCCACCCCCCCACCCCTCATCCACCTGTACAGTAGGGGTTTGAGGACTACCTATTTTCCATTATCGGACTGTTAATCAGTCCCATGTGTATCATCCAAAGAGTCTGTATCCAGAGGCTCATTCCCATGATCCTCTCTCTCATCCTGTGTGTTGTGTCCTCATCCCAGGTTTTTCCAGCCCGGTCCAGACAGCTGATGAGCTGGACAATGACCTGTCCAAAGTGGAGAACCCAGTCAGGGTAGCCTTCGTCCTGGTGGTCCACGGCCGGGCCATCAGACAGCTCAAACGCCTCATCAAAGCCATATACCACCGAGACCACTTCTACTACATCCACGTGGACAAGGTAACTACTGGCAGACATACACACTATACTGTGATTGGTTCAAGAAGGATTTCATCTAGAATAAAAACATTCAATAAAAATTGTTCACAAAAAAAGGATTACTTAGTTGGAACTTTCCTAGATGCACCATACAGTCTCTTATGGCTGGAAATTGTACTTTGTCATTTGGATGTTCAGGATCAAATAATCACACAAAGGTCATACAGAGGGGGTATGATTAAGCTTATGCTTTATCGTACTCCGCATGTTTCTTGTTAGCTTATGAGGACGCCTTGATATGTAGAATTGCGTCTCTGCTTCTCATATGCTGGCAGGAGGTCTAACCTGGAGGGTCCCGCTGACTCGTACATGCTTGATGAGGTCACTGTGTTTTTCATGTGTAGTAGAGTCTATAATAACCCTCAGGTAAGGAAGTGGTTGGAGGATTAGTCAGGATAGAGGGGTTTGTCTGGTTGCTGTAGGAGAAGTGGGAGCTATAAGAGGGGGATGTCTACACAGGTTGCTCACCCCAGCTCCTGGTAGCATGTCTACACAGCTGCAGAGCCATAGAGCTCAGAGCAACAGTTTAACACTGCAGAGTCGAAGGGAAGGGAAAGCATTGATAAATGAGGAGTCAATGGGCTCCCACCGTTGAGACTACACTAGACGCTAACGACCCACCACCTTATCGCTCCTCTCACTGGGACGGGTAGGCAGGCGCCTTGAGGGATGGGACAGGATGGAAAGCAGGTCAGGTTGTTCTGGAGTCCATCCGCCAGGCAGCCCTCCTCTCTCTACCTGCCCAGCAGAGCAGGCCACTCTCTCCCTGTGTTAGCCTGGAGCTGGGCCCTGTCACAACACTTTCTACCTGCTCCTCTTCTCATCGCAAGAATCTCATCTCTCATACCTTCAGGCCTGTTGTCACCAACCCTGCTGCAGCCCCCCCATCCATCTTTCCCTCTGAATGTTTAATGGTCTTCTTTACGGTTTGGAAGTAGCCTCTTAGCTGAGTTCTTCTCATTCTTTCTTCATGTCCTGCTGTCAGAAGAACCTACAGCTATTTCATACCAGTAGATTCTATTGATTTCTTTGCACGTGCCTGTTTTAATAATTCAATATGAAACTGATTATGGCAGTAGGCAGATTATGTTACCTTAAGGTGTTTACATGTCCTAATAATTCAAAAAATTGCTCAGAAAACCAGGTGTTTTAATCGGCTTATGCTTACTTCGATTTTGACTACGCTCATTAAGATAAGCAGAGTAAGGTGTTTACATGACTAATGCATAATTTGCCAACTGCCATAATCAGTTTAATATCAGATTATTACTGTGCATGTAAATGTTGTCTGTCTCCTAACCCCCCCAGCGCTCCAACTACCTGCATCGGGAGGTGCAGCAGATCGCCCAGCAGTACCCCAATGTGCGTGCCACGCCCTGGCGCATGGTGACCATCTGGGGCGGTGCCAGCCTGCTGAAGGCCTACCTGCGCAGCATGCAGGACCTGCTCTCCATGCTGGACTGGAATTGGGACTTCTTCATCAACCTCAGTGCCACTGACTTCCCCACCAGGTCAGTGACTATAACACCACTGTCATATGATTGGCTTTGAAACTATTGTTTAATGTTTATTATGGTTAATTGACATATGTGTGATGAAGACTTGATCTCAATCAAAATGCTCCACAATATGATCACATTTGTAATATCTGTATTCCTCCTACCACACAACTCTCAATCTGTTTAGAAGAAACGTGCTCTGGATTTGTATTTTCATTTGTGCCTGTCTGAGCCTTTCATCTGTTGCGGAGCTTTTTGGTCTCACTGCGATTTTATTCAATTATTCCGTTGACCTGCAGTGACTTTGACTCCTATAGCTACAAGATAAAGGAGAGCCACGTCTCCTGCTAGTTGAAAGCCCAGACTGTCATGGACTGTTTTGGTCACTGATGCACAGAGACAGACTGCTAAATCGCCTCTTTCTTGTCAATCAGTTCTGGGGTGGATTTCTGAGGCCCTTCTGAGCTGCTTCCAGAGCAGTGGCCAATCATCCTGAACCGTCCCAGGGTTTAAAGGGGGGGAATAAACAGGAATACTTGGATGCACACAGAGGAGCCGCCGCTGCCTCCCAAATCCTGCCGACAGCGGCTAATTCCACCCAGGGAAAGTCCTCGCGCCACGCTCCAGTCAGCGTTTTATTCCCCAACCTAATCCTCTCATCTTCTTTTTTCCTTCACTCCTTTCTTTCTGTCTTCTCCTTGGCCTATCGCCTTCCGGCAGGACCAACGATGAACTGGTGGCTTTTCTGTCACAGCACAGAGACCAGAACTTCCTCAAGTCACATGGGCGGGAGAACGCGAGGTAGGGCGCTTAGTTAGGAAACCTCTGACTCACAGCCTCGTCAGTCTGTCTGACACACTTGGCTCTTACTGTTAGTGTCTGACACCGCTCACATCGGCTGAGATTTTCCTCCACTGCTCTTCTCATCAAGCTTAGCTTCACTCAGTATGATGTAATGGTTAAGCTTTCATATTGGAGGAGAGGACTAAGATGTTGGAAGGGAAAATTAAAGGAATGATGATTATGATGTAAAGCTTCTGTTTGATGTTTATTTCCCATATAGTCAAGGACAGCTCTCTGACAAACTATTTAAGATCAGTTATTATTGCTGATTATTATTGCTGAAGTTAGGTAACAGGTTGTCAATGAACTTGCTTGGTAAAGTAGTGGTTAGATAAATGAATAACTCTTAATCACTGTTCTTCCCTGTGTAGTGTTAATTTTGGCAGCTATTTTAGATTTAGTCTTAGTCTTTTGACTAAAATAGCTTTAACTTTTACTAAAATTACACATTTTAGTAATTTCATCCTTCATAGTTTTAGTTATCAGTTTACTAACACTCTAGACTGAAGTGGCCGCCTGGTAGCTGTGTGTGGGAGAGCCGGGCAGATCAGCTCAATCAGCATGCGCAACTGAAAGACCAATGAGAGGATTGCATTATATTATGCAAAGGCTGTTTCTGATTGGACAAAACAGATCAAAAGGAAAAATAGGTTGTTGACTAATTTATTTTGTCATAGTTATTGTTGACGAAATGAACACTGCCTGTGACCTCCAGGTTCATAAAGAAGCAGGGTCTGGACCGGCTGTTCCATGAGTGTGACAACCACATGTGGCGGCTGGGTGAGCGGACCATCCCTGAGGGCCTGGAGGTGTCTGGGGGCTCTGACTGGTTCTCCCTCACCAGGCGCTTCGTAGAGTACGTCATCAACTCCCAGGATGAGCTGGTGGCGGGCCTGAAACAGTTCTACACCTACGCCCTGCTCCCCGCTGAGGTAATGGACAGGGAAAATGTAGTGGTGAAGATGACAATGTGACTGCTTCAGTCACAGCCTCTCTGGGCAGTAGAGGTGCTAGACTGAAGAGGGGGTCACAGAGCGTTTAGCTGCCAGTTAAAGTGGGTTGGTTGAGGTCATATCTTAGTATTGAATGTTGTACACTAGAGTCAAAAGCATTGATTTGATGTTTTGAAACATGTCTGGATTGTCTTCATTGTTCAGGAATCCCTGTGGAGATGGTGAAATGTTGCAATTCTATTTACAGTAAATGCCACAACCCAGTGTTTGAAATATTAATATAATCCCTCCTCTCTGTTCCAGTCCTTCTTCCACACAGTGCTGGGGAACAGTCACATGTGTGACTCTCTGGTGGACAACAACCTGCGTGTAACCAACTGGAACAGGAAGCTGGGCTGTAAGTGTCAGTACAAACACATAGTGGACTGGTGCGGCTGCTCCCCCAACGACTTCAAACCACAGGACCTCATCAGGATACAGGTCAGTCAGCCAGCCAGCCAGGAGAGGGCACTGTTGTACCCATCATGAGTTCAAATTGAGTGTCCTTAACTGCTGCACTCCTCCTCAGCCAACAAGTGTAGTATTTAACCTTGATTCTCATGTCTTCATTCCCCCACAGCAACTGACCCGGCCCACGTTCTTTGCCCGTAAGTTTGAGTCCATGGTGAACCAGGAGGCTATAGACATCCTGGACACCCACCTGTATGGGCACTACGCCCCAGGAACGGTGGCCATCAAGGCCTACTGGGAGAGCCTGTTTGAGCGGGCGGATGGGGTGGGCTCCCTCAGTGACGTGGCCCTCACGGCCTACTCCTCCTTCTTCCGCCTGGGCCTCAGGAGCCTGGAGAGCAGCCAGACCAGCCTGGATACCTGCAAGTGAGGCCCTGCCCTGAATACTACAATCTTTCCAAATGGTAGATTCAGAGTGGAATATTTCACTATTACTTAGGCTAGTTGAGGCTCAATAGATAGATTTCTTCAAAAGAAGGACAACTTAAGTCCAGGTTTAATTATTGATATACACACTAAACAGATATCTCAATTGATTTGACCTTCTCATATTGTCTATTCAAATATCTCTTCCTCCTTTTGTGCAGGTATGAGCCAATAGGCTACCCGGTGTCAGTGCACCTGTATTTCTACGACGAGCGTTTCCAGGGCTACCTGGTCCGTCAGGAGGTGCAGAACGTGGGGTCAAGGGTCAGGGAAACGGTTGGAGGTGTGGGCCGTGCCTCAGTCCACCATGCAGCTGGAGAACAACCTCAGGGAGTTTGAGAGGCTCAAGAACCTGGAGGTGGGTTGGAGCTGAGATAGATAGATAGTTAGATGTCTGTCTGTCTGTATTTCTATGGGTATTGTGTACAGTCAAGGTTGTTGCAGTTTAGATAGTGGTGTATGGCAAGGGCTGAGACTACGGATGAACACGTTTGTGGACCTAGTTTGATGATGAAATACCCATATCTACTGTAGTCTAGATGTTGGATACAAATTAAGAAGTTAGAATACCATTAGTACAACAAGGATACAAGACTGCCCTAACACATTGATGTAAAATGTCTGTGTCTGCTTATTTTTCCCCCCTCAGGTGGGCACAGAGTGGGACCCCAAGGAGAGAATCTTCCGGAACTTCGGCGGTGTGATCGGGCCGCTGGACGAGCCGGTGGCGGTACAGAAGTGGGTGAGGGGGCCCAACCTCACTGCTACCATCGTGTGGATCGACCCCGCCCAGACGGTGGCGGCATCTTATGACATCAGCGTGGATGTGGATGCAGAGTACACGCAGTACAAGCCCCCGCTGCAGCGGCCGCTCCGCCCCGGGGCCTGGACAGTCAGGGTGCTCAGGCTGTGGGAGCGCGTGGCCGAGGCTCGCTTCCTTGTCATGCCCCTGGCCTTCAAAGGACGAGAGCCACTACGCCAAGGTCAGCCTGGTGGTTTGAGGGTCGGGTAGTTCATCTATACTTTTTACCAGGAAGTGAAGTGGTTCCAAAGGGAGTTTAGTTCAGGGTAGTTTGCCCCTTTGGTGTTCTGTTTGATTCAGTGCAGCCATTCAGCCTCCGTATCCAATTCAACTCACTGGAAGACTTGTCTCAGTATGTATTTATGTATCTGATGAGGATGTTGTGAACTGATCCCTAACAGTCCTCTCTTCCCTTTCTTCCTCCCCCTGCCACCCTGCCTGATCCAGAGGAGGACAGCTGGCTGCACGCGGGGCCACCAGGCAACCTGTACCTAGAGCAGGGCTTCCAGCAGCTGAGATCTGTTCTGAAGCTGCCCCCCCAGGAGCCCGCCCTGCAGGAGGCTCAGCAGAGGGCCCAGCTGGTAGGCAAGCCCCTGGATGCCTGGGTGGACAGCACCGTGGGGGCCTTCTGGGTGACCGGGGACCTGTGCTCCACCCAGCCCTCCCCGGGCCCCTGCCCTTCCCTGGGCCCCTGCACCAAGTCCACCTGGAGCTCCCTCGCCCCAGACCCCAAGTCAGAACTTGGCCCTGTCAAAGGTGACGGCCGGATCAGGTAGCCCCCCGGAGAGGAGGCATGCTGGACTACATTAGAGGAGGAGAGGAGAGGATATGTGAGCCCTGAGGAGAGAGGGGAGAGTGGGGTCTGGTCTCTGAGGCAAACTCATAGCGCACCTAAATAGACAAGGCTTCTCCCTACATATGCTGAGGTGTGGCTATGCTCTCAGTTTAGAGGCTACATGGCCTTTTCAGAGAAGATGCGTGCTGGAAATGTGCACATGAAGACTGCAAGACAAAGGATTTTTTTGTGTTCAAACGTCATTACATGGACGATTTCTGTTATGTTATCTGTCTGCACATAAGTCTTCATTCAGGGTTTCTCTGGGTAGAACCTTGGATATGTTCGAACTCTGTTCAGTGCACAGTTTTCTTCTGCTTGAAGGAATGTAAAGCAGTGGCCAACATTTTGACAGTGGCTAAATGCTGTGTTGAATTGTTGTCAGAGGGGAGTGGGCCCTCTGGACTAGGATCTTCATGCTTATTTTCAAGCATTATTATCAGAACTTCAGCAGCAGATGGAGGAAGTGCACTTTACTGTAAGACTGTAAGGTTACGCAGGACAGGGTCGATCACTAGTTGGAGAACGACAACGAGGAGGAGTAGGAGCTTAAAAGGTCACGGTGGAGGTCGTCACAATGGTGACATGGCGTCCTCTTCCCTTCGCTTACTTACATGTCTTTGTATAAAAGTGCTGCTAGAGCATATCTGGACCAGCTAGCTCACCTGGAGGTGGAAGAATGGTACCAGCTGAAACCATACCATATCTGGACCAGCTAGCTCACCTGGAGGTGGAAGAATGGTACCAGCTGAAACCATACCATATCTGGACCAGCTAGCTCACCTGGAGGTGGAAGAATGGTACCAGCTGAAACCATACCATATCTGGACCAGCTAGCTCACCTGGAGGTGGAAGAATGGTACCAGCTGAAACCATACCATATCTGGACCAGCTAGCTCACCTGGAGGTGGAAGAATGGTACCAGCTGAAACCATACCATATCTGGACCAGCTAGCTCACCTGGAGGTGGAAGAATGGTACCAGCTGAAACCATACCATATCTGGACCAGCTAGCTCACCTGGAGGTGGAAGAATGGTACCAGCTGAAACCATACCATATCTGGACCAGCTAGCTCACCTGGAGGTGGAAGAATGGTACCAGCTGAAACCATACCATATCTGGACCAGCTAGCTCACCTGGAGGTGGAAGAATGGTACCAGCTGAAACCATACCATATCTGGACCAGCTAGCTCACCTGGAGGTGGAAGAATGGTACCAGCTGGGGCACAACAATCAGTTAAAGTTGGGAGAGAGTCCTCTTCTCTCATGAGTTCTGTTTACTGTGACATGTTTTTCAATGTTTGTTTTGTTTGTTTCTTGAACATTGAAATGTGAAATGTCTTTGTTGTCCATGATCACTGCAAAGCAAAGTCACCGGGGGTTTTGTGTGTCAGAGGAAGTGCCTAACTGATGTGGGTAATATTCAAGGCTACAGTGGCCTGGCTCTCCTGTGTTGTGTCATCATCATATTCACAGTGGACTACGTCCCTTCTCAATGGGTCTACTCACTGTTATGCTATATAGGCCTAGCCAGAGCCATATATTTAGAGTTAGGCAAACTTTTAGAATTTTGAATATTGTTCTAATTCTAGACAGTCATGCGATTGCATCATAATGGGTAAGAGCGTCTGCTAAATGGTGTAAATGTAATGGAGAAACCGCATTGGCCCAACTCTCTAAATACAGTGGGGGAAAAAAGTATTTAGTCAGCCACCAATTGTGCAAGTTCTCCCACTTAAAAAGATGAGAGAGGCCTGTAATTTTCATCATAGGTACACGTCAACTATGACAGACAAAATGAGAGAAAAAAATCCTGAAAATCACATTGTAGGATTTTTTATGAATTTATTTGCAAATTATGGTGGAAAATAAGTATTTGGTCAATAACAAAAGTTTCTTAATACTTTTATATACCCTTTGTTGGCAATGACACAGGTCAAACGTTTTCTGTAAGTCTTCACAAGGTTTTCACACACTGTTGCTGGTATTTTGGCCCATTCCTCCATGCAGATCTCCTCTAGAGCAGTGATGTTTTGGGGCTGTCGCTGGGCAACACGGACTTTCAACTCCCTCCAAAGATTTTCAATGGGGTTGAGATCTGGAGACTGGCTAGGCCACTCCAGGACCTTGAAATGCTTCTTACGAAGCCACTCCTTCGTTGCCCGGGCGGTGTGTTTGGGATCATTGTCATGCTGAAAGACCCAGCCACGTTTCATCTTCAATGCCCTTGCTGATGGAAGGAGGTTTTCACTCAAAATCTCACGATACATGGCCCCATTCATTCTTTCCTTTACACGGATCAGTCGTCCTGGTCCCTTTGCAGAAAAACAGCCCCAAAGCATGATGTTTCCACCCCCATGCTTCACAGTAGGTATGGTGTTCTTTGGATGCAACTCAGCATTCTTTGTCCTCCAAACACGACGAGTTGAGTTTTTACCAAAAAGTTCTATTTTGGTTTCATCTGACCATATGACATTCTCCCAATCCTCTTCTGGATCATCCAAATGCACTCTAGCAAACTTCAGACGGGCTTGGACATGTACTGGCTTAAGCAGGGGGACACGTCTTGCACTGCAGGATTTGAGTCCCTGGCGGCGTATTGTGTTACTGATGGTAGGCTTTGTTACTTTGGTCCCAGCTCTCTGCAGGTCATTCACTAGGTCCCCCCGTGTGGTTCTGGGATTTTTGCTCACCGTTCTTGTGATCATTAATCCCCACGGGGTGAGATCTTGCGTGGAGCCCCAGATCGAGGGAGATTATCTGTGGTCTTGTATGTCTTCCATTTCCTAATAATTGCTCCCACAGTTGATTTCTTCAAACCAAGCTGCTTACCTATTGCATATTCAGTCTTCCCAGCCTGGTGCAGGTCTACAATTTTGTTTCTGGTGTCCTTTGACAGCTCTTTGGTCTTGGCCATAGTGGAGTTTGGAGTGTGACTGTTTGAGGTTGTGGACAGGTGTCTTTTATACTGATAACAAGTTCAAACAGGTGCCATTAATACAGGTAACGAGTGGAGGACAGAGGAGCCTCTTAAAGAAGAAGTTACAGGTCTGTGAGAGCCAGAAATCTTGCTTGTTTGTAGGTGACCAAATACTTATTTTCCACCATAATTTGCAAATAAATTCATTAAAAATCCTACAATGTGATTTTCTGGATTTTTTTCTTCTCAATTTGTCTGTTCATAGTTGACGTGTACCTATGATGAAAATTACAGGCCTCTCTCATCTTTTTAAGTGGGAGAACTTGCACAATTGGTGGCTGACTAAATACTTTTTCCCCCCACTGTACATGGCTCTGGGCCTAGCTGCCTCTTCTCTATCAGTGTATATGCAGTGCAGTACTGTCCACGCTGTCTATGCTCTGTATGCCAACAAAGTGAAGACTCCTCTGTCATCTACTGTACCTACCACTTTAATGTTAATGTTTGTCCATAAGCATTTCTACCACTGAAACTCCCGCCCAAGAGTGGTCAACTACTATTTCACGGCCTGGTCAAGAAATCAAAGCTGCTTTTACTTTGTTTGTTAATATGAACTGTTTATAATGGGAGAATAGCTTCAAGATGTGCAAATATTGCCTTTTTAGACAATTATGAAACCCTACCCTATACCTTAGTTTTTAATTGTAATGTTTTAAAACTAAACCGGCTGAAACCCCTACTTATGTAGTTTTTTTCAGTCTCTCTGCCACTATATGAGTTTACAAGTGACCTTGTTTCCCTTGCAAACTTGCTTCAGTGAAGCCTCCGTTTAACAGAAAGAATAGCAGAGCCCCGTTTAGTGTAAATGGAATTGGCTATTACTATTTTTGAATTTTAGTCTTTGAGAAATATATATTTGTCCATCCATTCAATATCAACCCCTCTGTCAAATTGAGAAACACTTCTTGTATTATTTTTTGGACACGTCATCCTTCATTCAATGTCACTTGAAACAGATCCTCCCCTGGATCTTCCATCTATGCTGTATCACCCCACAGCCCACTCATGACTCACTCTGATGATGATGACATCGTGGCAATGGCTCCCTCCCTGAGGCATGACAATGCTGGACTGGAGAGGGGAGTGCTGGCCAATCACAGAACGCCTCTGGTAAAACTGACATGACAACAGGTTGACTGGTGGCACAATAAAAAACAAATACAAAAATCAAATCTGGTCCAGTCATGCTTTTTTGGGGTATTTAGTTTGACTCGGTTTTGACTAGAATGAAATGTATTCTGCTAGTGAGTAATGTCAGTGCTTTATGGCATTATTTTAACAGGTTTCCAAGGCTCTCTGAGAGGCTGGATAGTATCAATAATCATTAACCAAGAGGTCGTGTGTTCAGGTGTGAAATTAGTCATTGATATACAATATATTATTTCGGTCACAATGACTAGTTTAAAAGCAGGTTTAGGATATGACTCAATATGCCTCATCCATCCCTCAAAAGTACATAGCTAAATCGCAGTAATCCCAAAGAGAAGACACGTGATGCTTTGCGTCTGAAGAAAGGCGCTCTCCATGGTGCTGAACACGATGCACATCCTCCACTTCACCGCACGCATGGTTTCATAAATAGTATAGCACCTCCGTGTTCACTTCTAGTAGGAGCGCTTTGCTTTAAATTTTTATTCGACTCTGCGGAAATGATCCCCCTAGGTGGCTATAATTCTTGCCAGGAGCATCAGTATCAAAGCTGCAAGTGCAAGGGATTTAGAGCTAGACAAGGAGGGGGCGGTGAGTGTAGAGAAGAGTGACAGCAAACGAGAGAGAGCGGGGAAGGGAGATAAAGTTATTGCAGCGACGTATCTAAAAGCCCCGCTTTAAAAAAATAAACTCGTTGACAAAAATATTCTATTGGAACGAATAAATGGGAACAAATAAGGAGATGGATATCATTATGGAGAATACCCCTGAAATGGAATGTGTTGACCAGGGCGAGGCGCTTCACTCAGACAGTGCCTATGGGTCATCTGCGGTGGACACGGATACAGAGGACTGCCTGACTCCCCTCGAGATCACTTTCCCCTATAACGAGGACCTAATGCACAAGGTGATTAGGCTACTTTTTCATAACTTCACTTAACACTTAGGCTAATTTAAAATCACCAAAGAGACTGAACTCACATAAGATGATGTGCTAAATTGGCCAATACTATTGGGGTAGCCTATCTTTATATACAGAATCTGTACTCTTTGTACTCTTTTATAAATATATATTTTAAGTATTTTATATTTAAGTATGTCTTTCTGTAATAGTTTGAAAGTAAACTCTTCTGTCTGCGTGAACAATGCCTTCATTATGTGACATGGGAGGTCCTACAACAGTCCGCATTATACTTGAGTGGATATTTCAGATGTATGTGTAGTGTAGAGGTAATAATCTCAAAGTTGGACTGACTATGTAGGTAAGCATTTTGGAATGGTTGCGCATTGCTAGGACATCTCAGTGTGTGATGACTGCTTGTGGAGAACCCATTCCCTCTGCCAGCTTCCATGACTTCATTAATCTCTCTCACCTGAATCAGCACTGATACCTGGCAGGCTTCAGGGGCCCTGGACAGCCAGGCTGACACCTGTGCATGTCCAATGGCAATGGGACAAAAACAAATATTTAACTTAGCCCTCCAGGTTATATCATGAAAATGTAACCTGACCATTACTTTCTATAGTGTAATGTATGGTTGAACTGCTCCCCTTTTGTTTTTGTGAGCCACAGCAACACGCATACACCAGCAAGTGCCTACTCATATGATGTATACTTTGTCATTATTAACTGCATTTTTATTTGTACTTCATGTGAGCACACTTGGTAATTGAAGGGATATGTATCAGGGTTGGGGTCAATTCCATTTAAATTCCAGTCAATTCAGGAAGTATAAATGAATACAAATTCCAATTATCTTCAATGCTTTTCAATGAGGAAAATGTGGAATTAGAATTGGAATTTGGTTTATTTTCTGAAATGACTGGAATTAAAATAGAATTGACCCCAACCCTGATATGTATGCTTCTAGTACTTTCTCTGTTTCTTCCTATGTGTAATCTCATAGCCTTGATAGAACATCTTCCTGTTAAAGACCAATGCTACTTTTTAGGACATTAGCACTGATGCCATCGTTAAGTTATTCTAGAGAAACTTGCATTTTTAAAGACTTCTTTTACCTCAGGAAATATGTGGGTGTGTGGTGGAAGTAGAAGGGCGGAAATGGCATGAAAGAAAGATGAGGCATGTTATTCACTCACAGTTGGAGACCAAATTCACTTTAACATCACATTCTTTTTTTCACAATACACCCACTTATACTCATCAACATTGTTGGGGTAAATTACTTTAGTAAGCAACATCTAATATTAACGTCATACTTTTTCATATCACTTTATTTTTAGGGCAAGTCTTTGAATTCATAGCAAGTATATATTATTTATCCATAGGCATCAATAGTGATACTAATAATTGGTTCATTCTGTAACAACTCTATTCCCCAAAGCACCTAGACAAATCCAGCCCTCACGTCAACTGACAGAATACTCCAGTGTAGGAACAGAAAGTGCTTATGTTAAATGTTTACATTTACCCTCTGTGTTACCTTCACAAACAATGCAGCGTAATGACTCAGCAGGCATATGAGGACATCCCCAGAGGTCGATTCTCATTAACTGAAGGAAAACAACAACCTTTTGCTATATTAGACAGAGAGAGAGAGAGAGACGTGCAGGGAGATGAGAATTCACCCCCCTTGGCATTTTTCCTATTTTGTTGCCTTACAACCTGGAATTTAAATGGATTTTTGGGGGGTTTGTATCATTTGATTTACACAACATGCCTACCACTTTGAAGATGCAAAATATTTTTGGGGGTGAAACAAACAAGAAATAAGACAAAAAAACTGAAAACTTGAGCGTGCATAACTATTCACCCCCCCAAAGTCAATACTTTGTAGAGCCACCTTTTGCAGAAATTACAGCTGCAAGTCTCTTGGGGTATGTCTCTATAAGCTTAGCACATCTAGCCACTGGGATTTTTGCCCATTCTTCAAGGCAAAACTGCTCCAGCTCCTTCAAGTTGGATGGGTTCCGCTGGTGTACAGCAATCTTTAAGTCATACCACAGATTCTCAATTGGATTGAGGTCTGGGCTTTGACTAGGCCATTCCAAGACATTTAAATGTTTCCCCTTAAACATTTACATTACATTTACATTTACATTTACATTTACGTCATTTAGCAGACGCTCTTATCCAGAGCGACTTACAAATTGGTGCATTCACCTTATAGCCAGTGGGATAACCACTTTACAAATTGTATTTTAATATTTTAATATATATATATTTTTTTTTTTGGGGGGGGGGGGGGGGGGGGGGGGGTTAGAAGGATTACTTTATCCTATCCCAGGTGTTCCTTAAAGAGGTGGGGTTTCAAATGTCTCCGGAAGGTGGTGAGTGACTCCGCTGTCCTGGCGTCGTGAGGGAGTTTGTTCCACCATTGGGGTGCCAGAGCAGCGAACAGTTTTGACTGGGCTGAGCGGGAACTGTGCTTCAGCAGAGGTAGGGGAGCCAGCAGGCCAGAGGTGGATGAACGCAATGCCCTCGTTTGGGTGTAGGGACTGATCAGAGCCTGAAGGTACGGAGGTGCCGTTCCCCTCACAGCTCCGTAGGCAAGCACCATGGTCTTGTAGCAGATGCGAGCTTCAACTGGAAGCCAGTGTAGTGTGCGGAGGAGCGGGGTGACGTGAGAGAACTTGGGAAGGTTGAACACCAGACGGGCTGCGGCATTCTGGATGAGTTGTAGGGGTTTAATCGCACAGGCAGGGAGCCCAGCCAACAGCGAGTTGCAGTAATCCAGACGGGAGATGACAAGTGCCTGGATTAGGACCTGTGCCGCTTCCTGTGTAAGGCAGGGTCGTACTCTCCGAATGTTGTAGAGCATGAACCTACAGGATCGGGTCACCGCCTTGATGTTAGCGGAGAACGACAGGGTGTTGTCCAGGGTCACGCCAAGGCTCTTCGCACTCTGGGAGGAGGACACAACGGAGTTGTCAACCGTGATGGCGAGATCATGGAACGGGCAGTCCTTCCCCGGGAGGAAGAGCAGCTCCGTCTTGCCAAGGTTCAGCTTGAGGTGGTGATCCGTCATCCATACTGATATGTCTGCCAGACATGCAGAGATGCGATTCGCCACCTGGTTATCAGAAGGGGGAAAGGAGAAGATTAGTTTTGTGTCGTCTGCGTAGCAATGATAGGAGAGGCCATGTGAGGATATGACAGAGCCAAGTGACTTGGTGTATAGCGAGAATAGGAGAGGGCCTAGAACTGAGCCCTGGGGGACACCAGTGGTGAGAGCACGTGGTGTGGAGACAGCTTCTCGCCACGCCACTTGGTAGGAGCGACCGGTCAGGTAGGACGCAATCCAAGAGTGAGCCGCGCCGGAGATGCCCAGCTCGGAGAGGGTGGAGAGGAGGATCTGATGGTTCACAGTATCAAAGGCAGCAGACAGGTCTAGAAGGACAAGAGCAGAGGAGAGAGAGTTAGCTTTAGCAGTGCGGAGAGCCTCCGTGACACAGAGAAGAGCAGTCTCAGTTGAATGACCAGTCTTGAAACCTGACTGGTTTGGATCAAGAAGGTCATTCTGAGAGAGATAGCAAGAGAGTTGGCTAAAGACGGCACGCTCAATAGTTTTGGAGAGAAAAGAAAGAAGGGATACTGGTCTGTAGTTGTTGACATCAAAGGGATCGAGTGTTGGTTTTTTGAGAAGGGGTGCAACTCTCGCTCTCTTGAAGACGGAAGGGACACAGCCAGCGGTCAAGGATGAGTTGATCAGCGAGGTGAGGTAAGGGAGAAGGTCACCGGAGATGGTCTGGAGAAGAGAGGAGGGGATAGGGTCAAGCGGGCAGGTTGTTGGGCGGCCGGCCATCACAAGTCGCAAGATTTTATCTTGAGAGAGAGGGGAGAAAGAAGTCAAAGCATAGGGTAGGGCAGTGTGAGCAGGACCAGCAGTGTCATTTGACTTAACAAACGAGGATCGGATGTCATCAACCTTCTTTTCAAAATGGTTGACGAAGTCATCCACAGAGAGGGAGGAGGGGGGGGGGGGGGGGGGGGGGGGGGGATCCAGCAGGGAGGAGAAGGTGGCAAAGAGCTTCCTAGGGTTAGAGGCAGATGCTTGGAATTTAGAGTGGTAGAAAGTGGCCTTAGCAGCAGAAACAGATGAAGAAAATGTAGAGAGGAGGGAGTGAAAAGATGCCAGGTCCGCAGGGAGTCTAGTTTTCCTCCATTTCCGCTCGGCTGCCCGGAGCCCTGTTCTGTGAGATCGCAATGAGTCAAACCACACAAGTGTTGCTTTAGCAGTATGCTTAGGGTCATTGTCCTGCTGGAAAGTGAACCTCCGCCCCAGTCTCAAATCTCTGGAAGACTGAAACAGGTTTCCCTCAAGAATTTCCCTGTATTTAGTGCCATCCATCATTCCTTCAATTCTGACCAGTTTCCCAGTCCCTGCCGATGAAAAACATGGTGTTCTCGGGGTGATGAGAGGTGTTGGGTTTGCGCCAGACATAGCGTTTTCCTTGATGGCCAACAAGCTAAATTTTTGTCTCATCTGACCAGAGTACCTTCTTCCATATGTTTGGGGAGTCTCCCACATGCCAAACACCAAACGTGTTTGCCTACTTTTTTCTTTAAGCAATGGCTTTCTTCCTGGCCACTCTTCCGTAAAGCCCAGCTCTGTGGAGTGTACGGCTTAAGGTGGTCCTATGGACAGATACTCCAATCTCCGCTGTGAAGCTTTGCAGCTCCTTCAGGGTTATCTTTGGTCTCTTTGTTGCCTCTCTGATTAATACCCTCCTTGCCTGGTCCGTGAGTTTTGGTGGGCGGCCCTCTCTTGGCAGGTTTGTTGTGGTGCCATATTCTTTCAATTTTTTAATAATGTTCAAAGTTTCAGATATTTTTTTATAACCCAACCCTGATCTGTACTTCTCCACAACTTTGTCCCTGACCTGTTTGGAGAGCTCCTTGGTCTTCATGGTGCCACTTGCTTGGTGGTGCCCCTTGCTTAGTGGTGTTGCAGACTCTGGGGCCTTTCAGAACAGGTGTATATATACTGAGATTATGTGACAGATCATGTGACACTTCGATTGCACACAGGTGGACTTAATTTAACTACTTATGTGACTTCTGAAGGTAATTGGTTGCACCAGATCTTATTTAGGGGCTTCATAGCAAAGGGGGTGAATACATATGCACGCACCACTTTTCCGTTATTTATTTTTTTGAATTTTTTGAAACAAGTTATTTTTTTCATTTCACTTCACCAATTTGGACTATTTTGTGTATGTCCATTACATGAAATCCAAATAAAAATCCATTTAAATTACAGGTTGTAATGCAACAAAATAGGAAAAACGCCAAGGGGAATGACTACTTTTGCAAGGCACTGTATGTACAAGGAGTACAAGGAGTGGAATGTTAGCTAAAAAGACTGGTAACCAGGCTAGGGGGTTATGCCTGATTAACTAAAACAACTCAGGGGGGAGTTGGTACTCTCTTGCTATGAGAGCTTGTGTGTTGCTATGGTAACCACATTTCTCCCCTGCCCCCTGTGGTAGGCTCCACCCCCACTTCCTCTCAATTTTCCAAAACTCCCCACCCCGTTGCCCCCCTCATCAAAGTTAGTCATGACTCATGAGGAATTTACATACAGACATTAAAGTTGGATGAGGATGATAATAAATAGTAATGGGGTTGGTTGACAGTGGCTTCTGGTTGGTCAGGCCTCCACACAGGGTACACCCACTGTGTGTGTTTGTGTTCCATGCGTCATCAGACGAAGCCGCAAGTCTGCGTCAGACTGTTGTTGGTGTTGTGACCGTGTATTCATGAATGCTATCCTTTCCTAAGCATCCCCCCCACAATTAACCTTTAATAAAATTAAAATTAAACGTGCAAATACGAAGAAATGTTATAGCACATGTTATATATTCCAAAGATCTCTATAAGCTAATGTTAAAGTTGCTTCAAAAGGTCAGTGTCTATTAGTTGATTTGAGATTTTAAATTGAACTGAGATTTTAAATTGAACTGAGATTTTAAATCCCAGATTTTAAAAGGTCGACACTAATGTCAGCACTTATGTCTTGTCCAGTCCCCAGACAGTCTCCACTTTGTATTCTGTAGGAAGAGAAAAAGTTAATCTGGGTGCAGACTAGAAATAATGTATTTTAGCTAAATCTACCATATCTGTTGAGGCAGTAATGAAGAAATTAACATTTTCTTTCTGAGGTCTAAAAATGAGAAAGTTGAGAAAGGGATGTGAGTGGTTAGAGTGTTGGGGAGCTGAGTGGGCTGTGAGGCTCTATGATATGATAAGAGGCAGTGGGGCCGCCTGCTGGGAGGTGATAAATGTCAACAAAAGAGGCGAAGAGCGTCTGCTGACTACTGCTACGGAGCCCCAGGCTAGCCACACAACGCCAGCCACCAACCTGATAACCATGGCGACAGGGCCTTATTGACGCCCACGTGCAACGCTCCCCTCCTGTTGGGATGACGCATGGGATATCATAGTGTCTCTCTCTCGCTCTCTGTGTGTGCAGTGGTGCCTGGAGAAGTGGGTATACTCTAATTTTGCCAAACATTTCCCAAACGGCCTGCCCAGCGAAGGAAAGGTGCCCTGCGTGAAGAATGATATGAGAAACAGTGACATACACTCTGAATTACCTAAAATGGTCAATCCCATACTGGTCTTTCACAGTCAGGCTAACCCAAGCTGTACTGTGCAAGTAGGCTAATAGTAGGCCTACCAAACCATGCTTCTTAACCCAGAAGCCAGCCGCACCACTGTGTTGGAGGAAACATGTTCAACTGACGACTGAAGTCAGCCTGCAGGCACCCGGCCCGCCACAAGGAGTCGCTAGAGCGCGATGGGCCAAGTAAAGCACCCCCCGGCCAAACCCTCCGCTAACCCGGACGACACTGGGCCAATTGTGCACCGCCCTATGGGACTCCCAGTCACAGCCGGTTGTGACACAGCCTGGGAACGAACCCGGGTCTGTAGACCGCTGCGCTACTCGGGAGGCCGTCTTTCTAAATTTCGAATGGATAGGCTTATTTCCATCTCTGTCCATGAAACTGTTCGCATTTAGAACAGTGTTTTCCCGCAACTTGCATTTTGGAATATTCGCTCGTAGGCCTACCGCGGTGTGTACATTGCTGCGCCTAAAATATGAAGAAAAAATAGTTTATCAACATTTTAAGCTAAACATTCTGATCTGTTCCATCAGCCTTATTTATTGATACAGCATATACCTCAACTACACTACTTTGATATGCATCATGGGGATTAAGAAGGAAGTATACACAATGCCCACTGAAAAATAAGTAGGTATACAGCGTATACCTGCGTATACCTGCGTATACCCTCCACTACATCACTGTGTGTGTGTGTAGCCTACTGTGTGCGTTAGTCTGTGCTGTGTGTCATTGTGCAAGAGGTTTTTCAGTTGAGTGGGCAAGAAGAGATCTCTTAATGCTCCCTTTGGGGCACAGAGAGCATCGTCTTGAATCCAAGTCGCCATGGCTGACATGATGCTCAGGCTGCAGCTGCCTTACTCCCCTGGTCCATTGAGACTCATCCACTGCCTTTTCCTCCTCCCGCCGGGTTTTTACACAACTGCCCCTCATAGTATCACATTACATTACACACATTATATGGCATCAGTTAATGGCATGTTCTTTACTGTCAGCAACAGATGCACATATACAGTAGGGTACGCTACACCCACTCATTGTACAGGCCTATGGATGAGCAGTGTGCTGTGCTGTGCTGTTCTGTACTGTACTAAAATGGTTCTTCGGCAGTCCCCATAGGAGAACCATTTGAAGAACCCTTTTTGGTTCCAGGTAGAACCCTTTTTGGTTCCAGGTAGAACCCTTTTTGGTTCCATGTAGGACCCTTTCCACGGAGGGTTCTACATGGAACCCAAAAGGGTTCTCCCTGGAACCAAAAAGGGTTATCCTTTGGGGACAGCCGAAAAACCCTTTTTTATAAGAGTGTACTATGCTGTTCTGTGTTGTGCAGTGTAGTGCTGTGCTGTGTAGTTCTATGCTGTGTAGTGCTGTGCTTGGGCTAACCTGCTCTCTATTCTTCCTGCTATCCATAGACCATCATGGTGGGAGACAGCGGTGTGGGGAAGACCTCTCTGCTGGTCCAGTACGACCAAGGCAAGTTCATACCCGGCTCCTTCTCTGCCACTGTGGGCATCGGCTTCACGGTGAGTCTCTGCATTATTGTCTGCCATGAGCCATAGGGGACAAGTGACCATGAAGGGACCAGGCCACTTTGCTACTGGGATTGATGGGACAACAAGTGTCTTCTCTTCCAGGGTCCCTAAATGCTGTTGTCTGAGGAGCCAATCCTCTTCCTCTTTCTGCAATCATAATGATCTTTAGCACACAGTTGGGTGTTAGTAGAAAGCAGGGGGATGATTACAGTTAATGATGCCATTGCTATGATCGAATCACTGGAAACAAAACCCCTGTCTAATGAATGCAGCAGTCGGTCTGTTCCCTGCTGGATAGCTGTGTTTCACAGATGTATCACTCACTGTTGTGAATGTGAACTGGAGTGATTGATTGTGTGCATATACAGTCTACATTATCACTGTAGCGATGTATGGTGGGCTTCCATTCACAGAGAGAAAGAAAGAAAGAAAGAAAGAAAGAAAGAAAGAAAGAAAGAAAGAAAGAAAGAAAGAAAGAAAGAAAGAAAGAAAGAAAGAAAGAAAGAAAGAAAGAAAGAAAGAAAGAAAGAAAGAAATGGACTGTAAAAGATATAAAGCTCAGGGTGATGCTATTTTCAGAAATAGACCTGAATGTTTTGTGCTGTGACAGACAGTGATGACGAAGGCTTTGCTTGTCTGAAGGCATATAAGCCACACAAAAGCAATGCAGAAAAGGACACAAAAAGCTGCTTGCCTTGGAGATACGAAAAATGCTTTGTCATACAGTAAAACTTTGTGACCCAAATGCAGTGAGTATAAAAAGGTTTGGTTGCACTTGCAGCAACCTTTGTTGGACTAGGTGGATAGAAGATTAACCAAGGTCGGTCTGTCTTTCTGTCTGTTTGTCTGTCTGAATGCACAACTGCCTGTAATGTGAAGTGATAGAGATAGAGAGAGAGAGATACACCCACAAACCTTTCTCTTTCTCTTCTCTTTCTCTCGTCTCTCTCTCTCTTTTGAACACTGGGGGGAGACAAACTCTTATTCAAAGATTCAGCTGGTATCCACATGATCATACATGGCTTGGCAATTAGGAGACCATTTTTGACATTATGTCATGTCAATTAAGGGAAAGAAAATCAGATTCTCATATGAACACTGTCTATTTATTGTGTATTTTCTCAAGGCTACATACATCCTTTGAAAAGTAGACATTGGTGAGGAAAGACCACCTACCTGACATGTTGTGGATTAAATTGTTGGTATTTTTCAGAACGCTGAAATCACTGGAATAGCATTAATTTAGGATTGAAACTGAAAAGTGTATTTTTCATTGGCAACACGTTGACAGCCGTTGACATTTTTCTTTTTCTTTTTCTTTTTTATCTTTCGTTCATGAACTCCTCCTCTTTCATGATCAACGAGTTCAGTACCACCTGTGACTAATAACTCGTGCCATCACTGCCTGGTTCGTCCGTGGCTCGGTTGAAGACCTGGTTGTTTTCATTTATGAAAATGACAAAAAACTGACTAATTTCATAGGCATAAATAACATTATCTAAAACTGCCTCATTTCATAGGCCTAAATAACATTATCTTCATTGTACAAATGACAATAGCAACGTCGTTTCATCTGCCTACGAGTAAAGAAGGATGCGGATCCGTTCTAACGTTCTGCATAACTGAGAAATGTTTCCGCATATTGATCATATTTTCTCCACGAATGTAGCCGCGTCCTCAAGAGAAGCCCACTTTAAGTTTTAACCACGACTTTATGATTGGCATTAGTTGATTCAGCATCAAGAAATTGTCCTTAGAAAGCGGTGGGTGGTTTTGGACAACGCCAAATGACTGCTGATGGACTCATTGCTTGTGTTAACTGGGTTGAGTCACTGGCATCTCGGGAGGAACATCGCACGGCGCGCTGACAGACCTTGGTGATACTGTGGTGATAGTCATTGCGATGTCCACAAAGAAGGCATCGTTGAAGGATAAAGAGACTAAAAACGGAACATCAAAGTATGTGTTGGAGAGATGCGCCTCGGTTAACGAGTATTTTGATATTGCCTTCAAGGTCTGTATTAGGCTATTCTTGTTGTTAGGCTATATATTATTAGGCTATGTTTATTATGTGCTTATAACAGTATTATGCTTATGATCATGTTAGGAAGCTGCCTGCTGGTATTAATATTGACTGTAGCCTAATTGAGAAGCTTCACTGGTGGTACATGTCTCCTTCTCTCAAACAAATGTAGGAAAATCTATTCAAATACAGTAGCCTGTCTACTCTGCACACCAGTACACTCTTAGAAAAAAGGGTTCCAAAAGGGTTCTTTGGCAGTCCCCATAGGAGAACCCCCTTTGGTTCCAGGTTAAACCCTTTTTGGTTCCATGTAGAACCATTTTGGGTTCCATGTAGAACCCTCTGTGGAAAAGGTTCTACATGGAACCTAAAACTGGTCTACTTGGAACCAAAAGGGTTCTACCTGGAACCAACAAGGGTTCTTCATAGGGTTCTCCAAACGGGACAGCCAAAGAACCCTTTTAGGTTCAAGATAGCACCTTTTTTCCCTAAGAGTGTAGCCCTTGCTATTGTGAAGTTTCCCCTAATGTAGTTCAAGTCTTCACACTGAGCATAATATACCACTATGGAATAAGAACAGCTGTTATCAGTGTGGCTAGTTTCTATTCTGTTTACATTACTCTTAATTACCACACCACTATCAATTATGTGCCTTGCCACACACCAGTGCACACCAATTTCACACCTCCCTTATGGATAGTGTAGCCTATGTGACACAGGTTTATTTGATATGAATCTCGCTATTCAGTCCTCCCATTCTTAGTGATATCTAAATATTTGCTCAAGGAAGAATGTAGCACTTGGTAAAACAGGTTTAACTGCATACCAGGTAATAGTACATTTCTCTCCAAATCTTAGAGGGAAAAATTCATGTTATAATAAGTGTGCATAAATCATGTATTTATATCATAATTACACAATAATTGTATTTAAAGTGTAATTACAGTAAAGGTGCATATTGTTACATAGTACTTTTAATAATGAGTGTTTTGGGATTGATCAGAATCAGGAGAGTGTGGTTAATGGACTATATCAAGCAGAAGTACAACAGGTCATTCACATAGTCAAGTAGTTCCACATCAGTCCCATGATGGTTTGTGCATACATATCTCATACATATCTACTCTAAGCCGATTAACTGCAGAACACTACTCATGTTGAAATATTAATGATCTAATTAATAAGGGGAGACCACACATCAACCATGTAATTTAGTCTACAACCTTATAAAGATGAAATCAACAGACGGATAAAATATCCAAACTCAATTAGACGCCCAATAAATAACCAGGAAGTTCAGATGAGGGTAAAACAACAACAAGAACATTTAGCAATAGGATCATGAGTCAGTGCTTTGACACTTAACACTAGTCATCATGATGTTGTGAAATTCTAGTTTGATCAGTTTCACCTCTCATGGATGCACAGCATCATGAAATAATCAACAGATTACTCTCAGAATGACATTTGCATATGAACCAATTGAAATATATGATTAATCTCTTAAGACCAAACATTGTTCAGTGAAAGCTTGTTTGGTGTGATTACCATTCTTCTGGTCATGTGAGGGTTGATGTCAGTGTGTTGGGCCCAGGTATGACCCTTAACCCCTCTCTCTGACCTCTGGCCATGACGCCTCTCTAGGTGATGCTGCTGGGAGACTCTGCGGTGGGGAAGACATGTGTGCTGGTGCGCTTTAAAGACGGGGCCTTTTTGGGAGGCAACTTCATAGCCACCGTGGGAATAGACTTTAGGGTGAGAGAGACGTCAGTGGACTCAGAGAGTGGGGTCACCTCATGGTTGGAAGGTTCTTTGTGTCTATACATTCATAATGTGTACATAATGTATACATTATGTCTGCTGTTTTTCTCTGTTTTTTCTCATTTCTAAATGGTCTATTTACAAGATAAACCCTAGAATGTTGATGTTGAAGAATCCATACATAAAATATTTCCCCATCCTATTTCAGTTAAATCTGTAAATCCGATAACTAGTTTAAAGTGTTTTCATGCAGTGATGATAGCTCAAATGTGCAAACCCTCTCACAAGTCAATCAAGTCCATAGAGCACTTCTGCTACTGTGCCACATATGGCTCCATAAACGGCTATAGGGATGCCAGCCCACATCCCTATCTCCCAGAAGGATTGTTTTCAGCCAGGAGGAGCTGTACTACAGACAGACAGATAGGCTGCTACAAGCAGCTCTCATGTCATTGGTGGGGGCCAGATTTCCATAGCTACCAACCAGCTGCTGGAGAGACAGAGAGAGAAAGTGAGTGAGAGAGATGGAGAAAGAGAGAGAATGTGGACAGAAAGAAAGACTCTTGCACCAGTGGATTTGGACCCGCTCACCCTCCAAAGAAAACACTCTAACTAATGACTGGTAAAATGGCGGTTTTGGAGGAAATTGTGTTGCATTAAGGCAGAGTACTGTGTTACCACTCTGTGGTGATGGTGTAGACATTAGGACTGCCTGGGATGAGAGTCCAACATGGATGGGGATGTGTGGAGCATTTATGTAGCCAAATGGAGATTGTTATTTTCTCCATGCTTGTGCAACAGGTAATAACTATTCATGAGATTCATAAATAAGTGCATTATAACAATGAGCTGTGTGTAGTGACCACCCACGGCTGCTTGCATTGCATCTGTATGGAACAGAAGATTATAAGGAGAGATGATTTTGAGACTGATAATGGATCAGTCAATATGTTCCTTGCTGAGCCTCCAGCTGTATACAGTGGGGGAAAAAAGTATTTAGTCAGCCACCAATTGTGCAAGTTCTCCCACTTAAAAAGATGAGAGAGGCCTGTAATTTTCATCATAGGTACACGTCAACTATGACAGACAAAATGAGGAAAAAAAATCCAGAAAATCACATTGTAGGATTTTTAATGAATTTATTAGCAAATTATGGTGGAAAATAAGTATTTGGTCAATAACAGAAGTTTCTCAATACTTTGTTATATACCCTTTGTTGGCAATGACACAGGTCAAACGTTTTCTGTAAGTCTTCACAAGGTTTTCACACACTGTTGCTGGTATTTTGGCCCATTCCTCCATGCAGATCTCCTCTAGAGCAGTGATGTTTTGGGGCTGTCGCTGGGCAACACGGACTTTCAACTCCCTCCAAAGATTTTCTATGGGGTTGAGATCTGGAGACTGGCTAGGCCACTCCAGGACCTTGACATGCTTCTTACGAAGCCACTCCTTCATTGCCCGGGCGGTGTGTTTGGGATCATTGTCATGCTGAAAGACCCAGCCACGTTTCATCTTCAATGCCCTTGCTGATGGAAGGAGGTTTTCACTCAAAATCTCACGATACATGGCCCCATTCATTCTTTCCTTTACACGGATCAGTCGTCCTGGTCCCTTTGAAGAAAAACAGCCCCAAAGCATGATGTTTCCACCCCCATGCTTCACAGTAGGTATGGTGTTCTTTGGATACAACTCAGCATTCTTTGTCCTCCAAACACGACGAGTTGAGTTTTTACCAAAAAGTTCTATTTTGGGTTCATCTGACCATATGACATTCTCCCAATCCTCTTCTGGATCATCCAAATGCACTCTAGCAAACTTCAGACGGGCCTGGACATGTACTGGCTTAAGCAGGGGGACACGTCTTGCACTGCAGGATTTGAGTCCCTGGTGGCGTAGTGTGTTACTGATGGTAGGCTTTGTTACTTTAGTCCCAGCTCTCTGCAGGTCATTCACTAGGTCCCCCCGTGTGGTTCTGGGATTTTTGCTCACCGTTCTTGTGATCATTTTGACCCCACGGGGTGAGATCTTGCGTGGAGCCCCAGATCGAGGGAGATTATCAGTGGTCTTGTATGTCTTCCATTTCCTAATAATTGCTCCCACAGTTGATTTCTTCAAATCAAGCTGCTTACCTATTGCAGATTCAGTCTTCCCAGCCTGGTGCAGGTCTACAATTTTGTTTCTGGTGTCCTTTGACAGCTCTTTGTCTTGGCCATAGTGGAGTTTGGAGTGTGACTGTTTGAGGTTGTGGACAGGTGTCTTTTATACTGATAACAAGTTCAAACAGGTGCCATTAATACAGGTAACGAGTGGAGGACAGAGGAGTCAATACCCTGTGTGGATGGGAAGACTGCTGTGACTAGCTCTAACGTGGCAGGGCTATTTTGGGCCTGCTTCCTTGTAGCAGTTACTCAGCATGCAGGCGTGTCAACGTGGAGCCGTGTGTGGCCAATCTGCATAATAATTGGAGGGAAAAACTGAAACCCATGGCAACTAATGCAGGGGTTAGACCATGTCCGTTCTGCCAAGGTGGAAGTCTCAATGGGTGGTGACTCCGTTGAGAGGGACCATTTTAGAAGATTGGACTCACTTCAGAGAGAGTGTGTGTCTGTCACAGTGTGTTCACAGGAAATGCAGGGGCTGACTGCGACCGGTTACTGATAGTGGAGATATGAGGCTAGCTAAGAGGAAGTGATATGTACCAGTTGTGCCATTCACTTCCTTCATTTCAACATCGTTGCTTGTGTCATGTTTTCACTCAGTGAGTTTCCCCCTGCTTTCCCATGAAATACAAACGGGAAGTTTAAAAAGCCAGGGTGAGGTAAACTGGTTCAGTTACCTGGATAATAATGGCACCTACACAACAGACTGACCTTACAACAAGCTGTTATTGGTTGACCTCTAGAATGTGTGTCATTGAGTTTGTTTGTGAGTGTGTGTGTGTATAGGTGTATGTACGTATGTATTTGGGACTTAGTTTAGAAGGGACACATCAATTCCCATGACTTGGAAGCATCTTATTGCTTCTCAATCTTCCATATTCTTTCTATACTCCCTCGAAGAGCATTTTTCACAGGGTATGTTTTTCAGTAATCCATATTTGTAGCTAATGTTCTTTTTTTCACTCATGACTATTTTAGAATCCTGCCTAAACAGGAAATCACAGGGCGTCCCTGACAGCCACAGGAAATTAACGGGGGAGTGGGTTGTTATTTTGCCAGTCTTCTTTTTTTGTGCAATTAAGTCTAATCCGAGAACCTTGCTGTAGTGTGGGTGTAGCAATTTGCTTTCTCTGCTGGCCTCTGAAGCTCCTCTTAGTTTTCATGTTGTCTATATGAGTCTATACAGCATGCTGTGCCATTTCCGATCTAATGTTTGTTTGTTCTTTGGAATATTCTTGCTTTCTGAAGCTTCTTAATATTTAAATGCCTATGGTGTGTTTTGTCTGAGTCTGTCTCTCTTATGGAAAAAGACCCCCACAGACAGTCCTGTGGTTAACTGTTTCCTCTCCTCCTCAGAATAAGGTTGTGACGGTGGACAGAGTAAAGGTCAAACTCCAGGTGAGAGAGCAGGGACCTCTACACCCCACATTGATGCCACTATTCCTGTGATCCTACCAGTCTAATTCAATAAACCACAATCAGTATCATAATATTACACAGCGGGCAGTGGCGTATGTGGTCAACATGGAAGTTTCCCTATGTAAACACAGCGTATCTTTTAAAAATACATAGTTATCATCATATCCTGTTCTTTTGACAATGCTGGGTGGGAAGTGCCAAACATTGGGCTGTGAGCAAGCCACGTGACTATTCCAATGTATTTCACTGTAAAATATATTGATAATTCATTTAACGTATTGCCCATTATGACTTGCATACCATTGCATGCTCATTGGTTGCTTCTGGTTGGGATATTATCCAGTTTTCCAGGTTTATTACATTGTTAAAATTAGTTTGTTTCACTTCTTTCTCTCAGATCTGGGATACTGCAGGACAGGAGAGATTCCGCAGTGTCACACACGCCTACTACAGAGACGCACAGGGTAACCGCTGCTCTATTCAAACACTTCCTGGTTGTGTGTGTGTGTGTGTGTGTGTGTGTTGTAGAATGCTAAGAACATGTGGCTGTGTGTGACACTGCCTTTCTCTCCTCAGCCCTCCTCCTGCTCTATGACATCACCAGCAAGTCGTCCTTTGACAACATCAGGGTGAGAAACCTATCATGTGACTCTTCACTCCTCCTCCTTATCTCCTCACGTCTTCTCATAAACCCCCTTTTAGATGAAGAACCCTGAATTCCTTTTACATGCCAAGTAATATATGGCCTTCAAAAACTTTTTAAATGGCTTCTTGGAAATGTCGTGATATTATCAGCGTTGGTTGTGGAGGCCACTTCAGTAATGTAATGTGAAGGTTTGGGGATAAGAGGAAGTGCAGCTCAGAATGGCAGAATGGAGAATAGTAATCATATTCAAAGCAGCAGAGCAGAGAAATTGATTCTGTTTTTGTAGAGGATCTCCTTCAGCACTGGCATTTTTACAGACTCCTTTTTACAAATCTCCTTTTTAATCTCTCTCTCTCTCTCTCCAAATCCCCACCCCCCCCCCCCCCCCATAGGCCTGGCTGACTGAAATTCATGAGTATACTCAGAAGGATGTGGTCATCATGTTGCTCGGCAACAAGGTGTGCGCTAAACATCCTTTTAGTTGTGTAGTGCATCAAGAGAAGTCGTCATACCAAAAGTAACAATAAGAACACAACACACACACAGAAACATATTTGTCTCTGCTATTGACTTTGTAGCCTCAGAGTTTATATTGAAGCTGAATTAGAACGTTACCAGTCCTCCGAAGTGAATACATGTGTTGTGATAATTAAAATAGAACTGGTGGCATCTCCAGTTCAACAGCACCCATAGATCATGTGCCCCCTCTGGTGGTGCTACTACAGAGACACTGGGTCATTGCTGTCACGTTCCACCAGACATAATTTATTCCCAGAGCTGGGGAGAGCAGCAGGACAGGGAATATTTCTCTCTCTGAGCAATGTTTGGCCTGTGGTCAGACACTCAGAGGCAGCCTGGAGACTGCCCTGGGAACTGCTGTGGCTTGTGTGGGCTGATGTAGTGGGTCCCCTGTAGCTCAGTTGGTAGAGCATGGCGCTTGCAACGCCAGGGTTGTGGGTTCGTTTCCCATGGGGGGCCAGTATGAAAAATGTATGCACTCACTAAGTCGCTCTGGATAAGAGCGTCTGCTAAATGACTAAAATGTACAGTGAGGGAAAAAAGTATTTGATCCCCTGCTGATTTTGTACGTTTGCCCACTGACAAAGAAATGATCAGTCTATAATTTTAATGGTAGGTTTATTTGAACAGTGAGAGACAGAAAAACAACAACAAAATCCAGAAAAATGCATGTCAAAAATGTTATAAATTGATTTGCATTTTAATTAGGGAAATAAGTATTTGACCCCCTCTCAATCCGAAAGATTTCTGGCTCCCAGGTGTCTTTTATACAGGTAACGAGCTGAGATTAGGAGCACACTCTTAAAGGGAGTGCTCCTGATCTCAGCTTGTTACCTGTATAAAAGACACCTGTCCACAGAAGCAATCAATCAATCAGATTCCAAACTCTCCACCATGGCCAAGACCAAACAGCTTTCCAAGGATGTCAGGGACAAGATTGTAGACCTACACAAGGCTGGAATGGGCTACAAGACCATCGCCAAGCAGCTTGGTGAGAAGGTGACAACAGTTGGTGCGATTATTCGCAAATGGAAGAAACACAAAATAACTGTCAATCTCCCTCGGCCTGGGGCTCCATGCAAGATCTCACCTCGTGGAGTTGCAATGATCATGAGAACGGTGAGGAATCAGCCCAGAACTACACGGGAAGATCTTGTCAATGATCTCAAGGCAGCTGGGACCATAGTCACCAAGAAAACAATTGGTAACACACTACGCCGTGAAGGACTGAAATCCTGCAGCGCCAGCAAGGTCCCCCTGCTCAAGAAAGCACATATACAGGCCCGTCTGAAGTTTGCCAATGAACATCTGAATGATTCAGAGGAGAACTGGGTGAAAGTGTTGTGGTCAGATGAGACCAAAATCGAGCTCTTTGGCATCAACTCAACTCGCCGTGGTTGGAGGAGGAGGAATGCTGCCTATGACCCCAAGAACACCATCCCCACCGTCAAACATTGAGGTGGAAACATTATGCTTTGAGGGTGTTTTTCTGCTAAGGGGACAGGACAACTTCACTGCATCAAAGGGACGATGGACGGCGCCATGTACCATCAAATCTTGGGTGAGATCCTCCTTCCCTCAGCCAGGGCATTGAAAATGGGTCGTGGATGGGTATTCCAGCATGACAATGACCCAAAACACACGGCCAAGGCAACAAAGGAGTGGCTCAAGAAGAAGCACATTAAGGTCCTGGAGTGGCCTAGCCAGTCTCCAGACCTTAATCCCATAGAAAATCTGTGGAGGGAGCTGAAGGTTCGAGTTGCCAAACGTCAGGCTCGAAACCTTAATGACTTGGAGAAGATCTGCAAAGAGGAGTGGGACAAAATCCCTCCTGAGATGTGTGCAAACCTGGTGGCCAATTACAAGAAACGTGATTGCCAACAAGGGTTTTGCCGCCAAGTACTAAGTCATGTTTTGCAGAGGGGTCAAATACTTATTTCCCTCATTAAAATGCAAATCAATTTACAACATTTTTTACATGCGTTTTTTTTCTGGATTTTGTTGTTGTTATTCTGTCTCTCACTGTTCAAATAAACCTACCATTAAAATTATAGACTGATCATGTCTTTGTCAGTGGGCAAACATACAAAATCAGCAGGGGATCAAATACTTTTTTCCCTCACTGTAAATGTAAAATGTAGTGGTGCCTCTCTGGATCTAATGGACTAGTTGTATCCATGACTCTCCTCTGCTCTGTCCAAACAGACGGACATGGCCGGAGAGAGGGTCATCAAGCGTGAGGAGGGAGAGAAGCTGGCCAAGGTAAGAGACAAGGCCCACTTAAAGGGTTTGCTCCACTCTCCTACCGCAAAACACCAAGTAGCCTCTTCAAAAGCAACTGTACAGCACCGTGAAAGGAAAATAAGCTTGAAGTGTTGATTTATATACTAAAATTGTGAACTGATGTTCCCTCAAGTGTTGGAGAGATTGATCACTCTGAGTGTTTGGTATTGAGTTCATTCATATGATGAATGTGGTGTACTTGAGTAATGCCATTAAAATCACTGTATGCATTTCAGGAATATGGAGTCCCTTTCATGGAGACCAGTGCCAAGACTGGAGTCAATGTAGAGCTGGCCTTCCTGGCTGTAGCAAAGTAAGTCACGACTCATGTTATTTCAAAATGAAAGTTGCACTGTATGTGAAAGGGCAAAGACATATTGGCCAATTATATTCCTCATCTCTCCTTCTCTTTTCCCTTATGTTCTCAATTTCTCTGCTCTTGCACTGCTCCATCCCACACACTCTCCTTTATCTCTCTCTCTCTTTCTTTCTTTCTTTCTTTCTTTCTTTTTTTCTTTTGCCTGCCTGCCTGCCAGGGAGTTGAAGCACAGAGCTGCCCAGCAGCCCAATGAGCCCAAGTTCCAGATCCACGACTACATTGCGTCTGAGAAGCAGAAGTCTGGCTGCTGTGGTGGCTACATGTAGCTAAATCTCTCACCAAGTGTTATACCACACCAGGCCACAGAGTGAGCGAGAGAGAGAGAGAGACACACATGTCTACAGAGAGAGAGAGGGAGAGAGGGAGAGAGGGAGGGAAGGAGGGAGGGAGAAATAAAGAGAGAGAGAGAGAGACATAGTGGTAGGGAGACAGTCCCCCAAAAATACCATAATCAGACAGAGAGAGCAGTTGAAAAAAGAGCAGGTGCAACCACTTGTGAAAAAGAAAATACCTGTTCTGCTCCCCACCTGCTTAGAAGGCCTATGGCAACTAGCCAACCCTCATTCTACCCCTATCAGGAGAAAAACCATGTCAGTGTTTTCAGTTGGATAGAAATGCATTACCAGTGTATTTAAAATGTGAATTGATATTTGAAACATGTTCTGGTAATTTAGTTCATGTGTATCACATGCTGCAGCTGCAGCCTGTCAGCCTTACTCATTATTGCCATAAGGAAGGATTGGAAATCCAAATGGAATTTCTTGCCCCAATTTTGCCATATTTACAAAGAAATTAGGAAATGATCTGATCACTTTATGTAAAGATGTTAGGTGGAATAAAACACTGATTTTTTGGGGCTCATGGCTTCATTTGTTTCACCACATGTTATTCAGGACGAAATGCCATTATACAGTACATGTTGTATGAGGAGTACCCTCTACCACTGCACAACGTGTCCCAGATGCGGCCTCTACCGGATAAAAAGCTGACTAATGACAGTGACTTTGTAATTATACCCCAAATTAATATTATTTTCTGAAATGTTGTGGTCAAACGTTAATTGAGGTGGTGGTCAGAAGTTCCAGCATGAGTTTTGATTTGCTTTTAAACCTGCCAGCCACCACACATTCGACCAATGAGAGAGTTCCCTCTGAGACTGTTGTTGTGGAGCCTCTATCAGTCATCATTAATGGATGTTGTTGTTGTTGTTGTTGTGGCTCTACTGTACATGGGTAGCATTGTGTAACATGTTCCTTTGTATTTGGTTATGAATGTTTGCTTATTGAATTTGCTTGATGTCACAATTATTGTCAATCTCTATGGAGGTGTCACAGTGATCACAAAGTGCCATGGAAAAGTGCTTTGTTATCGTACAGTATATAAAAACTATTTTTTTGTAATGAAGATGGTGGTGTTTTATTGCAGTGTGCAGTGTGTGTTTGAATATCTGTTTCTTTGAGTCTCTGGGGGAGGAGGTTATAGGTCAGGGTTCCCCAACTGGCGGCCTGCCGGTGGTTTTATTTGGCCCCTCAAGTTTTCTGAGCAAAAAATAAAAAAATTCATTGTTGGACATAAAACACAAAAAACACCAGGAAACCAGCTTTAAGTGATTTTAATTTAAGAAATCTGTACCCAAGTATTCCCACGCATAATAGAGAGAAACGTGATTGTATACAAATGAAAGCAAGGTTTGAAATTATTATGTTTTAGTCAAACATTGTATATGTTTGGGCTTTTTGCAGTCTACACATTATTTGTAATTATGTTCCAGCCCCCGACCAACTTTTCCAGAAAAAATCGTCCAGCAGCTGAATATAGTTGATGATCCCTGTTATAGGTGGTGATGTTGCCTCCCACTGAGGTTGCCTCCCACCAGGTGGCAGCATTGCTTTTCAAATAATAATAGGGCGTTACGCTATTTACCACAGCTGGTTCAATTGCACTTTTTAAAGAGCCACTGAACACGCTGATTGGTACGTGTGTTTCCTGTAGAAAACCAATATTTCAGTCTTGGGTTGTGTTTCCTGACCGATCCCGCGTTTGGTTAATGATGATTGTCCCCCATGAGAAGCCTATTTCACTTCATGAAAATCCCCATAATGAATCTAAGATAACTCAAGAAATCTGTAATTCATTTTGACGTTTTTGCCGAGGATGTTTTAGTTGCGTGATTTTACATCTAAGTAAGGTGTTTGGTGCAGTATTTCTCAAGTAAAAAAATGCAACACATGTCGGAGCTGCTGGGCAGGTCTGTCTCACTGTCTATGCTATTGGATAGAGAGCTATCACTGCAGCTGTTCACCCCATGTTAGTAGGGAACTGGGCATCGTCAAATCAAAACCCAACCTTCATTTACCAGTTGTGACGCACGGATGTTCCAAACTCAGTTTAATAAAGACTGACTTTATGACCAAAAATTATCCTATTTACACTTTGTAGTCAATTTTGACACGCTGTTTCTGACTCATATTTTTCAAAGGGATTAGTTGCTTCTTAAAGGCAGTCATCCTTTAATATCACCACTCTTTATTTGTTTCACACAAATAGCTCCAAACATACACAAAGGCACAAAGGGACTGGATTGTTTTGTGAAATACATCCATCTGAAAAAATATATATTTTTAAATAAGCCAGTAAGGTATCCACTTACTGAGAGTGACACACATTTTTTATTTCAAACCACCACATATAGAGATGAAACTGGAAATGTGAGATTATGGGAATCCTCACAGCCCTGGAATATGAAAAGGGTTATTTACCGGTACTGTACAAAAGAGGTTCAATTTGAGCTGAGTTGCAGGGCTATATCAACCTGGATGGTGGAGTCTGGAGTGGAGATTTTATTTATTTATTTTTTATTTCACCTTTATTTAACCAGGTAAGCCAGTTGAGAACAAGTTCTCATTTACAACTGCGACCTGGCCAAGATAAAGCAAAGCAGTTCTAGTCGGGTGGGCGGGTGCCAGCAGCGTTCGATTGAAGAGCATGCATTTAGTTTTACTAGTGTTTAAGAGCAGTTGGAGGCTACTGAAGGAGTGTTGTATGGCATTGAAGCTCGTTTGGAGGTTTGTTAACACAGTGTCCAATGAAGGGCCAGATGTATACAAAATGGTGTCGTCTGCGTAGAGGTGGATCTGAGAGTCACCAGCAGCAAGAGCGACATCATTGATATACACGGATGGTGGTGCCAGGCAGAACACTCATTACTCATTGTACCTGGGTCAGCTGTGTACCTGGAATCTAGCTCTTCCCTTCCCATCCAGTCTATCAATCACACAGGCCATGAACCTCCTAGGAACACTTCCTCCTCCACACAGTTGTACAGCTGTACAAACGATTAAATCAAACACAAACAAGAATCATTCATTCCTCAGAAACATCACATAGCACCTGATCATCAGACTTTCTGTATACATAGTTTGAGATGATAGGCCTATTGGTGAGTAATCAATAGACCATAGTGAGTCATCAATAGACTACAGTGAGTCATCAATTGATTATAATAAGGACATGTCCATGCATTGATAAGTGTACCTGGCAAATGTCCCAGTATAGAGAAATAAAGACTCTGCTGTGGTTTTGGGTCAGTGAGGTCCTTGCCGTTTTAGTGTTGATGTAATAGAGCATGTTTTCTCAAGGAGGGTCTAGGCCCCTTCCTTCCACATAAAGGTTTGCATTTCTTCAGAATTGCAGGGCATGGTGAGGTAGGCCTATATCAGAAGAGTGTCTGTCTGTCAGTGAGTGTGTGTGTTCTCACAGAGACAGACAGACAGAGAGCAAGGGGGGAGGGAGAGAGAACAAACACATGTGGCAAATGCAGATGTCCTCTCCTGAGCATAATATTTGCAATCTATAAGTAGACAACATATTTCAACCTCAGGAATATACAGTACAGTGAAGGCTGCTGAGGGGAGGATGGCTCATAATAATGGCTGGAACAGAGCTAATAGAATGGCATCAAACCTGTTATTGATACCGTTCCACTAATTCAGCTCCAGCCATTACCACGTGCCCCTCCTCCCCAATTAAGGTACCACCAACCTCCTGTGATACATACCATATGTTTACAGAAGGACCACATGCATTTGTCACAACATGGTGCAGCTGTCTGGCTGCAGTTCAGCAATCCTTTTTGCGCATGCACTTGTCCATCATTAGGGCCAATAGCATGCATGCCCAATTGATTTATGCGCCTCCCTCCTCCTGGGGTATTTGAGTAGTGATTGGTGTTACTATCTGTCTTCTGCACCTACGTCACTGTCCTTTATAAAGTAGTCTACTGAGTTTAATTCAGTGTCAGAGTAGAGAATAGAGTTTTGGAGCAGAGTCAACGCATACATATAGTTAGTAGAACTTCAGGTTTTGGCGACACATCACGGGTTGGCATACGTCCACTGTATGCACAAAGTTGTAGGAGTTGCTTTTGAAAGTGAGTTGCGACTGCGGTTGACATCCAGTCACCACGGACGGCGCCTTATAAACAGACGGATTGGATTCCAGACGCTCTTCCTTGAGAGCGGTAGAGATTCCTGTTAACGGGTACCACTCGTGCTCAGCATCTCAAACTGACTTTTCTTGGCAACTTCCAGCTACTGGACGATCCTTCTCACAAGCAACAGGTTGAATTGGTGAAATAAATAGCAGAAACTATGCCCAGCAAAAGCGAAGATTATCGGCCAAGACTCTGCGTGCTGGAGAAAGGGGACAATGGGTATGGGTTCCATCTCCACGGTGAGAAGGGTAAGACCGGGCAGTTTATACGGCTTGTGGAGCCCGACAGTCCGTCTGAAACTTCGGGGATTCGCGCGGGGGACCGACTAGTGTTCGTGAACGGGGAGAACGTGGAGAACGAGAGCCATCAACAGGTTGTGTCCCGGATAAAAGCCACCGTGGGCCAGCTCGAGCTCATTGTTATCGACCAGGACACTGAGCAACTGTTGAAAAAACACAAGATGAAGTGTCTCAAAGAATATGTCACGGAGCGCATTCCTTTACCCAGCGACGACGAGTCAGAAAGCGAAGATGTGAAGGAGAACGGGACACCATGCGGGACACCGAGAGAATCCACACCTGTTCCGGAAAATAACGGAGAGCTCCATAGCCACGTAGAGATCCATAGCCACGTTGAGAAAAAGCTGAGCATCAACTCTGAGAAGGTGAGTGTGCCAAAGTGCAAAACCAGAATAATCTATGAAATTGTTACTTTGGATCATTGATGTAGCCTGGTGGTCACAGTAGGTTATATTCCGCAAATATACAATACAGATTCAGTTACAGTTTGCGTAATAGTACCACTGACACTGTCCTAGGGATTTCAATTAAACGAATGTGATGGTTTTTTTTATTCATC